TGTCTGGATACGGGATCTCGTGACGGTTAGTCATCGCAGCGGATCCGAGGCGGCCGCGGATCGGGATCGGAACGCAGTCGGCAGTGGTGGGGGAGCTGCACGCTGACTTTCAACGAGGTAGAGTAGAGTGCAACCTCGTAAGTTGTACTAAACGAGATCACCTTTAGGCTTGGGTGAGGCCTCATTGTCAGTAGGGATAGATTATCCACTCTTTCCGGGGCACTCGAGAACAGAAGGTCCAGTGTCGTGTGAACGGTGAAGACAGACTGACAGCAAGTCTGGGCCTGCAACGAGTGCGGGGAGATTCCGGGGAAGGCGGCCACGGCCTTCCGCAACTCCGCATGTGGCCGTTCCTATCCACCATCCACGCCTATAAGTCACCCTCTCCACTTCCCTTTAGCTTCTCCTCGACGTCAACAGTTCTCCGACGCTCCAATTCCTCGCTTTTATGCCCCGAGGACAATAGCCGACTCTGAACCTGAATTGGCACTCGCGCAGTCTGCCTTGGGAGTTAAACTACATATATTTCCGTCCCTCGTGGTCCACCATGCCTTCACAAGTGGCAACATGTCTGCGCTTCGCGCGGCAGTTTGCTGCCGAACCTAGCAAGGTAGGAAATACATGTATCACCGTCGTATTACCAGGACATGATATACTGACAGGCACACCCGGCTGCAGCACCAACGGTTCCTTGCCCGTGCTTTCTCTAATAGCGTGCGTCGACCCGAAATCAACAAGGTCGTGTCCTCCGCAGATCTCGCAATCAAGGATATGAAATCGAACTCGACACTCTTGGCGGGTGGGTTTGGTCTTTCCGGTGTACCGGACACGCTGATCAATGCGGTGCGCGCAAACTCATCCATTACGGGCTTGACGGTCGTCAGCAACAACGCGGGTGTCGACGGAGCAGGTCTCGGTCTACTTCTTCAGTCTAAACAAATCAAGAAAATGATCGCTAGTTATGTGGGAGAGAATAAGACCTTCGAGCGCATGTACTTGACTGGAGAGATCGAGCTCGAGTTGACTCCCCAGGGTACCTTGGCTGAGCGTTGTCGGGCCGGCGGTGCGGGCATCCCGGCTTTCTTTACGCCTGCCGCCTGTGGAACGGTCGTGCAGACGGGCGAGCTGCCTTTGAAGCATAATGCAGATGGGACTGTTGCTCTTTACAGCGAGCCGCGTGATGTTAAGGTCTTTGATAAAAAGAGCTATGTCATGGAGGAAGCCATCAAGGGTGACTATGCCTTTGTCAAGGCCTGGAAGGCCGATAAGCTGGGCAATTGCCAGTTCCGGTACTCTGCGGCCAACTTCAACGGTGCTATGGGTCGCAATGCTAAGATGACCATCGTTGAGGCGGAGCATATTGTTGAACCGGGTGAGATTGAGCCCGCTGCTATCCACTTGCCAGGTATCTATGTCAAGCGGGTGATCCAGAGCACGACCCCGAAGAACATTGAGAAGTTCACCTTCGCAGAGGAAGAGGGTGAGGAGGCAGCTGCTCTGGGCAAGGGTGATACTGCCGCCAAGCGCGAGCGTATCGTTCGCCGTGCGGCCAAGGAGTTCAAGAACGGGATGTATGCGAACCTGGGCATTGGCATGCCTATGTTGGCGCCCAACTTTGTCGACCCCTCCGTGGAAGTCATGCTACAGTCTGAGAACGGTATCCTGGGCCTTGGCCCCTACCCTAAGAAGGGTCAAGAGGATGCCGATCTCATCAATGCCGGCAAGGAGACGGTTACGCTGCTGCCTGGTGCTGCTTGCTTTGGTAGTGATGAGTCCTTTGGTATGATCCGTTCGGGACGTATCGATCTTACTATTTTGGGAGCGATGCAAGTCAGTGCTCGGGGTGACTTGGCCAACTGTGAGTGGTCCTCAAAGTAACTGTAAATACATGACTGACACGCTTTAGGGATGCTGCCCGGCAAGATCAAGGGCTTTGGTGGAGCCATGGACCTCGTCTCGAACCCTTCTGCCACCAAGGTGGTGGTGACGATGGAGCACACAGATAAGAAGGGCAACCCCAAGATCGTGAAGCAGTGCGAGTTCCCCTTGACCGGCAAGACGTGCGTCAGCCGTATCATCACCGAGCTCTGCGTGTTTGACGTCGACTTTACCGACGGCCTGACGCTGGTTGAGCTGGCCGATGGAGTGACCGTGGACGAGGTGAAGAGCAAGACAGAGGCGCCGTTCAAGGTTGCCGACGACGTCAAGCCCATGCTGTGATGTGGGCAGTGACTTGCCTTGTTTCTTTTGTTGATATTAAACTATATGATCCCAACTCTTTGTATATTCCGAGCGTGTCATTGGACAAATGATATCCCCAAACAAACAGATATATGCCTTGAGGCCCCATCTGAGAACACATAATTGAACAAATACCAATTTCGCCTGCAGTATTATATATGTACAATGTCGTAAAAGTACAGAGATGTTTTTTGTAACCTCTCCCAGTACCCACCTTCCTCTTCAATAGTGATACAATAGTAGTATAGCAGCCACCTTCACCTCCAAACCAGCCTATTTCATCCGCAACAGTCCCGACAACCTCTTCTTCAACCGACCCATCCAATCCCGCGACGGCGCCTCATCGAACTCCCGAATAACATTATCATAGTGATCCGGGTTACTCGCCGGGCGGCGCAAGCGCGGCGACAACGGATATCGTCTCGCGTACCGATCCTCCAGCAACGAGGACAGGGCATTCAATGACGCCTGATTGATGGTGACTTTTTGTTGTACTTGCTCGGGCTGCTTCTTCTGTTGTGCTTCAGCGGTGGGCTGTCCTAGACATGCCTGGAGGTAATTCTGGACGGAGACGGAAGACGGGCGGACTTTGTCGGTGGGCCAATGCTTGAGGAGATGGGTGATGCGCGTTTGAATGGCTTGGGGGTTCTGTGGTTCTGGTGGTTAGTGGTTTGCTAGGGTTGGTGCAGGTGGATGAAAGCGTACGGGTTTGGAAGCCATGGCGATGGTGGTGTGTGGGTGTCGAGATGGTTATAGAATTGGAAGAATCGCGACGAGGAATATGCTGCTGTTATGGTGGTTTGAGGAGGCGATGAGCTGAGGATGGCGATGGGTATAGATAGATTGGATCTAGAAAGCCAGAAGATGCGCAAAAAGCCGGTCACGGGCGGCGGGGACGGCCTGAGGCGGCGAAGCCTCGAGGCGGCTTAGGCGCCGGTGCCTTATTGCCTGACCTGGGACTTCTCTCGTCATCTTCAGCTGATCATCTCCTTCCATCGTCTTCCCCCATCCACGTTCTTTGCGCCTCTCTCTCTATTCCTCGTCCTAAGTTCACGACCGACTCATTTGCTTTCCTTTGTTTCGTCCATAACGCCCTTATCTCCTTCCTTTCCGGACTCCCGCTCGCTCGCTCGTCATGAGCTCGCAGCGTTATCAACGGGTATGAGGCACCGCTGTTCTTTGAAGTATAGTGGAGGGGAAGTACTGATATGGGTTTCTTGCAGGTGAATGCCCATGATGAAGATGATGATACCCACCAGTCACACTCCTCGATCCCTCTACGATTTAACCCGTCGCCTTCCTCCCCGCCTCCCTCATTTTACTCTCGCTCCTCTTCCCCGTCATCCAGACGCCTTCTCCACGACGAATCCCACAGAGACCATGCCGATCAGACACTAGCCGATGCCTTTGGTGATGGCAGCGAATCCGAGTCCGATGATGAACCAGACGATCGCCAGCGGTTAATGCGGGCTCAGCCGGAATCCCGTCCGGTGGCGGATAGCAACGGCGCCGCGACTGCATCCTCGTCCTCAAGCGGCTCAGAACTTTCGGGCGATTCGCGCAGCCCCGGAGGTATGCCACGAAGGCAAACGATTCTGCCGTCGTTTAGTACCCCGAGTTCGGGAGCGGGCCGGGTGATCAGTTCGGCGAATGATGGTGTTTTCGCTAATCTGGCGGCTAAGCCGGAGCGCGGGGAGAAGAATGAGGATTTGCCTCCGGTATGTTGCTCTGGGATATTGATATTGGGAGGGTAGATGCTGATGATGTGCTATTAGTCTTACGAAGAAGCCGCCGCCGATGCTACACCCCCGTACTGGGAGACGACAATTCTGGCCCCGGGTATCTCGTCGGACGAGGTGTTTGTGGATGGGCTACCGGTTGGCTCTATCTTTTCGTTTGTCTGGAATGCGATGATCTCCATGTCGTTCCAACTGGTCGGATTCCTCCTGACTTACTTGCTTCACACGACGCACGCCGCCAAGAATGGAAGCCGGGCTGGTCTCGGTCTCACGCTGGTGCAGTACGGCTTTTACATGAAGGGTGGCAGTGAGTCGAAGGGGTCAGATGAGGGAGGCGCCGATTATGTGACACCACCGGACCCGAACAGCCATAGTTTCGACCCGAACAATGTGGATGGAGGTGCAGGGGGAGATGGCGGGGGTGCGGCGTCCTCGATCACCACGAGTGAATGGATCTCTTATGTGCTGATGATTGTCGGGTGGTTTATTCTAATCCGGGCCATCAGCGACTTTCTGCGGGCGCGACGCCACGAGCAGCTGGTATTGCAGAGTCCGGAGCGAGGGCTCAGCGTTCCGGTCATTGCGGAGGGCGAGCGATCAGAGACGGTCGTTTAGGGATGGGGTTTCGGTCTGGGTAATCACTTGGAGCATGGAGTTATGATTTTCTTCCGGGTTCGCTATTCTTATAATCGGCTCTACGATCCATCTGTAGGATGAATGGGAGCCTGCTGAGCATTGGTAGCCTATCGTTGACCCGGGTTCTTTCTTTTATTTTCATTCCCTTGTCTACTTTTTTATCATGTGGTGGGGTGTCAGCTATTGCACGAGTTAATCGACCTGTAGCCTAGAATACCTTTGTTATATTGTTGGCGAGATACCTTTGGGAAGTGATTGATATCAATCGAAACCATCTTTCTTTCCATCTGGAGAGTATACAGAATATTGGGGTGGCCAATTGGATGCCTCGTTGCGGGATTTGCCTTCAGCAGGCAGCCTTATTTTCGCGACGCTTGAATGGGGGGGGGGGGGATCGTCCACTGCGCCCCCGGGGAATCAGGGATGGCCATGTCCCACGTCGACCCGGGGTTGAGTGACAATAGGACTGTCGCAGTGGTCTTCTTGCTGCCCGATGCTGATCCTCTCTTGGCGCTCTCTCTCCGGCTTCTCCGCGACCGTTGCTTAGACTTCCGCTCCCTTCTTCCCCTTCGCCTCTTACTTTTCCCCTGGAAACTCTCACGCTCTCCTCCTCCTCTTCTCCTCTCCTCATGCCCATCGTGGCTCCGCCCAACTTCTCCCCCCGGTGACATCCCCGAATCTCCTCCCATGGCCAAGGTCGACACCGCGGGGGAGGTGGATTCCGCCCCGACCGCCGCCTCGCCGACCCCGACTCTCCCCAAAGCCCCCGTCGAGGCTCGCTCGCTGTCCTCCATCACCGCAATCGCTTCCAATCCCCCGGCCTATCCACGCAATCCGACCCAGAAGAAGCTCGATCCGTTGGTGCTCTATATAGTGCGGGTTCCGGGCAGTCGAGGTATGCCAAATGCCCCGCAGAAGCGGTGGCATGCAGATGATGGATTGCTGACATGACATTTCCTTGCTTCCCCTAGATGTCTTCCTCACCCCGTTGAAACCTCCCACCAAGTCCAACGTCTCAGCAGAGGCCATCAATGCCTCCTTATACTATCTGCACGTTGCCACCCCCGACGATGACGTCTTGCTCCAGGAATACGAGCAGGAGCACGAAGAGGAGGCCAGGCTGCGAAAAGAAACACTCGGGAGTGATGCGGACTCCATTCTTCCTGCGCGCGAGTTTGCGCGATTGAATAATGTCCGACGCAAGCCTGTTCCTGGCGCGGGGGATGCAGCGAGCGCAACCAAGGTCGATGCGACCGTCGCGCCCGCTCGCCCTCGTCCGACCTCGTGGCAGTCGCAGGGATCGCTGCCATCGAGCCCCAGTCTGCAACGTCCTCCTATGCCTCCTCGCCCAAGCTTCCAGGGACCGCCTCCCGAGTACACTCCCTCAACACCACCATTCGCGCCAGTCAACCGCGACCCTTTCGATGCCACGGCGCCAAACGATGCGCGCCCGTCGCGACCTCTTCCCCCTGTCCCGAGAGATGAGCCTGTGCTTGGCCCGCCTCTAGACCCGATGCCGAAGAAGGCCAACCGGTGGAGCGCTGCGCTGTCGGGGTATATCGCTCGGGGACAGGAATCGTGGAGAGATAAAATCGAAGCAGGCCGGCCTAGTCTGGACTCTCAACGGCCGCAGATCCGACCGGACATTCGACCGCATTCGGCGCACGGGAGTCCATCGCATTCTTATCTAGGGTCGCCCTCGAGAAGTCCTGGAAGGGGTCCTGCGAGGAGCCCGGGGCAATCCCCCAGTCTGCGACCGCATGACCGGATGCCTGATCGCCCAGGGTTTCATCTCACGCTGATCCGACGCGATCCTACCCATGGCAGCCAGTGGAACGTCGCGACCATGTCGACGCCCCGGATGGACGGCGGGCCCATCGACATTGAGGTGCTCACACCAGGATACAATCGATTCACGGCGCAAAACGAACCAATCTCCCTCGCGAGTTTGGGGGTGAACCTCCCAGGCGGCCAGCCTATCTCCCTCTCATCATTTAAACGTCCGGAGGTGACCGACCCTCCCACTTCCACGCCTAATGAACCACACCCTCGACGATTCCATCGCAAGCTCTGCGTCTCCCGGCCCTACTTCCAAGAAGAACCACGAGGGTCGCTGGACCTTACTGGACGTCCCTCCCTCGACAGCATCGGCGGCGGCAGTCCCACGAAGCCACATGTCCCAAGCCACTCCAAGTTGAAGAGCGGCTATTATACCTTTAACTCGCCGTGGAACGGCATCTGCACATTTACGACGAGCGTCAACGGCCGCAGCCTCAAATGCAAACACATGATACCCACCCCTGGCTTTCCCAGCACCAGCCACCATCATACACCAACCTCGATGCCAGAACCACCTGCCATTACTGCGGCCGAAATCCGCTTCAACACACCCTTTCGAACCGGCCACCTGCATCAGCCCTCGGGGGCTCCGTATATCTCGCCATCCTACCACCCCGCCTCGCCCCCCACGGAATTCTCTCTCTCCTCTCCGACATCAACCTCGGGGATTCCGTCCTCGAAACGAGATTCGCTCGCCCGGTTCCTCAATGCACACAAATATACCCGACCTCGCGCCCGCTCCGGCGCCAGTATCTCCTCTGGAGACATTGGCACCAGCCACCACACCCGAAATGCCTCGAATAGTAGCACAAGCAGCGGTGGTGACGAGGAGCGAGAGAAGTCGGGACTTCTGCGTCGTCCACCGAGTGACGACAGATTGGATCTGTCGCTTGCACGAGAACGGGCGGGCGGAGGTATGCGGGGGAAGTCTGCTAAGATGGGCAAATTGATCATCGAGGACGAGGGAATTAAGATGTTGGATTTGGTGGTTGCTGCTTGTATGGCTGTGTATACGGTGAGCTGTTAGTTGCATTCGCACTTGGTATTTGGATTTGGATTGGTCTTTGGAATTTGGCATTTGAGCGATGCATATGATCTTGTATATTTTGTTTATAGTTTTAGGTATATTTATGGATTTATACCTATGTAAATTTCAATCTAGTCTTCTGGATATTACTATTTCATACTTACCCAACTGCATAACTACATACCCACCGAATCTACGGAGTAACTAAGACCAACCCACCCCAGTCCCCTCCCTATACTTACCCAACCCCCTACTCATCATACGAAGTAGATCAACCCCCACACAATATAAATCAACCAACACCCCCCCAAAATATGACCCCCCAATCCAAGAAATCAATTACCTAACCACCCACCCACGAACTCCCTCTTAAGGAACTATAAAGAAAATAATAGATCCACCTTTCCCTGCCGATCCCATACATACATCTCCGCTATGGGAACTGATAGGTCGGACCCTGCAGGGGATCAGCATATGTGGGAGGGATATCTAATAGTAGATAGCTAGGTAGGTTCACTTCGTGTTATCCTCGTGTTTATGCTTTTACTTTATACTAGGTTCGTCGTACTAAATCTTACTTACATACGGGGGGTTTGAAGGGCTTAGTTCGTTGAGGATTGAGGAGGGTGGAATTGAGTATCATATCATATCATATCATATTCATGAGATTCAACGTATCTATCGACTTCCTAGTTTAACTAGACACCCAGCAAGCAAATCAATCTAGCTAGGTAAAGTCCCTAATATGAGTATGACTATCTACTAATTAGATAATTAGATCCTGAAAGTAGAGAAGACCCCACGACAAACCCAAACTAAAATTTAGTATAAAGCAACGCTTAGCGCGGCTGGCCAGCCGCCCAAGAGCAAAATATTGGTCATGATTGAATTGATGGACCGAGCCGTGGATGGATGGGCTGATGATCGTGTAACTAAACTAGTATCAGGATGTTTGGGTACGGTATTGTTTGGGTTTTACGGGTGGTATGCGTGTATGTATGTATTGTATCATTTTGATGAGGTCGGTTTTTCGTTTCTTTTGGGTAGGAGATTGGGGTGATGGTGTCAATTGTTCGTGTCAGTTGTTGATGAATTGAGGGTTCATTGTAGGTATACGTACATATCATATAGAGGTGGCTGTCATTGGTATTGGGGTATGTGGTTTGGGGGGGATTTTTATCCGTATGGGCATGGGTATATGCTATGCTATGCTAAGCTGCATTGGTCGTGAGGCTACACGGGGAATACTCTAGACTCGAGAGAGTATAAGATGTTAAGATGTCAATATTGATCCCCAGAAGATAGTTAGTTGGTTAGATGAGAATACTGATCAGATTAGATCTTCAGCTTTGTCCTACTCCTACTAATAGTATCTACTCCTACTACTCATAGACTAGACTAGATTGAACCGCTACCTATTACGTACGTAGGTATGCACAGAAACCCCCCTAAGTTGCAGCATTACTCATTGATTCCTCGTTACTCTGTAATCCGTATATCCGCCACACGGAAGCTGGAGGCAGAGCGAGCCCGCCACCGGGAATTAATGCAGTGGGCCCTCCTCTCCTCTTTAAATAATAGAAGCCTAACCCTATCTAGCCCAGCCTGCACCTGCACCTACACACCCACCACCCAAATACTTACTGCACGGGAAGCAGTCACCCCCCTCCCCCTTTCTAATCATACCCATTATCCCTGCACCTATCAATACATCATCCTCAGAGAGATAGATACCTAAAATCAAATAAAAACAATCTCTACACAACAGCAGTACATCTACCTAAGTGTACTATGTATTATCCATCCCTATTCAAATTCTTCACCCAACCCAACCCGTAAATACTAACCCATCCTAACCTAATCCTCCGAAACCGGCCACTTGCATTTACCAACCCCACTCCACCCAACCCAACCAACAAATAAAACATAATCCAATTTATGTTTGTGTGTGCGCCAAGATTATTCAACCTAACTAGGAATGGACTGTGGGGCTGTTTCGAACCGAGGGACGCGTTGCATCGTCCATCTGATTAGATGATGGGATTGGATTATCTAATCTTATCTTTGGATTAATTTACGTCTCGTCTCGGGTGAGGGATTTTTGGGTTGGGTTGGGTTTGGGGCATTCTTTCGGGGTAACTAGTTCTATGTATGTTGATGTGTTGTGCTTTATGCATGCCATTTGTGTATAGTGATTGTGGTGTGTTTGTTCCCTGTGCGAGGGGAACAGGAATGGTTCTCATCTCTATAAAAGTATTATCATTCTAGGGTATTCACAAAACAAAATATATACAATCATCCCATCTCCACAGCATACAGCATACAGCTCACTGCTGCGCCTGTACCTGTTCCTGTGGTTGTGTGGCACCAGCTCTCCTCTCCAATACCCCCGCCGCCAATTTCCGTAAATCCACCTTCCTCACTTTCCCACTCCCCGTCACCGGCACTGTGCGATCCACGCCCTCCTCCCCAAACACAAACACGTATTGAGGCGCCTTGTGTCGGCCTAGTGTCTCGCGCGTCCAGTCCCGCAGTTCCTCCACAGTCGGGGCCTTTTCGTATCCAGCCGCCACGGAGATGAATGCGCCCACTACCTCGCCGTATTTTGGGTCTGGGATGCCGATCACGGATGCGACTTCGATGGCGGGGTGGGAGGCGAGTCGTTCTTCGATTTCTAATGGGTAGATGTTTTCGCCGCCTGGGGTTGTGGTTATGTTAGTGGTGGGTGGTATTTATGGGGTATTGTTGGGGAGTGAAAATACGGGGTGAATTGCAAAAAACGGGGAAGGGAAAGGAAAGGATGGGCTCACCTCGAATGATTATGTCCTTGAATCGGCCTGTGATTGAACACCGTCCCTCTGGTGTGAACATTGCCTCGTCACCCGTCTTCAGCCATGTCGTGCCATCTGAATCTGTGGTCATCGTCTCTGCTGTCTTCTCTGGGTTGTTCCAGTATCCCTTGGTTAGTTGGTAACCTGCGATGCACAGCTCGCCGCGCTCGCCCAAGGGAACGGTGTTGCCCTGGGCGTCAACGATCTTGGCGCGTGCGTGAGGCATCACTTTGCCTACTGTGGTGAGGCGCGTTTCTATCGTGTCGGAAGTGACGGCGTTGAAGCAGGTGGGGGAGGCTTCGGTGAGGCCTACAAGGGTTAGAGTCTTTCGGCAAGCTAGGAAGTAGGTATAGGCGTACCGTAGCTACTGGTGTATTGGGTCATGTTAAGTTCTTCAAAGAGACGCTTCATCAGCGGACGGGGCACAGGAGCTCCGGCAATGATGCCCGTGCGGAGGTTGCTGGTATCAAAGTTGGCCGGCTTGGGGAGACTCAGGATCGCTTCAAACATCGTAGGCACACCGTGCAGCGCCGTGCACTTTTCGTCAGAGATGGCGTGGAGAACTGCCTTGGGGTCAAAGGTCTCGCTGGGAAAGACAATCTTCGAACCGTGGGTGACCACTGCGAGCATGCCCAGGACCAGTCCGAAGCAGTGGAATAGAGGCGGCGGGCAGCAGAGGATGTCAAAGGAGGTGAGGTCCATGCGGTCGCCGATGAACCGTGAGTTGTTGACCAGGTTGCTGATTTATTAGTTTGTTCCTTTGCAAGAAGTGGGGTGGGGGCATACTGATGAGTTAGCATGGCGGCTTTGGGATTACCAGTCGAGCCGCTGGTGAATTGAAGATTGCACACATCATCTGGTCGCAGCTCGGCCTCGCGATCCGGCAAAGCAGAGTTAGGGATTTTCTCTCCCCGCTGGATAACCCCCGCGTAGGTGCCAAAGTTCTGGTACTCTCCCCGCAGGATGATGATCTCCTCCAGCGCAGCGGATCTGCCGTTCTGCTTGGGCTGTGGGCCCAGCTTGTCCAGAACCTCCTCCAGCGTGTGACGACCAATCCGGGGCGTCATAAATAAAACGCGGCAGTCTAAAGCTAGATCAGCATCAGGCCTACGGTGCATGCAGCAGTACTAACCAGTATGATCCAGCGCGTAGTAGAGCTCCGATGGCGTGTAGGTGTTGTTCAGCACCACGAGGATGGCTCCGACCCGAGCAGCAGCGAAGAAAACGGAAATGTATTGTTCGCAATTACCAGCCATGACACCAATGCGATCGCCTTTTTGGATTCCCATGGCCAAAAGACCACGTGCCAGCCGGTCGGTTTCCTCGTTCAAGGTGGCATAGGTCCAGCGGGCTCCGGTCCAGGGGAAGACCAGGCACTCGTAATCACCATATTGAAGGCTCTGTAGAGTCAGCAGCTCACCCAGTGTGATATCTAGGAGCTTGGGCTCGGTCGGGCCATAAACAATGGACAATGGCCGGGCCTGTCTGGAGGGTTGGAAATGGGAGAGGGTTTGTTGAAGACGCCGGAGAGTTGCCATTTTGCAGGGAATTCGGGAGGACAGGGCCAAAACTCGTAGGATCTTATCAGATCAGGCCATCAGGGCCCCTGATGCCAGACTTATATTAACGGTCGGGCCATGGCTGCTACTTGTGTAGGAAAGAGAGACATCCGTCATCCTGTGGTTCCGCAACTTGGCCGTTTCGGCTGTCGGTACCCAATAGGGCAACTGGAAGATACCGTTGGCCGACGCCATCCCCACTCCTCTGGCTCCCGGACCCAGTCAGAATTTTCCCCTATCATCGGGGAACTGGGAAGAGGGCTGCTATTTCCTTCTCACAGGGTGTGATCGCGACTAGAGCTTAGATGGCGGTAAATTTCCGGCTTTCTGCAACTTTCCAAGCCGAGGTTGCCGGCCAGGAACCCTAAATGCTGCAGAGAATGACTGGTTGCCGTTGGCCAGAACCGGATCAGATAACGCGGGTGGGTTTCAAACGGGGTTTGCAGAATCTGATCCAGGCTGTCCACCCAAATTGCATCATCGCCCAAGGCACAAGGCCCAGAACCGGCACCATTATCAATGGATTGCTCCGCCCTTCTCCACGACCCGTTGCTCGGAGAAGCATGGCATGACGGCCATTCTCCCGGTATTCTAGTACGATACGGCGTATGGATTGAATCTGCGCGGTTCACCAGAATGGTCCCGTGTATACATTTAGCCGAGCGGTCAGATGTACTTTATTAACTGCAAGAAAATTGGTTAATGATTCAATTGTAAACTTTAAGTGAAATGTATCAATGCGCGAAGTGACAGTAGCATGATTAGTTCCATTATGTTGCTTCATCTTCAACAAGCTTCGGCAATACGTACGTCCCCTTTCTTCCTGCATCCTAGCAAGACCCCAGTGAATACACAGCTTCGAAAATATCACATGCTCGTGGCAGTTGAAGGATTGGCTGGGGATTCATCAGGTGCTGCTTTCACAGCCTTGGTGATTTTATCCAACTCTCTGGCATCACGAACGACTTTTTCAGCAATGTCCAGATACTCTGGATCTGGAACATCTCCCCAGTCCCATGATCTGATCTCCTGGATTGCGGATGGCACCATTTCCATAAACTCCCTCTCTGCTGCCTCCTCTTCCTCGGCGGTGTTGTATTGTGTATCAGCTGGAGGGCCATGGAAGATGTATCCGTGCATGAAGCCCGCGAGGTCACTTATTACTTGATGTCGTATGGAGTAGTCGGCGACGGAGGAATTCACGAGGTGATGGATCATTGACAACATATATCGAGGAGGTTTCGGGGTCAAGAGTTGTTGTTTATGGTCAAATGTGGATGGAACTTCGAAAGTGTCCTCGAGAGTCAGACCAAGTACCGACAGAGGATAAAGGTAGATCATGCTTCCGTACACAGCATCTTTGTGGAATCGGCTTAGATCTACCCATCCGCCAAGATAGTAATTGCAGTCAGGCTTTGAAGCCTCAGGAAAGCCATTATCGGCAAGTGTTTGTGAAGCAAATGTCAGGAGATCATCGGGAACCGCCCATTCAGCGCCCTAGTAAAGGGGAGTCAGACATATTCTGACATGGAGGGAGTGGGGATGTCTCATCACTTACCATGAGGACTTCTGCCCATCCCCATCGATAGAGAATTTGCGAACCATATTCCACCACCGGAATTTCCTCATCGATGAGCGCTTTCAGAGCTTTCCTCAAGATTTCGTCGTGCATTTGCACACCCTTCCGCCCATTAAAGACCGGTAGGTGTGTTTCTCGGACCATTATCGGTGCAGCCGCACCTGTATCCATGTTTGCGCCATCGCGGTCTTCCGAAGAAAGGCCCTCAGATTCGGAAATCTCAGAAGGGGAATGCACCGAGGAGCCCGGGGATGAGTAGGTGGCCCCAGTAGGCTCAACCGGACTTGAAGGACAAGCATTATCGAATGATATCTCGAGACCTGAAGAGGCTGCCACAGCATCAGGGCATTCACAAGACACGGCAGAAGGAGGACTAGAAATCTTGAAAGAGGCGACTTGCACTGGTAGAGTCGCCATGGCACCTAAATGTTCACAAGGAATAACTAGAGGGTTCAGAGGGCTCGGGCTTTTGACAGACGAAATCAGGGTTAGGTGAGCTAGACTGTAGAAGGTCCCTTTCAAGGGTTAACAGTTGGGTAGACGAAAGAATAAATGCTTGTAGAACTGGCAGTGAGTGGGATTTGGGAAAGAGAAGAAAAAGAGTGAGCGATGAGATGAGCTTGTGATCTCTCAGAGGGAGCCAAGGTCACCTGACTCAACAACCAGACATTGACCATTGGCCATTCCTCTTTACGTTTCCTAACATACTTGTGTTATTTACATGCCAAAGATTCACCCCGATGCCTGGCCTACCACCTGGATCATATCAACTTCCCGGCCCTCTTCTAGTCAGTACTCAGGTTGCGATCAGAAAGAGGGAGATTCTGCTCCGTTGTAGTTCTGTACAGCTGCAAGATCCTCAGGCTTCAGATTCGCCTCGAGCAGCTGACACATCTCGGAGGATTCGCTGTGTCTGTACAGGTCACAAACGTTCTGCAGAGTGAGCTCCTTTGGTCTCTCCGGGTAGCCGGCAAAGTCGATATGCATCCCCGAATCTCGAAGCCACTTGAGAAGAACCACAATATCTTCGGCGTCGGTTTTAAATTTCCTCTTGGACTCGGGTCTGTGAGAAGTCCTGTATATGGCCCATCGCTTGACCTTTGTCAGAAAAAGAATCGAAGGATGAACGATAGGTACTACGGCAGTACGCTATAGTCAGCAATTTTTTTCTTATTTCTGCATCAATCAAAGACACATGTGGGCAAAGGTAGGACAGGGCACACTCACTGAGTATTGGAAGACGCGTATGAGGAGGCATGCTCATTATCTTCACAGAAGCTGCAGAAGGCAGCCGCATGTGCTCGTTATCTCCCCCGCGTATGATATCGCACTTCACTGGGTCCGCTTCTCTTCTTCTTTCTTCTGTTGATAGAAGAGACGGAAACCTTGGATCTGGAATATAGGATCCTGCAGAAGAAGGTTCTGGATTGTCCGGGGATCGGCGTCAACGATGACATCGATATCCTATTCGCAAGTGAGTCCTAAATATTCCAAGACATTGAGATGTGAACGAAAATGTAACTTCAAGTGGCTTTATGGAGACCCCAGGAGAGGTGTCTCTCGAGAGCCACCTAAATCATTTGCTCCCGAGACGTCTCAAAGGGTATCGCTGTTGGGTTCACATCATAAGTACTACTTACTTGCGTGATCCGCATTGCAGAAATCAGACTGGTCGCATATCCTCCAATGAAAGCATGGCGAATGCCTTCCCGGCGAAGGAGTGTGCTGAGCTCTGTTGCTGCAGCATCAAGGCCCCGTAAATTCTTCTGCAATTTATCCATGGGCAGGGGGTCCTGCACTTCATGCTTCGGCGTATCTGTCATGATGATGGTATGGTATATTGAGGCAAGTCTACAAAGAACAGACGTTGATATGTAAGTAGAATTGGGAGGTATGTTTGGATATAGGTAGTTAAGATATTGCAAGAGGAAACACAAAGTCCAAAGCGCAAGACAAGAGTGTGGATGAGAGCAGCACTCTCGATAAATATGCGACAGAGGTCGAAAATTGAATTCTCTTTACAGAATCAATGAGTATATTCACCAACATCTATTAACAAAACCCATTCATAGTGTGGCAGATGACTATTGGTGAGTATGAACCACCTGATGCTCCTGCCCTTCATTCCCCTTCATCTAGCCTGCCATCTCTCTAATTCATCAACATCATTGATTACCGGCATCTTAATTGGCCTAGGTAATTCATCAACGGTTTGATATACATTTTATGATACTGCTAATCAAACTTGAGGGGAAGTGAATCTTGGGTCCGGCCGGCCGGTCTGCCTTACTACGAGCCCCCTCCTTCTGGGGAACCCCATGTGCTTCACCGAACAAGTACATTTACTGAAACATGCCAGACTGTTTGAAGCAGGCTTTGTACGAATCTAAATCACATGAGTCAGAGGTATTGAAGTTAAAGTGTTGAATTGGACCCAGTGAATGTTCTGTATTAACTATCTCCACCTTCAATGCAAGTAGCCAACCGGGATATATGTTGGGATCTATTCACCCTTGAAGCAGTTCCCTTAGCCAAGTGATTTCTCTTTTGGTTTAGTTGGGAGTTTCTGTCAATGCATCTCTTGTCTACGTGGTAGCAGTTTTGGCATTTATGTACCTTGCTGAGCAAGCGGATTGGTCAGGAAGAAGTAGGAAGGGGATATAAGTTTTTTTATACGGATTAGAGCTTTTTGCTATGGTTTGACGGAGATCTTCTTTAACATGTCTCTTCTACTCAGCTGTATTCTGCAAATGTAAGTCAGGAATCATAAACAACATATATAAGCACGGCTTATACAAGTCTATACACTAATTCATTCATCCGCGTGTAATCAGACTAAAAGCACAGCTGCTAGTACCAATTATGGAGACATCCAGCGGAGCAGTTCCGTTCCATGTGTCACTCGGAGTCGGTTTTTATTACTTCAACCCGGAGCGATCGGCTGGACCCTATCATCGGCTCCAGCTTGATGGTCTCAGTTTCTGACAACTGGTTTCTTAGCGTCAACGCAAGTGCCACACGAGAGCGGGCAGAAGAAATTTCGCAAGACGCCATCGGATGGATAATCAGATACCCCTCCCTCTCCACCGTGGATCAGATAATACCCCGAAGGCCCGAACAGGCACTTGAGCCTGAATTATCAGACCGCTAAGTTATTAAGGTGGACCCGCACCCGTGAAAGCGAAAAGCTGTGCAAGGCCGCAGGCAGGATGGGAAGTTCTACAAGAACCTGGGCAGTGCTTGCTCAGTCTGCGAAGAGCCGAGGTCATACACCGTCTGTTAATTTGCTCAGATGCGGAGACCGATACCATCGGCTAGAATGAGACACGCCGATCGAATACGCTCAAGGCCAAGTCGGATTTGCCCAAAGCAGAAACGTCGGCTACAGCCGTGCAGAGATCTGGCCAGCAAGTATCTCTGAAATCGCACGTTTGCAAACGCTGTCCGGGTAAGTTACCGTCCTGTATTGGGAACGAACTGGAGTGGTCATGACGGTACGGATCTAATCAGATTAGAAGATGATCTAATCAGATAATCCCTGTCCGAGGATCGGAGAAATGGCAGGTCCGGCGGCTAACCCGCAGTGGGAGGCCATGGCCGAGTCGCGTGTTTCCCGCGCGCACCGCCCGAGCAATGAAGGATCCTGCCCAAATCCCGCCCTGCCACCCTACACATCCCAATCCCACCGGTGGTTCGACCGCCATCGCCTTGAATCTTGTTCCCCCCCCACCCGCTCATCGGTCGTCCAATGGCGGTGCGTGGTACATACCCCTTGGGTCCACTGCCAATGACGAGGAATGGTGGTGACCTGCAAAGTTCCTGCGTTGAAAAAGTGTCTCTGTGCGACACTCACAATCCGTTGGGGTTCGTTTATGTTCCTGCTGGCGACCGCTTCCTCTATTCCTGGGAGCAGTCAACTTTAGGAGTCCTGTTGTCGAGCCAGCCGAGTTCGCTGCCTGCCTTTGCATGTGCGTGACGACCCCGCTCGTGATACACTAAAGCAATGACAGCCACAACCCCGAGAAATGAGGGGCACGAAGCCTCGACAGATTCCGCAAGCAAGACTCCCCATCCCACCATGAATGGCAACTCCTCAACTATGACTGCTCCAGTCCTTCCTGTCACCAAAGTCCCGGCGCTGGACACGGTCGATCATTATGCCGTGCAAAAATCCGGCGGTGACGCGGTAGCGATCAGCCCACCGATCGAGCTGGCCTGCCACTCCGACTTTCAAGATGTCGCAAACAGTCTGATTGAAGGCTACGCCCGTTTTGTCTCTGGGTTTACTGGATCCGAGGATGTGGCCTTCTTCATGTCTCAGTCGAGCCTCGCCAGCGAGTCCGAGCCGTTACGCGGGGTTATTTCGGCTTCCATCGTTGCGGGGGAAGAGGGGCAGCGCCCAACATGCGCCATCCGCGATGCCAGCCAACAGCACGCGGATGGAGGCGAGGTACAGTTTTCTCTACATCTGGGATTGTGCACCGATCCTGAAAATGGCGGGCAACAACCCCTTGCGGGAGTTCCAGACGGTGTAAGTGCTCCCAACGCAGGCGCTAAAGGCTCATGGGGACTAACCGCTGCTAGACCTTCGCGACATTCATTAAGCCTGTCGCAACGAAAGAAGCCCTCCAAATCCGTTTCGCCTATCCCGGGCGGCTTATTCCTGAGCCTGCGGTGGACCAGGTGCTTCGAACACTTGCGACGCATCTGGCCAACTCCAGTCCCTCCCTTTCCGTTGAGGCCTCGTTGCCCGACCTTTCGATCCTTAATTTCCCCCCATTTACGATACCCCCATCACGAGAAAACGAACAAAACGAATTTATTGAGCCTGACGATTCCAAGCAATTTCTTCTTCATACCGCTTTCGAGAGCTGGGCCCGTCGAAAGCCTAATGCCATCGCACTTGACTTTGTTCATTCTTTGCCTTCGGCGACGGCTGCAGCCGAGCACAGCATTGTCACTTATGCCGCCCTTGACCAAGCAGCCACCAATCTCGCTGTACATATCAGGTCCCTCCTATCCGCAAATAACGTGGCAGATTATGGACGTATCGTCCCTGTCTACATGTCAACATCCCCCGAACTCTACATCTCATACCTCGCTATTCTCAAGGCGGGTTTCGCCTTTTCTCCCATTGCCCAGGACGCCCCAGTACAGAGAGTTCGGGACATTCTGAAGGACATAGACTGTCCTATCATTCTGGGGAATACTCCTGAGCCCGCCTCAGGGCCATGGAGCGCAGATAGCGCCGATGGCGATGCCGTCAAGCATGTTTGGGTTGACGTTGCCGAGGCCTCGAAGTGGAAGGAACTGAGAGACGGTCTCGTCGAGCCTTCTGCTCAGATTGAGCCTGTGGAGCAACTGGACATCATGCATGACCAGACCGCGTATCTTCTCTTCACCAGCGGCTCTACTGGAAAACCGAAAGGTGTCCAGGTCAGCCACTTAGCTGCTGCCTGCTCCATCGAGTCTCATGCTACAGCTATTCCACTTCCAGGTGAGGCAGAGGGTGACTTTCGTTGGTTTCAATTCGCCGCTCCCACCTTCGACCCCTCGCTCATGGAAATCTTCGTCACTTTGAGTAGCGGCGCTACTCTCTGCTCTGCTGACCGGAGCCTAACATTGACCGATCTGGAAGCAACTGTCAACGAGGCTCGAGCGACTGTGATGATGGCCACGCCTAGCTTGGCCGCGCTTCTCCGGCCATCGCGGTTAAGCACGCTTCAGTCTCTCTGGACTATGGGTGAGAAGCTCAACCGGACAGTCATCGAAAACTTCTCCGCAAAGCCTCATGTGAACGGAACCAATACAGACTCTAAGCCCTCACGAATGTTGGTCAATGCCTACGGCCCTACCGAAGGAGCGATCAACTGCACCTTTCTGGCGCCGGTCAGCTATTCCGTCCGTGGCTCGATTATTGGTGAAGCACTACCGACCTGTTCAATGTTTGTTTTGGACCCAAACAGCCATGATCCGAAAGTGGTTCCCGCTGGCCTTGCTGGCGAGCTGGCGATCGGAGGTCCTCAAGTCAGTAAAGGCTATCTCAACCGTCCAGTGGAAACCGCCAAGTCATTCGTTCATAGTGCCCAGTTTGGCCGTTTGTATCGGACCGGTGACATGGCTCGGATTGTCTGGGACGAGTCCGGATCCCAGGTCATTGAGTTTCTTGGTCGGATCACGTCCGACCAGGTCAAAGTCAGCGGTCGCCGCCTCGAATTGGGTGAAATTGAATCAGTTCTTGCGACGGTCCGCGGTGTCACTGAGGTTGTGGCCGTGTTATCAAAACGCGATGACGTTCAGGGCAGTGAACAAATTGTCGCATGTCTGGTTGCAAGCGACGACAGCGAAGTAGAACGAGAGAGAATTGTTTGGGAAGCGCAGCAGAGCACCGAGCGGCACCTCTCGTCTTACATGTGCCCGTCGTCTTATACCTTTTATGATGTTCTTCCCAGGTCCAGCTCCGGCAAGGTTGATCGCAAGGCCATATCTGCAAGACTACAGCAAGCAGTTGAGAATAATGTCGGATTCTATCATGCTCCCAAATCGAAGCCTGGCGAAATAAACGGGGTGCATGATGAGTGGGAAACACCCGACGACGAAAGCCTGTTGTCTATCAGGCAACTTGTGGTGAACTTAGTTGCGGAGGCCACAGATGAGGGTGCTTCGGCTATCGGGCCTGAGACTGATCTATATTCCCTCGGTGTTGATAGTTTGGGAGCGATGCGCCTCCTGCAAAAACTGAGAGATCACTCCATTGAAGGCTTATCGGTTGGCGATGTTCTACAGTCTGGGACGCCCAAGGCGTTGGTCTCGGCCATCGCGCAGCAACGTCAAGCGAACGGGATTTCACATGCCAATGGGCTCGAAGGCACCTTACAACACATACTTGCAGCCTTTGGAGACCGGAAACTTTTGGTTTGTGCGGAGAGACTGGGCCTGATCCCTGAACAGATTCAGAAGGTGCTTCCAACCACCGCAACGCAGTCCGGCATGTTGACAAGCTTCCTTCAAACCTTGTCTAGTAATACCTTTGCAACTCGCTCGTACATCTATCACTCGGTTCTTCCACTTGAGCCGGAAGTCGATGTCGACCGCATCAAAAGCGCATGGGGAACTGTCATTGCAAACTATGATTCCTTTCGGACGGTTTTTTGCGGGGTTGATGATGATATGGCACCGTTTGCACAGTGCATTCTAGCTCCCGGGACTAACTTTAGGGACATTTGGAATGTATACCACGTTACAGAGGATTCTGAAGAAGACATTCTACAGCGAGCCCTTCAACAAGCAGAAGAGTCGATTGATTTAAGTACCCCGCCTTGGAGGCTGTCTCTAGTCACGTCTTCTACATCATCTCGGATAATCCTAAGCATGTTCCATGGGATCTTTGATGGTGGATCGTCGCAGCTACTGCTCGAGGATGTGTCTTCAGTGTACTCAGGAAAGTCGCCAGCGCGGCGTATCTCGCTGGAGCACATTGTAAAGCACCATTTCCAAGCCGATCATGCAGCAGCTGCCCGGTTCTGGCAGAAGCATTTGGAGAACTATTCTCCGGTCGTTTTCCCGTCTGTAACTTCTTACCGCCCTTCTTCAATCAAGAAGACTGGCTGTGTAGAGGTTACTGCTCGCACGAGCTACGACCGCCTGAAGAGACAATCCAAGTCCATCGGCGCAACACCTCTTTCAGTGCTTCAGGCTGCTTGGGGTTCCGTTCTTCTGGCTTACACTGGTACTCCCGATCACGACGTGGTTATGGGCAGTGTCGTCTCTGGACGACTTGACGTGGACTCGGAAGTGTGCGTTGGACCAACCCTTGCCACTATCCCCATCAGACTTTCCCTAAGTCAGATTCGTAAAGACTCGGGGGATTGGTCGACTAACCGCTCTGTTGCGCGTCATTTGACAATGTTCAATGCGGAAACACTTCCCTATCTACAGACTCGTCTGGGATCATTGGTGATGGCGGATGGCCGACTTCCATATGACACGCTCATTGTTTATCAAGACTTTAACGCTAGCTCGAGCTCTAGTGGCCTTTGGAGCTCAGTCGACCACCCGGCCATGGCAAATGACTTTGCTGTCATGATCGAGATTTGGCCTGGTGCTGATTCATCATTGACCTTGCGAGCCAGCTTCAGCGATGCGCAGCTTGATCGCAGCTCAGCCGAAATCATGCTCGAGCAGATGTCTGACATCGTTGCCTTCATACTCGAGCATCCCGATGGAAACTTCCAAGATGCCTTATTTCACACCGAGACTGGGTTGAAGTCATGTTCCAACCCAACGCCGTCTACTGCCCCAGAAGTACTGGAGGGAGCCCTTCTGCAATCCCAGTTCGAAGAGCACGCAGCCTCACACCCAGAAGACCCTGCCTTGATCTTCAAGTATGATTTGGAAGATGACAGTAATCCTCGCAACATCACATGGTCCTACGCCAAGCTCAACGCTTTAGCGGACAATCTCGCCGAACATTTGCTTCAAACTGGCGCACAGTTGACAAACTCACCGATACCTATTTGCATCGAGAAAAGCCCAGCCTCGTATGTCGCTATCCTCGGTATTCTCAAAGCCGGGGGTGCTTGGTGTCCAATCGATACGTTCTCTCCTGCACAACGTCGCCATGACCTTATTGCACGGACTGGGTCAACGATTCTTCTGGTCTCGAGTGCGGACGGGGCACAGCCAGAAGACTCGATTCCCGTCGGTGTCGATGTGATCGATGTTGACAAGTTCACCACTGAACCCACTAATGTGGACGGAGCGATGCGAAATAAAACTAATCATAGAACTACCCCTGATGGTATGGCATATCTTATCTGGACCAGTGGTACAACAGGAGCGCCAAAAGGGGTCCCGATCAAACATTCGTCGGCTGTTTCGAGTATGAAATCTCTCCAAAAGGATATCCCGACCGACGTGGCAGGTGGCGTACGTTGCTTGCAGTTCTCGCAGCATACCTTTGATGTTTCCGTCCAGGACCTCTTCTACACTTGGGGCGTGGGAGGTGTCCTTATCTCTGCCTCGAGGGAAATCATGCTGGGTTCATTTCCTAAGCTAGCAAACACCACGAAGGCAACGCACGCGCACCTTACCCCTGCGTTTTCTGCGGCTGTCTCCCGGAAGACCTGCGAGACCCTTCAGGTGATTACCATGATCGGGGAAAAGCTGACACAGTCCGTGGCCGACGACTGGGGGACTAATATGAGAGCATACAATACTTATGGCCCTGCGGAAGTGACGGTGGTTTCGACCATAAGAGAGTTCGGAAATGAGCACATCAATGTCAAGAGTGCAAACATTGGCTGGCCAATGGATTCGGTATCTGTGTTTGTAACCAAGAATCAACGCCTCGTCATGAAAAATGCCATTGGAGAGCTGGCGCTGGGCGGACCACAGCTCTCCCCCGGTTACTTGAGTCAAGACGATGTCACCAAAGCCAAGTATGTCTGGAATGAAGAGGCGGGCCAGATGGTGTACTATACCGGGGACTTGGTTCGCATGCTTGCTGATGGCTCTCTGGAATACATCAGCCGTGTGGATGACTTGGTCAAGCTAGGCGGTATCCGAGTCGAGCTGAGTGAGATCAGCTTCGCCCTGGACGAGTGCCATCCTTTGGTTGAGAGCATCGAGACGCTTATTCTCAACCGCCCAGACCGGCCCAATAAGGTCATGGTTGCCTTTCTCTCCGCCCCCGGGGCTGCAAGGACAGCTGGCAGCGAGCAGCTCGTGTTGCTCGACGAGACGGCACTTGAAATTGCCCGTGCCGCCAGCGAGAAGGCGCAAAGCTCTCTGCCTAGCTACATGATCCCATCGGTTTATCTCGTGGTATCGTACATTCCGAGAACATCGTCCGCCAAGACAGATCGCAGGGCCTTGCAAGCGGCCTATGCTTCTATAGATATCGATAGCTGGGAAAAGGAGATGAGCCCAGAGGCCGACATTCATACACAGAATTCCGGGGAGGAGGACACCACGTCCATAACCACCCAAGTGGTAGAGATGATCGCTTCACTCGCCAATATCTCCAAGCCAAGCATCACGAGATCCAGCCGTTTGCGGAGTTTGGGTATCGATTCTATTCGCGCAACCCGGCTCGCATCCAGGCTCAAGGAGGCAGGTCACCATTTGTCCGTTGTCGAAGTCCTAAAATGTGTGAGTGTCCAAGATCTTGTCAAGCTAGCCTCGAGTGAAGAGGTGGAGAATTCCGCTTTCGAGACATTCAACGTGAGTGGGTTCAACGACGCCTGGCACGCAGCGGCAGCAAGTGGAGTACCGGAGGATTTCGTCGTCGTGCGCGCGACCACGATCCAAGAAAGTCTGCTCAGTGAGACTATGGGCACATACAACATGTATTGGAGCAACCATTTCTTTTTGCTTGATAGCTCGGTGGACGCCACGCGATTGAAGCAGGCATGGCTTGCGACCAGCCAGAAGGTCGAGGCATTGAGGACTGGCTTCATTCCTGTTGCTGAGGTTTATAACGGCAGCAGTAGGTCTCGTGGAGATCTTGACTTCTCCATTTTACAGATTATCTACAATCTGCCGGGTCTGGATTGGGAACATGTCAATTGCTCCGAGCAGGATTTGGTGGAGCTTCGGGATACCCGAATTGAGGAGATCATGACGAAACATCAGCAGGCCTACTTTAAACATCCCCCATGGGCTGTTACTGTATTCGACACTGGCGACAGGCAACTCATGATCTTCACTGTTCATCACTCTATCCACGATGAGCCTTCACTGGGACTGATCATGGATGATGTGCGGTCCGCCTATGCCTATAAACCGCCCCCGAGGCATCAACTTTGCGATGCACTCTCAATAGTTCTACCGACAGAAAGGCGAAGCAGCGCGACCAGGAGCTTCTGGGAAACAGAACTCACGAGATTCTCAGAGCTGGACGCTCCGGTTTGGCCCGACCTTACCGGAAAGAGGCTACAACCAGGCGAAGTCCCCAAGTACGAGTTGATCACTGAAGAGCTTCCGATGACAGAGCCGGTGGAGAAGCTGCAATCTTTTGCAGCTCAACTTGGAGTTTCATCCATTGCCTCGATTATTCGTGCCGCATGGGCCTATGTATCGTTGGGTTACCTCGGTGTGCCAGCGATTGTTTTCGCCGAGACCCTCTCCGACAGAGTCTTGCACGCCGATCTCGAAGACTGCATTGGACCACTCATCTCCGTGGTACCGGTTCCGTTCAATCCGACGGGAACCACTCGTGAGCTACTCGCAGAGCAACATCGGCTTTCTGTTCAGTCCTGGAAGTACCGCCATATTCATGCTCGCGAGATTAGAAGAATGCTCAAGAGGCCGAGGGGGGAGGCCCTGTATCCAGCAGTGTTCAACTTCCATGCTCCAAATGAAGAGCCTGTGATCGGCACTGAGCCGAGCATTTGGCGTGAGGTTGAAGATGAGGTCGGACTGCATGTTGAGCATCCCATGGCCATGAATATCTTCCAACGTACGGACGGCTCCATTGTCCTCGAGGCAACTGCCGATAGCAGCATAATGTGCCGTGCACAGCTGTCTCTTTTTGTCCGTCAAATTGATGGGCTTATCAGTTCAATGCTGGCATCTCCAGATGAGCCACTGAAAAGTCTCGTCAACCATTTCCCAGCGGCTTTGCGGTCTCTATCAAACCAGCCAGTCAGCGAGGAAGTAACTAACTCGGTGCGAATGAGCCCAACGCACTGGTTGGAGGTGTACGCTGAGAAGCACCCCGAATGGACAGCTGTCGAGGTGGCCAGCAGCATATCCTCAAGTGGAGTTGAAAAGGAAGCCATGAGCTACGGTACCCTGAACTCTGAAGCCAACCGTGTTGCGGCCTTCTTGGCATCTCTCGGTCATAAGAACAGGATGATTGCGGTCTGCTCTGGACGAAACTTGCCTTCATATCCAATCATCATCGGTATCTTCAAATCAGGAAATACTTATCTCCCAATCGAGGAAGGTCTTCCTGTGGATCGCAAAACGTTTCTCATTGAGGATAGTGATTGCCCTGTTGTTTTCACGGAAACAGCACTTGCATCTACATTCGCGAATATCCCCAAGAGCTGTCGCGTGATGTGTATCGATGATCCGGAGCTCTCGACCTCACTTGCCGCAATGTCACGCGAAAACCAGGACTATAACTCTGACACCAACGACCTGGCATATCTGCTTTTCACATCTGGCTCAACGGGTAAACCCAAGGGTGTCATGGTGACTCGAGGCAACCTTTCGTCTTTTATCGAATCCTTCGGGGAGTTCACCTGTGGATATGCCCCCGTTACGTATGAGTTGGGTGGTACAGGAAGATATCTTGCACAGGCTAGTCGGGCTTTCGATCCCCATCTCTTGGAGATGTTCTTCCCCTGGCGTCATGGAATGGCCACGGTGACAGCTCCTAGGATGATGATTCTTGATGATCTTGGTTTAACCCTTTCCAAATGGGACATCACGCATGCAAGTTTGGTGCCATCGCTTGTGGATCAGGCAAACATTGTACCAGAACAGTGTCCAAACCTGAGATTCATGACTGTTGGAGGTGAAAAGATATCGCAAAGGGTATTAGACACATGGGCGGGATCACACATGGCGCTTGTCAACGCGTACGGCCCGACTGAGTTGACTATTGGCTGCACCTTTGCTCGCGTTGGGAAGGACACCAATCTACGCAACATTGGCCCCCCGCTGGCGGCCTGTGTCTGTCATGTCCTTGTCCCTGGTACTCTTGACTATGCTCTAAGGGGCCAGTCTGGAGAGTTGTGCTTTACTGGAGACCTTGTTGCAAGGGGATACCTCAATAGACCAGATGCTACCGGGTTCGTCACCGGACCTCATGGTGAGAAGATGTATCGTACCGGTGATATAGGACGCTTGATGCCCGACGACTCGGTGGAATATCTTGGACGTGCCGACGACCAAACCAAAATTCGTGGTCAACGATTAGAACTTGGAGAGGTATCGGAGGTAATACGCTCATCGTCGAGCGTCGGTATCGATGTTGTTACGACTGTTGCAAAACATCCTGGCCTTTCGAGAGTCCAGCTGATCTCTTTCATCGCGCGTTCCGAAGCTCGCCAGCGTGAGAAGAGCGGCAATGTCACCTTTTTTCAATCCGACTTTGCAACATTAGGCAGGGAACTTCAAGACATTTGCAAGAGAAGGTTACCGAGCTACATGGTGCCTGAGCTAATCCTCCCGATTACGTACATTCCTTTGGCACCCATGTCAGGCAAGGCAAATATCAAAGAACTGCACGGCCTCTTCGCGAGCCTTCCGCTTCCTACTGTGCTCCAAGGCAACAGCTCATCGAGGAACGGGGCCACTATCAGCCGGACATTGACTGCCGATGAGGAGGCTGTAGTGCGAGAGGTTTGCGGTGTCGTCTCGGCGAACCCTTCCATCTTTGGGCCCATGACAAATATCTTTGAGATCGGCCTCGATAGCCTTAGTGCCATAGGTCTTACGATCAGGCTCCGGAGAATTGGTTATGAGGTTACGGTAGCTATGGTCATGAGCAATCCGGTTATTGAGCAGCTTGCACGCTTGCCTAGGAGTTCCTCTTCTTCGGAAACGAATAGTATCTCCAAGGCGCGTCAAGCCTTCCACGAGATTGAGTCCCAATACCGAAAGCACCCCTCGCCAGGTGTCGAACCATCTGACGTGTCCACAGTCAGACCTTGTCTCCCGCTCCAGGAAGGTCTGGTTGCTCGCTCAATTAATAGTGAAGGGGATCAACTCTATGTCAACCACGTTGTCCTCCAACTCGGGGCCGATGTCGATGCTAATAAGTTGAGATCTGCCTGGAACGCTGTTGTCAATAACAACGACATTCTGAGGACTTCGTTCGCGTCTTTGGACAAGCAGATGGTGCAGATCGTATTCTCAGCTGAATCCCACCAGGTCCAATGGAAGGAGGAGGAATATGGCAGCTTGAATGAGTCTATCGATCAGAACAAAGCACAGCAAGAGAGTATCTCCCAGGACATCATTTCGAACATTGCCACGATGCCACCAGTACGGTTCCAACTAGCCCAGTCCTCGGAAACTAAAGGACCCCTTGCCCTCTTCATCGGCATCCATCACGCCCTATATGATGGCGAGTCGTTCATGATGCTGTTGGAGGATGTTGCGGCACACTACGCAGCTCAGCCGACTCCGCGAAGGGGGTCGCCGTTGGCTTTCCTCGAATATGTATGTACACAGGATCAAGAAAAAGCTAAACAACACTGGGTCCAGTATTTGGAGGGATGTCGTCCGACAATCTTCCGTGCTGACTCCAATGTCACGGAACTTCCGACTGCCATACACAGGAAGCTCGGCAGTAAGCTCTCTGAGCTGGAACGCCGTTCTGCAACTCTCCAGACTACAGTACCATCCTTGATGCAGGCAACCTTTGCGCTTTTGCTGGCCGATACCGTGGGTGCGGCAGATGTAACCTACGGATTGGTCCTTTCTGGTAGGGCTGTGTCGGTGCCAGGAGCAACCTCGGTGCTTCTCCCTTGCATCACTACCGTCCCCGGACGTCTCAATACCGCTGGCATGGACACAGTTGATGAAGTGGTGGAGAACGTCCAAAAGTCCACTGTGAGGTCGCTTGATTTCCAGCACACGTCCCTGAGACATATACAAAGATGGACCAATGCACAAACTCCTCTGTTTGACTGTCTGTTCTCATACATCCGGGCAGCCACGCCACCAGGACACCATTTGTGGCAGGAGCTAGACAGTCATATGCCGGCTGAGTATCCGTTGGCAGTCGAAGTCGAAGCCAATCATCTCACGGATACCATTCAACTTAACAGTTATTTCTCGTCTGCCTTTGGTTTGTCTTACAGTGGAGAAGACTTCCTCGAGAAGATGGATGCTGTGCTCTCGAGCATTGTATCAGGAGAGGTTCTTTCGCTGGAGAACTTCAATGTGTCTCACTCATCGGTACCTGGTTCACCTTCTGCGGTACAGTGGGACAACAATACATGGTCCACCACCGAATTAACGATCCGTGAATACACTATGGCTTTCTGCGAGCTAACTTCGGCCGAAGTTACTAAGGCCGCTTCTTTCCTAAGTCTAGGCGTGGATTCGGTGACAGCGATTCAGTTTGCACGCCAACTACGTGAAGCAGGGCTTCAGGTCTCTTCTGCTGATGTTATGCGTTTCTCATGTGTCGGTGCATTGGCTCAGCACGTGGAGCATGTCTCAACCCAGGCCCTTGTCAACGGAAATGATGACGGTGACAAGACTAGTATCGATATCCCTGTTGACATGTACAAGGAACACGTCCGTCTTCTTGCAGAGAATGACTCGATCTCGGTGATGTTCGAGACTACGCCACTGCAGTCCGGAATGATCACACAGACTCTTGCTTCAGCCGGACAGGTCTACGTCCACCCGCACCCCATCCAGCTGAAGGAGTCGGTCGATACCACTCGGCTAAAGGATGCTCTTATGAGGGTTGTTGCGGCAAATGATATACTGCGTACATCTTTCCATCTGATCGCAGAGCTTGGGTCGTCCTGGATTGGTGCCGTGCATACTAATCCTCCTTTTAAGTGGAAGGAGATTACACTGCCTTCTGGAGCTGATGTTCTGGCTGAAGTCAGCTCTCTGTATACATTCAACGAAGAGTCTTCATTCGAGCTTCCACCGATCCGGTCCATCCTGGTCAACCAGCCGGAATGCAGGCTATTCGTCATTGTTCTACATCACGCTCTCTATGACGGTGCATCAATTCCTTTCCTCTTTGAAGATCTGGCGGTATGCTACGAAGGTGGTAACCCCTCGGAAAGGCCACAGTTCTCGGAAACTGTGAAGCATATCTTGAGCGGGCAGGAGGAAGCTTGCAAGTTCTGGACACAAAAGCTAAGTGGATACGATGTGACTGAAATCCCTGAACTCCCCAAGGTTGAGTCATCCGACTGCATGTTTCTTTCTGAGCGCCGTGTGGATCTTGACTTGTCGGCCGTAATCGAGGCCTGCAAGGCAATGGAGGTCACTGTTCAGAGCGTTTCTCTCCTAGCATATGCCAAGGTGCTAGCTAGTGTGATTGGAAAGCGTGATGTCGTCTTTGGACAAGTCCTCGCAGGCCGCTCGCTGCCTGTCGCTGGTGCAGAACGAACCCTTGGTCCGTTGTTCAACACTGTCTCTCAGAGAGTGACTTTTGAGCCCAAGTTCCTGAGCAACAAGGCCGTGGCCCAGCGTTTGCAGCAGCTTACGATTGATTCGCAAGGTTATCAGCACGCGCCGTTGAGAGTTGTGCAGAACTCTTTGAGGCAGGCCAATAACATGACATCGTCTAGCCTTTTCGACACGCTCTTCGTTTTCCAGAAAAGTGCGGACTTGGCGGGCAGCGTCATCGAAGAGCAGCAAATTTGGACGCCTTATGAAACGGATGACTACGCGGCGCAGGCCGAATACAAGCTCAACATCGAAGTCGATCATGCCCGCGATGGACTTGTAGTACGAGCAACTTGCAATGGCCGTTACCTCTCCCAAGGAACGCTTGACCATCTTATGGATGAGTTTGCTACTGTTTTTCGTGACATCATCGAACATCCAACTAGATGCGCAACAATTGTACCCGACGGTCTTGGTGAACTCCCGGTAAAACTGTCCTTGGGCCAGACAGTTGATTCCGAGATCGAAACGTTCGAAGCACCTTCCCATGAAGCCATCGTTCAGTCTGTGCTCGCCGAAGTTTCCGGTGTTTCTGTGGACAATATCACACCGAACGCGAGCATCTTCAACATTGGATTGGACTCTTTGTCAGCTATCCGCATTGCCTCAATCTGTCGGTCCAAGGGTCTGAGGACTGGTGTAGCCGACATTCTCCAAGGAAATACTCTGCGTGGTATCAGCCAGCGCATTCGGCCGATGTCCGAGCAGACAATCCAACCCCAAGGCTCACTTATCAAAGACTACGAGATGGTACAGGCGACTGTACTCCAGCAGCTGGACCTAAGCAAGGATTCCATTGAGACAATTCTGCCTTGTCTAGGTGGCCAGTTTCACCACCTTGTCAGCTGGTTGAAGTCTGGACGGACGCTCTTTGAACCTGCCTGGGCATACTTCTGCTCCGAGCGAATCGACAGCACAATTATGGAGAAGGCGTGGTTCCAACTCCGCCAACGGCACCCCATACTCCGCACTTGCTTCGCAGCTGTATCCTCCTCAGAAGCCGTGCAGGTCGTTCTCAAGCAGGCAATGCGCGACACGAACACATTCAAGGTCATCCAGTCCTCTGCCTCCATCACCGAAACGGCCCAAGCACAGGCGAGAGAAGAGGTCCTCCACCCATCCACCCTATTCACACCCCCCGTCCGACTCCGCCTCTTGAACGCCAGAGACAGGGACGGCATTCTCGTCCTCATCAACCACGCCGCATACGATGCCTGGACCATGCCAATGTTTGTGACCGAGCTAGCACAACTCTATCGCAGTCAAGCTCCCGAAACCAACCCGGACTTTCCTGCTTTCGTCGACTTTTCCGTGCGCTCTCTCCAGACCCTTGACGAACAGAAATACTGGACCTCTACTCTCAAGGCCGCCACACCCACTCTCATCCACAACACTCGCCCCGAATCCTCCCCCATCCCAGACCAACTATTCATCGGCGCCTGGGAAAAGGTCAAAAACCTCTCCCGACTCGAAACCAAATGCCGCTCCTCCAACCTCAGCCTCCAAACCGTCGTTCTCCTCGCCATCGCCCGCTGCATCGCGCGTCTCACCGACGTCCAAAACCCAACAATGGGTCTCTACCAAACCGGCCGCTCCGCCTCCTTCAACAACATCGAGAGCCTCTCCGGTCCCTGCCTCAACGTCAACCCGTTCACCATCCCCGACGCTCATCCCAACTCCACCACCGACCTCCTCACCCAAGCCCGCGCCATCCAGTCCTCCCTCGCAGAACGCGTCTCCTACGAACAGAGCTCCCTCCGCAACGTCCTCCAATGGACAAGCTCCACCGAGAAACCCCTCTTCAACGCCTGGGTCAACCTCCTCTGGATGCAAAATGCCATCCCATCCCAAGCCGAGATCGATGCAGCGGATCCCGACGATCTCTTCTTCCCGCTACGCATCGGTGTCCCGACGGACTTTATTCCTGCGGAACCATTGGAAGAAACACTCACTTCCGTATCAGCTCTGGATACGAGTTTCTTGCCAGCAGAGAATGTGTTCATTGATGTTGGACCGGACGCGTTAACGGACTCGATTGGGTTTGGCGTGCGCGTTGAGGGTGGAATTCTGAGCGAGGAGGAGGTGAATGCGCTTGTTGATGAGATTGGGAAGGAAATCGAGATGATTGTGGGGAGTTTGCAATGAGACCATCCACCAAACAAACAGCGCTATTTGGAAGGAGAAGGAAGCCATATAGATACGGACGGACATAGACTGCATCTGGTGTTTATTTTGCAAATGCAAAATTGGTTCATTGTGATCGTGATTGTGATTTACTATCAACTGATTTTGTATGATTCAATCTTGTTATGTTAGTTAGATCATTGATATAAACTACTCCGTACTTGGTTCATATAATCTTGTTCTATCTCTGTTTAATCCTCGATCTAGATCCATCCATCAATCATGACTAGGCAGATAAATAGTCTTTTATAGATCCACACATAATCAATATGCACTACTCACCAAACACCAATAAATATGATATCACAACATTCCAATTCTAACACGTCCCCCCCCCCCCCCCAAAACCCAATAAGAAAAAGTAAAAAAAAATGAAACCTATCTTAATATTGAAATCCTATCCTATGTTTGATGAATATTTATTTATATTTTCATTATTGCATTTTATGAACACTGATCGTCTCTCTAGTCTAGAAACTTCATTTAGGAAAAGGCATCCAACAGGGGCGGGGAATAGGGAGAAAGAAACAATTAAAGGAAATTACAGTGGTGGTGATCACTTGCCTATTTGGGCACAGGATGAAAGGAGAGGTGGGGGTATGTGTTTGTGCGGTGGACGTGGTGGTTTAGGTAGTATGTTTGGACTTTATGATTTTCGAGTAGAAAATTGGAAAAGAAAAGAAAAGAAAAGTGGTGCCGAGATTGTCAAGTTGAGTTGTTGATGGGTTAGGATGATCTGTCTGTATGTGCTTTGGAATAGAAAAAGTCATGAATAAGTATTATCGGTATTCTATTGAAAGGGGTATTACCGTGAGGTCTATGTATATACAAGAAGTAGGAATTAATCACCGCCCATGGACATGAAGAATGGCAGTAGAGAAAAGTGAGAGAGAGAGAGAATAAATTAAGAGACCGTCCCATAAAGCACTCGCTGAACCAAACACAAATCAAAAAAGAGATAGAGGGAAAAAAAATAATTATCGATGCTCTTCTTCCATTTGGAAATCCTTTTGCACCTTGATTGACATTAAATCGTACCCAATGGAATCTTCTTCGTCACTGATTCTTCCCTTGCCAACACTGTCCATTTCGACGTGGATGGAGGTCGTTGTTAATACGGCTTCGTCATCGCGTCGCTGTTTTCGATCATCGCCGTTGATTTTGCTCATGATATCTGGTGCGAATCGGACGCCTTTCTTGGCGGCTCGCTTCGGTGCGTTCGCGTGGCGGTTGATGATGGTTCGGAAGAGTGGTTGGAGGACGGGGAGACAGGCGCAGACAATTCCGATCGAGGGTTCGACACTGGACCAGATGAATACGTTGCCCAGGTTCCAGGTGGCGTCGACGTCGTTGACAAAGGTGAAGTAGTAAATGCGGATGGCGCTGGCGACGCAGACACTAATTATCATTGTTGGTTAGTTTGCGCTGCGGCGGGAGGGTATTTGGTTGTCTTACAAGCCACCCAGAAGGAAGATGCTCAGAATCTGGACCTTTTGTGCGGTTCGCAGTTGCAGTCGCCAGACAAGCGGTATGGGAACGAGTAGAATGAGAATGTCGCCAGCCATGTTGACGACGGCGTGGGCGATGTAGAATGGGTAAATTTTGTAGACGGTGTGACCGCCCAAAGGGTTTTCGTACTGCGTCCAGTAGTACGAGATCGGTCTGCTGGAGCAAAGGAAGGCAACTGTGCAGCCAATCCAGTAGCCGATGGAGAGGATGATGCAGGCCCACATGGTCCACTGCATGCCGAACAATCGACGATAGGATAGGATAATGGAAATTTTAATGAGGGGAACCGTTAGGATATAGAGGAGGACATTTGCGTAAAGAATCTAATACTGTGTGAGCTTGGACGATATTTGCAGGAAATTGCTACTGGAGGTATCTTACATGCACCATGTGGACGATATCTTCTATCGAGACAACCCAGATATGTTTCCCAAGACCATAGTGTCCTCCTAGGGTAGGGTCAGTATGATGGGTGGTTATGTAGAAAGGGCAGATACGGACCGGCTATTGCACAGGCCATATTGGCTGTACCTGAAAGCTGTGATTTTAATTAGGGCAATGACTCTCCGGGTGGAGGACACCAACATACCAAGGCCGATAATATCAACCAGTCATCGAGTCCGATCTTGGCTTGCTGGATCATCTTCCGGGAAAATAACCGGAAGCAAATGGTGACCGCAGCCAGCATGTACATGGAAATGACGACGGCATCGTTCCTGGCCGTGCTGCTTTCCTTGAGATTAAGGCCCTTGGGCGGCTCACCGAAGGGACTGGACATATCGGCAACTTTTACAGAAAATTGAGCACACGCAGAGGCATCGTGAGATAAACGATTCCCAGGACGGACGGCAGACTGGCTCCGGGGCCCATCGGGGTTTTCATCGATCCATTGTTTAGGGGCCAGGAGTGGGCAGTTAATATAAAGCGAGCACGACCAGTGCGAGGAAGGTGGCTGTAGACCCTAGTGCTAGCTAGTGATGTAATCCAACTGCGATGCTGGGGGCTGATTGCCATCCTTCCATCAGCGCGGCAGGCATTCTAGAATCCGCACGGTTGCGTTGCCTTGTTGGTGACCGCAACAGGATCACCGGGTTTCTCCCGGCCATGTCTAAAGAGTGGGGGCGCATTGGCGACTATCTCCACTCGGCCTGTCAGACTTTGAGTGCCTTACAAACGATGCGCCGTCCGGGTGAATCAGGTGAATCAGTTGACCCGCGCTAAGTGGTTGTCGGATATTAGCTGTCTCAGCAAACTGCGCTCTGGCCAACGGGGGAGCGCTTAATGAAAGAATCTTCACCGGTACGCAACGTTCGCCTTGAACCCATTAGCTGTTGTCGGCACCCTGGGGCCGAAAAAGCAGAAAATCCTGCAGAAGCTCATCGTGAGCGTCAGCATTGGAGGATCCATGGCCCCAAAGGCTCAGGGCTTATCAGCCAAGCTCCATCGGCCACACGTGGCCAAGGCAGTGGTCTGATTCTAGGGATTCTAGGGATTCACAGCCAGCATTGAGCAATAATCAGGCAGCTGTCCACCGGTATTAAGCATAATCAAATGTTAAGACTTAAAGTACTAACAGAGACCCACCAGCACGGAGGAACTCCCTAACCCAGCTTCCGTGCCAGGGAACGGGTTCTGGCTAGCCCCTGATTGGGGGCAAGTGGCTGAGAGGTGCGAGAAACTCCGGATAAATCACGGGAGAAGCATTCTGATTGGATGGTCCTGGCCGACATTTCCCAGCGAATAGACGTGCCGACGCGTCCGTCGATCCTGAGCCGGAGATGGGACGAGCTTAGTAGTAGTACTAACTACTATGGCAGCAGTTGGCACGCCAGCTCGGGACTCGGGATCGACCCAAACAGGCGATCGGGAAGTCGTGGATCCTGTGCAGATGCCATCTTTTTCTGCTTGAGTCGGTGGCACAGGCTACATTCTGCACCGGACGGACCCGAGCACCTGGTGGCTGTTGAGAAGGGAATGCATTGACGATGAGTGCAGATGAATTGAAGATGGGAAGACGAGCGAGAATGACAAAGTCGCGACCGAGCCACGTGGGGGCCACGTGATTGGGGCCGGCTGTTGTTTTCTCCTCCTCCGCGGCCAATCACGATCTCTGCTCCGGCATCGCTCTCTCCTCGGTGGAAGCCCTGCATTCTGGAACTGAATAGGCAGCATCTTCCTGAGTCGCTAGCTCCAAGGTGCTTTGGTTCAACCGGGGAAAGAATTAAGGAGAGGGTTTTCGGGTCTAAAGTACGGTAGGTGACCATCTGCTCGGTGGTCATTTCCCCTGCAATCTCCCGCCAGTGGAGCTCTCCTTTGTCCTACGCTTTTTCGAACGCCACGGTGGCTGCCACTCTGGAATGATGTCGGCTCATCCTCCGGGATCGATACCCCCTGGTTTTCAAGTGTCGTCTTCAAAAGTCCCAAACATACCAGGTGCGAAAGCGGACTAACCCAACCAGCGAGCCCCTCGGCAAAACATCGATGAGTGGCATCTTATAGATCCGTCTCGGATCCGAAATACATAGCTGTTGTTACTTATTCGGAAAAGCCTTTTCCATGCGCTTCCCAGGGTAATGATCAAGTGGAGTGTTCATCACTGAGCCAAGCGTATCCCCACAAAATAGCTCTTTCGGTGGATACATGATGCAAGTCGGTCCAAATGTTAAGCGACAGCCGCGATATCCCAGTAGCCTAGATCACAGCCCATGTGCATCTGCATGATTTTGGGGTCGACACCAACTTGCAGGGCTATTACCGGGGTACCAGCAGAACAATGCAGGGCCCTTGGCAATTTTCTTTCCACGTGGTTTGGCCCTCTGCTCTGAGCGGAATTTGTATCCGGTTTGATCATCCAGAAATCTGTGTTAGATAGCTTTTGAGTGCTGCTCTTTGCGCTGATGCAATGACAGGTGAAACGGCATAACTATTGGTCAATCGACATTGGCTTGCTGCTTGAACGGCCATTGTAGATGCGAGTGCTCCACTGAAACTAGGGATATTCCGTCCAGGCACTACTATCCACGGCCTTCCGATCGACAGAGGAATGAAATCCGCCAGTTGCTCACCCGCGCGGCAGTGGGGCGAGCCAGGGACTGCCTTGGGTACAACTAATGGCCAGAAATGGAAGATGCATTCTACCTCTACTTCAATGCTATGGCTTCATTGAAGGATCCATGCTTCCCACCCATCATGTGTGAGCTGTCATTGCGACCGGACAGGCCGAGGTGTTTGCCGAAGGATTCATAGCATACCAACACTACTGTACAAAATAATTCGGTCATAGGCTTTGTTTTCAGCCTTACTGGCTTTTCCGGTGTATCCACAGGCAGTACGCCTTGACCTGAATCCTTCATGTTGGCATCGGTCTCGCCGCGGTCACATTCGGGGTGGATTCCGATCACCATGATGTCTCCTCGTCGCAGTCAATTTGTCATACACACGCCACCATCAGCAAATACTGCGAAGAAGCCGAACTCCCGCGATGGGGGACGTATTCCCAAATTGGTAGTATGACAGCTCCGGAGTTTTAGAGTGCTTCTATCATGCATGCTATACTCTGACCAACTACCCAGTTAGACGAACAAACCACTCAGGTGACAGGTTGGCCTGCATGAACCCATGGTGACGGATGACTCGGATAACGAAGCAGCCCGGGACGCTATTCAACCCCGCCACATCTTGCGAAGATTGGTCCCTTGGGGGCACTGCATGGTTGCTAGGGGCCAAAATGTTTCAACTGGGGGCGGAAAGAGGGCGCTGCGTGCTGGCGGCGGGGCATCGCGCAGGTCGCCCAACAGGGCACCGAGACCCCGCGGCCCCCACGCGTTTGGTCTCTTAGTCTTGCCAGCCTCGCTCACCACTTCACATCCACTTGGTCTTCCCAGCCACGTTCCTAGCCATGTTTCTTAGCCCCATCCTCCAAGCGAGTGTTATCTTGAGGCTCTCGCCATATCATGGGCTCTGGGTAGGTCTTCAAGCAGGACTCTAGCGATCTTGTTGGTGGTCTCTATCAGCTAGTCGACAACATAGTGAGGGAAGCCACGGAGAGCAACATGATAACGGTGCCATGTGAGCCCTTTCTTTATAACAAGGATGGTGGATTTTGGCAGTTCGCGGATTTAGGTTTTCTTGGGGGAGGACAGTCCGCGGTGGTAGCGGATAATGTTGCCTGGGGCGCCGATGTATCTGGAGTGGGTGAGGGCTGGGACGGGGGAGGATAAGAGTTGTGGAGTGTTTGAGGTAGGAGACTACGTGGTATAAGTGTCATTCTGGTAATGAATGTTCTGGCAAGGTTCGTGTCTGTTCTAAGCTTTTCTGCTTTGTACTATGGCTAATTGTGGTATAGGATGAGGTTGCCGTTACAAAGGTGCTGAAATAGAGACGTGGGTTGCATGAATGTGTAGACTATAATGTCCACTACACCATAGAGCTGCAGCAGGTATGGAAGGTAAACCAATGCAGATAGGTTTTCTCGATAGCCGTACTCCATGTTTAATAAAATAAGCTGATATTCCTAGCAATCTAAAGAAACAACACAAAAACACCATTACCCCTAGGTATCCCTGACATTCTGATACCACTCAGACCTTCTGCCGAAGACGACCATCATGATCCACCTGAATCCCCAATCCCCTGATTGATCCCTAATACATCCTCAACGTAGCTGTCACCGCCGCATCAACAACCAAACTGGTCGCATTGATATAACTCGCCGCGGGACTTAACAAAAACGTAACCGTATCCGCCACCTCCTCACACTCCGCAGGCCTCTGAATCGGCACCACTCTCTCCATCTGCTCTCGGATCTCCGGATTTCTCGCAAATTCCACATCCAGCAAAGGCGTCCGCACCCACGTCGGACACACCGCATTGCACCGAATACCTTCGGCGGAGTGATCAATCCCTATACAAGTCTCCATGTTAGCCTTCCCTCCCCTTACCCCTCTCTTCTCTCCAGTCGGACCCAACCATAAGAAATAGAGAGATGGATACATACCAACCATCTTCGTAACCGCCATACAAGCATGTTTCGAAACCGTATAGCACATCTTCCCCGGCAATCCAGCAAAACTATTCGCCGAAGCAATATTCACAATCGCTCCACGGCCAATATCCCTACTTGCTCCTCCATTCTGGGATTTGAACATCCGGGGTGATTGTCTCCGCATAGCTGCTGCTTCAGCTCGACAGCAGAGCATCATCCCCCTGGCGTTGATTTTCATCACTCGGTCGAAATTCGATATGTCGGTTTCCGCGACGGAATAGTGTGTGCCGTTGTCGACCTATCATTTCTTCTTCTCAGTCCCATGCACCATCTTGTCTGGCTGGGTGATCCTTTGTTGGGATATACTGGGTATATCTAACCCCCACCGCGGAGAATATACAAAAATAAAATAGGAACAGCGAAAGGGGAGATACATACCCCCGCACCATTAACGCAATAATCCACCCGTCCAAACCTCTCAATGACAAAGTCGACCATATCCTGTACGCCTTGTTCGTCGGTGACGTTGACGGTAAAATGTACAGCCTGGTACTCGTTGTGCGTGGCGTATTGCTTGCTTTCCTCCGCGGAGGCTTTGGCTGTGTCTTCTTTCATGTCCGCGAAGATGATAGCGCGAGCCCCGGCGGAGGCGATAGAGAAGGCGGCTTGTTGGGCAATGCCGCGGCCGGCCTGCGTGGGTTAGATTTGGTTGGCGTGGCGTTGGGGGGGGGGGGGGGGGGGGCTGCTCACGCCGACAACGAGGGCGATGCCGTCGAGTTGGGTGCTGGTGATCATTTTTGTTGATGCTTCTGTTGTCTGTGGATATTGAGTCAGAGAATTCTGTGTGGAATTTGTTGATGAGTGATGAGCTGGAAGTGATTGTGTTTGGAGTATAGCAGGAAAGAAAGGCATGGGTTCCAAGGGATATATATACATATCTTTTACCTGGCAGGATTCTCATCAATACTATAACATGCTTTACCCCGTAGTAGCACAGAGTCCAACACTCCACCAGATTCAACAGAGCCGTATCTACTAGCACATCATCCCTACTCGTCGTTTAACCTATCATTGAGGGCTTCTATCTACATATCCTATAGCGCTAACTAAATACGGAATAGTCAATTCCAACTGACAGGGATGTTAGTCGGTCTGACCAATCAGGGGCCTTGAGGAGAAGTGACAACGGCTCGTAGCCTCATACGCCAGAGTATCTGGACTACCTAATATTGCAAGGCGACAAAAAAAAAGGCTCAAGGATCATTGCCCGTCCCGCGAGATGATCAGTATGTACCGACTGGGGGTTAGACGATTCGACCAGTGTTGAATGGGCTTTGTGTGGGGCGTGGTGATTTCAGCAGGTCTATCCATTCCGTAGTTCCCAACGATTGATTCTTTTATTGGATCTCGCGCGACAAGGGGTGTGTGGTCTGTAAAACTGGGGCAAGTGGAAGCTACCTAGGTCATGATGGGGTGTTCTGGCTACTGCGTTTCCACGGTTTGGGTCAGCCACGAAAGCTTATTTAATCCTCGGGTGAGGAGACAGCCGCTGTTGAATATATTGCTGTTTATGGAGTACTGTTCGGATTCAGGTGGGTAGGTGCTGGGAGGTGTATTGCTGGTTATGGATGAGTGGGATGTTTGAGGGAGTGACAAATCATCTTTATTGTGTACCGTCTTTTCTAAATTGCAGGGATTGGCAATGCAGATGCGAAGGAGGTTCATGATTTGAGTATAGGTCGACCGTGGGCTCGAGGACTGGGTAGTTGGGATAATGGTTGGTTGTGATCGGGGGTAGGTTTCGAATCAATCTAGGGTGCTGGGTAGACTGCCGCTGATGACTGTTTGAGATGTTTGTGGTCAATAGTCGTGTAGCGCTATACGAATCGTGTGAATGCTAACTATGCTTCTGCTCCTATAGCAATAAAATGACCACCCTTCATCAACGGTCCCATAGCTCAGTTGGTTAGAGCGTAACGCTAATAACGTTAAAGTCGAGGGTTCGAGCCCCTCTGGGACCATCTTTTTGCTTTTTTCTTTCTTTCATTTATCGGACTTTATATCCTCCGACCCGCTCGCTGCCTGTCTATCATGTCATATGCTTTTTTTGTGTCATTGGAACCATGTTCCCATTGCAAGCGACCAGTGGATACCCGCAGCTGCAGACACGGAATGATTGGGATCATCCGACAAGGAACTTCCCAATGCGGCCTCCTGCCTAATTTAGGCCATCCGGGTGGAGCTGCACATGTGATTCCAGAGCTTCCGAGCCGGGATCATGGCGGTGCCAAATCGTGGAGGTTATCCAACAGGGCTTAGACCGCTACAACGGCCCAATCATTTTGCTTCAAATGACATCACGTCGACCAGGGTGTGGCTGGTGTGCTTGCTGCCCCGCCCGCGGCCTGTCCGGCATTCAGCCAAAACCAATAACGATCGACCCTGCGGTTGTCGTCATTGGTGGTCCGGCCATCCACAGCCCTGGAAGCATCTTGAGGAAGACCATTATATCCACTGATCGGCTGGCCGCGACGCCTACCCCAAGGAGCATCGCTATTTTGCTGCCTTCGCTCCAGCAAACTCTGTCGCTCCAGGCTTTATATCGCGGGAGGACCCTGATCTAAGCCTATTATCACCAAGTTTTGGTCTAACAAGACCCTTAACCCTCATCTGATTATCTTCCTACACAACTCATACAACCATCGCCCTATACAGGGCACTCAGTACACCAAACATCAATCACATCGCCCAACATGGGCTTCGGCGGCGTTCTTCTCCGCGGTTCCAACCTCTCTATTCGTATTCTCCAGTTTCTCGACTCAGCTGTCATTCTCGGCATCTTCTCCTACTTCCTTGCCGTCCTTGCCCGACATGACCAGAACATCCCACGCTGGATCAAAGCCACCGAGGGTCTCTCCGGTGCGGCCACCCTCTACGGCATCCTTGGGATCCTCTTCACCTGCTGTCTCGGCGGTGTCGCCTTTTTTGCATTCCTTGCCATTGTCCTCGATGTCTGCTTCATCGGGGCCATGATCGCCATTGCCATCATGACCCGGCACGGCACCCAAAGCTGCTCGGGTAGTGTGACCACCCCCCTTGGAACGGGGAATAGCAGCGATGACTCGCCGTCTGGTACAAGCTACCACTATGCGTGCAAGCTGCAGAAAGCCTCTTTTGCAGTGTCGATTATTGGAATGTAGGTTCAGCCCTCTATCATTCTTTATCTCTTGAAATCAAATCCACGTGAACACGGTGATGCTAATAACGTCTATAGCTTTCTCTTCCTAATCTCCATCCTCCTGCAAATTCTCTACGCCCGACACCACAAACGCGAGAAGCGTTTCGGTCCCTCCCCCGCAAATGGCTACACCTCCGGCACCACCCGGGGTTTCGCCTTCTGGAGAAGAAACAAGAACAACCCTGAAACTGCCAGTGCGGATGACATGCTTCCTACGCATCCGGCGCCCCGGGATGTGGAGCTGGGAACGACAGGGGTAGCGACGTCTGAGAAAGAAGACGGGATGAATGGTGCCAATACTGGTGCTACCCCGGGTGGGGGGTATTTCCCCTGGAGGGGAAATGCGAATAATGGCACAGCTACGGCGGGGCAGAATGGGACCTATGGGTATGGAAATTCGGCATATACGGGGAATTATTGAGTGATGCGGATGCAAGGGGTAGGGACGGAATGACGGGTGATTGACTTCAGTGCGGAGTGCTGGAGAATGGATGAATGATGAATGACTCTACAACTTAAGATACCATGGTATGGATTGCTTGATGGGTTTGGTTTAGTATATTTCATTTTATTAGGTATATATGATTTGCTTCTTGTGTGTATTAATATCTTGTGTTTTGTGAATCTTCTATTCTGCTTATTGTTGTTGCCTAGGGGTGTGTCACGAGGAGATGCTGGTATGACATGCTCCACAACTACAGTATTTGTCACCGCTTGTCCGATTATTCATGTTAGTTCCAATATACAAGAAATGAGAACGTAAGAACAAACAAGAACACATAGGCCCGAGTTATGACTATGCTATGCCCATAACATAAGTGCCACTAACTAATCCGGAAGAGGCATAACTGCAGGAACGACCCCAATCCGGACTAGCGCCGATCGGCCTCCTCATCGGCCTTTCGGAATCCCTCTTGCATCATCTCGACGCTTTCATCTGTCCATCCCCCCTTCTTCCCTGCGCTCAACAGCATGATGTATCGGCCCCTGCGCCAGTGTGATCACCGAGTCTAGTTCCTTCCAACCTCCTCGACGACAAAACGCGTCTGCTGAATGTCTTTGTGGATCTCGCCCAGGCAGAGGTTCCATCGCGCTCTTCTTCCCGTCCAACATGTCGCCCACTACCATGTCCCCCAGAATTCTGGCTCCCAATTTTGCCAGGTTCGCCACTTGTCCTCGGTGCGGATAATCCAAGTGGCAAACCCGTCGCCAATCCATACCCGCTGCGGCTCCCTACCTTTGCACGCCTCGAGTGTCACCACACATCCCTGCCGATCATCCAGACCTGTGACGGCATCTGTGGCCTTTACCCCTTCAAGGATACCAGCAGGTTCGCGCGCTGTCTCAAACGTTACACAGGCCGCAATGGCGATCGATGAGATCTTGCAAGACGGGGTGGATGGCAACGTCCTTCATGAGGTACAAGATGTCGATGTCAAAGAGGAACCGAAAATCGGTGCAGCAATGGATCCAGAGTCGGATGAAGATGTACCGGTTGCGGCTGAGGAGCTTCAGGATGCGCTGTCACGGCCTCCGCCCGTCCATAGCAGCTATCTGCCCCTCCCGTGGAAAGGGAGATTGGGATACGTGAGTCTTCTTTGTCTCTCTTTCAACATAATCTCATGGAATAGGCTTGCTTGAATACGTATCTACGGTACTCGAACCCGCCCGTTTTCTGTTCCCGGACCTGTCGTATCGCCTCCATCCTTGAAAATCGTCATCCCCTCTTGGATCCTTCGCAGCCTCCTCATCCGACCAAGAACCGCCCCGATCGAAATCAGCCTCCGGATGTCGCACGCGGTCAATCGTATGTTGAGGCTCTGGGCCTTACCAATGCTCGGGATCTCGTGAAAATGCTGCGTTGGAATGATCGCTACGGAATCAAATTCATGCGATTGAGCAGCGAAATGTTTCCGTTTGCGAGTCATAAAGAATACGGCTATAAGCTGGCTCCGTTTGCTTCGGAGGTGCTGGCAGAGGCTGGTCGTGTCATCGCTGAGCTCGGCCATCGGGTGAGCGTGCATCCCGGTCAGTTCACTCAGCTGGGGTCCCCGAAGGACGAAGTTGTGGAGAGCTCCATCCGAGATTTGGAATATCACTCGGAGATGCTTCAGCTGCTTCAGCTGCCACCTCAACAGGATCGCGATGCTGTCATGATTCTGCATATGGGCGGCGTGTTTGGCGACAAAGAAGCTACGCTTGATCGGTTTAGAGAGAACTACCGAGGTCTCTCACAGGACGTCAAAAATCGGCTTGTTCTGGAGAACGATGATGTCAGCTGGTCGGTGCACGATCTTCTGCCCATCTGCGAAGAGTTGAGTATTCCCCTGGTACTCGACTTTCATCATCATAATATCATCTTTGATTCGAGTCAAGTCCGCGAAGGCACGCAGGACATCATGCCCCTGTTTGATCGAATCAAGGCGACCTGGACCCGGAAGAGCATTACGCAGAAAATGCATTATTCCGAGCCGACTCCGTCTGCTATTACGAACCGTCAACGTCGAAAGCACAGCCCTCGGGTATCCACTCTGCCACCTTGTGATCCTACCATGGACTTGATGATCGAGGCCAAGGATAAAGAGCAGGCTGTTTTCGAGTTGATGCGGACTTTTAAGCTGCCCGGTCACGATCTCTTCAACGACATAATACCCCATGTGCGGAATGATGAAAACAAACCATTCAAGCCGCCGAGAAAGTCCAAGAAGAATGGCGGCTTCGTTGATCTGGAAGGCCAGATTCCACCTGCTCAGACCGTTTCGGAAGAAGACGCGGGCATGGGTGGTCCCGACGGAAGGGTTTATTGGCCCCCTGGCATGGAGGAATGGCTTCGACCAAAGAAGATCGTTCGTACCCCAGCTGCCCGGAGTCCCCGCCGTACGCCCGCGAAGAAGGCAACGAGCGAAAATGGAGACACGGTAAAGCAAGATGGTGAACCGGATGGCGATGTGCTCGCTACTCCGGTCTCCAAGACTACTCGAGGAGTGAAGAGGGCTTCCAGTGTGAAGAAGCCAGCCTCCAGGAAACGGAAGGCTTCTCCAGCGATCTCTACTCCGTCTGCCTCGGAGACCGAGGAACCCGAGATTCCAGAAATGCCAGCCCTTAAGCCATCACAGAGCAATGGGGTTCGTCGCAGTCGACGAGCCAAGAAAGTAGATTATGCTGAAGATGCAGATTCAGCTTAACTTACTGCTTGTGTCCCTGTATAATATACCTGTTTAGACGCCTTTTATACTCCTTTCTAGGTTATAGAGCTATGGCGCGGGTTATGGTTATAAAATGGGTTTTGGGGTGTTTGGATAGACTCAATACGGGTATATATATAAGATCTTGCACATTCTCTTATCTCTTGCGCCAGTAGAAGTGAAGGGTAGGTATGTCAACGAGCTTCAATCAAATACTAGTAAATATTGGCGCCTCGACTTGCGGGCCAGAACCTTCCCGATCGGGCGGGATCTCCACCTGGTGTTTCTTCCCGCTGCCAACCTGACGTTGCCATCCCCTCGCAATGGTCGTCAGCCCTCTTGCACTGAACCTCACATCACAACAATGCTCCAGGCGTGAATTTGTCCTTAATTCTGAAAACCTTCCTCACTCCGATCCATCGGCTTGGTAACCCAGCCTTGCGAGTCCGGGTTCGTCATCCTCTCCACTCAGCGGCGCATGTGCTAACCCACAAGCAAGGCACAGCCTTGCCTGCCCACCTCTGATTAAAGGACTACCTCTACCCCTCATACACGTCTCATAAATCGCATACCGTGGCTCCGCAACTACCTCCTCGCATTCGCTGGCGCACGCCCCGGGCCCCTATTAGGCCACCATTACCGTACCGCCCCCTTCCTCCTCCGCTCCGCTTCCCAGGCCGCGATTCAAGAAAAGGGAAACTCTTCCATTTCATTCGTTTCCTCTTCGGACCACACGCCACCCGCCGTGCGCAGTCCCGCCTCTGGAGTCTCCGCCACGAAACACTCCCCGCCCTTCGACATCGAGCACAGGCAAGGGTATACCGGGCAATAGTCAAGCGGCAAGGGAGACTTGCACTCAGGCGGGGGTCTGGCAGGAAGGGCGTTCTGGGCTATCTGGTCGGAAAAGGGAAACGCTTGGGTAGGACTGCTACTGCTGCGAGTGAGATTGTACAGGGTCGGCTGGTTCAAAGCGGCAGAGCTCTGCGAGCAGGTAGCAAGAATCCAGGTCCGACGCCAATGTCACAGTACGACCCTTCATCTTCGCCAGCATGGGGCTCTAATACCGGTCGGGAGCGGGGTGCTCGCCGTAAGAAGGTTTTCGACTACCTGAAAGCTGCTAATGAGCTGCGTCAAACATATACTGCACAATGGTCGGCGCAGATCAACGGACAGCGCGACTACGAGAACTATCATGATGCACCTGGGGCTTTTCCAGATGTGGAGATTGCGCGATCCGAGTTCGAGGAGATGGTCATATTTCCAAGCTATGCGAGGCGGGTGGTCAAGGACGGTCGGTCTGACCCGTACAGTAGCCGCCGTCGAGGGTCGAATGCAACCATCGAGGAGTACCGAGACGAGTCCGACGGCTTTGGCTCTGCCATGCCTGCGTGGGATGAGCTGGAAGACGAGAATGCAATCGTCGCAGTCGATGTGCGTGGCTGGGTATACGCACCTCATCGCGGGCCGATGACGCGAAAGCATCGTCTGATGGTTGCTCTCGCTAGGAAGCTAAGCGGCGTGCCGGCGCCTGTGAATAACTCGAGCGATGAGTCCAATGGAACCAATCAAAGGAGTGATAGAGACGATGAGCTGGTCGATACGGAGGCACAGTCGATCATCCGAAAGGCAGAAGGAGGGGCCGATTCAGCATGGAAAGACAGTGCAGAGATGCCTCCTGGGCGCTCTCTTCAGAGGACAGCAACATCAGGATCCACCAACGTACCGCTGACCAAGGATGAAATATCCGTTGCTAATGCGCACCTTATGGAGCGACTCCGTCCGTTTCTTACCAACCCAGCAACCAACATTCCTGTCACCGTGTTCTTTTTCAACGATGAAAAGAGCCAGTCGAGAAGCGTCATGACCGACGAATCCGGCCACTTTCAACTACGAGCCGGCCTGCCATTTATTCCGACTCACGTCCGCGTGCTGGCCTCGGAGGATCTCTCAGCGGTGAAGGAGGTCAGGATCATCGAGCCCACTGGGGTCAGCTTGATCAGTGATATCGACGATACGGTGAAACATTCCGCCATTGCTAGCGGGGCCAAGGAGATGTTTCGCAATACATTCGTGCGCGAATTGAATGAATTGACGGTGGACGGTGTCACCGAGTGGTATAATAAGTTGGCCAAGATGGGGGTCGATCTACACTATGTCTCCAATGCCCCATGGCAACTTTATCCACTTCTGGATCGCTACTTCAAGCTTGCTGGACTTCCTCCTGGCTCCTTTCACTTGAAGCAGTACAGCGGTATGCTTCAGGGTATATTCGAGCCTACGGCCGAGAGGAAGAGGGGTTCTCTGGAGCAGATCCTAAGAGACTTTCCCACCCGCAAGTTCATTCTTGTGGGTGACAGTGGTGAGGCGGATCTGGAGGTTTATACTGACATCGTTCTGGCGAATCCCGGGCGGATTCTCGGTATCTTTATTCGTGACGTTACTACGACAGACCGGAAGAAGTTCTTCGAGAAATCTGTTGACCACTTGGAGCATGATCTGACACGGAGCCGTAGCACCTCTCGGCTAGTGGACGATCCTAATTCAATGGACAAACGACCGGCATTGCCACCTCGTCGGCCTCGTGAGACGGTCGGTCCGCCTGCAGATACCGTGAGCCTAGACAATGCCGACTTGATCGATCTCCGTGATGAAGTGGAGCAAAAGATACCTTTGGCTGATATGAGAAAGCCCTCTATCGGGCGCTTGCCACCTGCGAAGCCCTCCAAACCGTCCTCTTTGCGCTCGGTGTCGACGAATCCAGATATAGGGAGAGGCGATCAGCCTTCATTCCAGGAGACAGTCAAACGTAAGCCTGTGCCACCACTGCCGCCACGCCGTTCTTCAATGAAACCAGATACCTCGCCCGAAGGACTGAGTTCAAGTTCTAGCGAGAACAATACATCTGGGAGCATGAAGCAATTGCCTATACGGCCTAAGCCTGGCATGCAAGAAGCTATGTCTACTTCGCAAGATGTCAATGATACGAGGCCTCCGCGCTCGAAGCAACCACCACCACCCCCTCCGCCGCGTAGAGCTAACACGGTGGCCTCGACTGAGGACTTTGTTCCACACCAGGGGACGAACCGTCCAGAGCCCCAGAAACAATCGTATCCGGCATCTGCGGCTACAGCGGCTGGAGCGGCATTGCAGTATGCCTCGGAACGTCTGAATTGGTCATCAACTCCGTCGAGCGTTCTCAGATCAACCCAGTCGAACTCGTCGCTGAGTAGATCGAACACCAGTGTGGATAGCAATTCGAATCCAACGGCAGCTCCGCTACCCAATAAACGGGAGGAGCTGTGGCGACGGCGCTGGGGACGGGCACAAGATCTCCTGGAGAACCAAGGCGTGGTGCTTGGTAGCTGGCGCGTGGGCCAAGACGCACAGGATGTTAGTGCCTGGTTGGTAGAGGAAGCCATGAAGGATATAAGAAGGGGCTAGTTAGATCTATGCTTTGTGATAATGTAGGCATAGTAGCCATGTATATATGATCATCACTGTATTTATGAATCTATACCTCGACGACTGATGAACCAATTGTGCTTGGTGCAGCATGTGTAGCCGGGTGGGGTTGTCCCACGGTCGAATCAACCAAACAGAGGAGAAAAAGAAAGGAGGGAGTGATTGCAATGAACTAATTGATGGCGGTGCAAAACCACACACACAATTCTCTCATATTGATTAAATGTGGATGGGATGGACATCCGAGATGAAAGATACACAAAAAGATGGTCCCAGAGGGGCTCGAACCCTCGACTTTAACGTTATTAGCGTTACGCTCTAACCAACTGAGCTATGGGACCCTGTTGATATCTACGGGCCGTATTTAGTGTTATATTAAGCTAACATAGATTTCACTGTCGGAACAAGAATGTGGAAAGTCTTGTATGCACCTTAGGGAATGAATCCTCTGGTTAGTAAATATCCCTGCCATTTACAATCTATACTACATATAATATGTATAAGTTGGCTTATCTCATGATTGACGGCCCCAATTCCGGTGCCTTTTGATGATGATAATATTAGTTGTGTGGTTAACTTTGGTGTTGTCGGGAAACATATACAACCAGCATGGATCGTGTATCATGCCCATATAAGAGTGGAACCCAGAACATGACAATTGACAGGAACCACATCAGATCTGAAGGTGTTGCATGATGAATAATCCCCACAATACAACACAAATAGTACCGCATCCAGAGAACAAACCATGGATGGACCAACAAGCAAGTAGCAGGTGCACCCACCCACATGAAGAACAACGACAGACACAGCACACAAAGCCAACCATACCGGATTAATACTGCATAGCCTTATATTTCACCAATTGCTCAAAGCCTAGTCTATATCACTATTCAGGTATGTAACAGAACATCCGAGATTCGACCACACTTCCTTTCTTGCATCTAACAACCACCGCCACCAGCATGTCTCCCAAACAATCCTTCCAAGGAATGAACCCCCCACTACTCCTGAATCATCAACAGGCAAAGAAAGTCAATATATAATGACACTATACACAGATATATTTATACCATGTACACCTAAAATTGTATAGGATCCATTAAGGAAAGGGAAAGTATCATCCCCTCCACTACACCCTCGGGTTTTTTGTATGTATGGACTATGGCCAACCAAGGGAATGACCACCCCAAACACAAAAGCAGTAAAGTTTAAAGTTGGCTTATAGAGCATTAAAACAAGCAAACATTCATCAACTGGTCCCATAGCTCAGTTGGTTAGAGCGTAACGCTAATAACGTTAAAGTCGAGGGTTCGAGCCCCTCTGGGACCATCTTTTTGCTTTTTTCTTTCTTTCATTTATCGGACATTATATTCCATGGAGTGAGTCCATTTATCCATCTATTCATCTATCTATCCTTTCATTGTTCTCGTTGCTTTATCCGAGGGCTTTACCCGTTGGTTGTTGCCTGCACATTACTAGTATTAGCCTGGACATTCCCGCCAATCAAGCTACACTCCAGAATCATTTGATTTCGCCATGGCACCGCGGCTGGACCTCCGCCAGGCAACATCCAACGTGGTTTCTGTCGCTGATAGAGACAAGCCAATGGTAACATGTTCCTCGGTGGGACGATCTGCAATCGAAGGCTTAGCTCAGCCTTAGGGACATCTCGTTGCGTACCCCCTCTGATAGAGACATCCAACAAGTCAATGGGATCATGTTCTGTGGTGGGGCAATCCGCGACAGAAGGCTTATCGACGTCTCATGGACCAAAGCGTACCCCCAATTTCACCAATCCCGCGATGTCCGGCGGAGCCCGGCGGAGGGAGTTCATCTTGTTTATTGATCCTAGCTGATGGCGACAGCGAATTACCCCTTGGAGGATGGGAACGCCCTTTCGTTAAAGAGAGATGACTTTCCTGCCTGCCTTATTGTTTCTGCGTCATTGAGGGCTCCTCGCTCGACACCATTTTGCCAATGCGATCGAGATGGATGCGCTAGTCTCCAAGTTGATCGGGCAGGGGGAGCAGCTTTGCTGGCCTTCTCACCGTAGCCTGACTCAACATTCTACGCCATGGCAAGATCTGCTATCGTCATTCGTGCCATTCTTTCCGGCATTGATTTTGGCCGTCTTTGCGCCTTGGAACTACGCTCGACTTCGACACGAACCCATCAAAGTGGTCCAAAATAGGAAAGGAGCCTACAAAGTAGTAGGTGAACTGCGTCTCTCTTTTATTGCGACATGGACTGATTTTCCATCTGTCAGGCTACTTCGACAGCTTTGTTTGTCCTATATCTGGCCCTGGTGATAATCGAGGTTCAAGCAGACTCTTCCGCAAAATTTCTCGGCCCAGCTATCGGTCTTCTCGCTGTTTCTGGCTTCATTCCCTACTTGTCCCTGATAAACCATGCACGATCAGTCAAACCTTTTGACCTGCTCAATGCAACCTTGGAGTTATCGATATTTCTCGACGTGGTGCATGCCAGCCTGCTGCATTTGCTCGGAACACACCAGTGTCAAGTTTCCTCTCTATACTTGGCAACATTTATTGTCAAACTAGTGCTTCTGGCTCTGGAGTTGCAAAGCAAGCGCTGCATTCTTCGTGAGTCCAGGCGCGACTTCTCGTTTGAAGAGACGGAAAGTACGTTCGGTTTAGTGCTCTATTGGTGGGTGAATACTCTTCTCAGAAAAGGGTATTCCAAGCTTCTCGAGCCAGGAGACCTTCCTCCGCTGCCGAGTAGGCTCTCATCCAAGCTGCTCAGGGCTAGAATGAAGAAATGCTGGGATAACCGATGTGCGTCCACAATAAGTAGTCCCTGCCTTTGCCTCGAATGACTACTCACCTACTACAATAGCCAAGCCAGAGAAAAGATACGCCCTCGCCTTGGCTACGCTGAGATGTATCAGAAAGGAAAATCTGCAGGTCGTCCCATATATGCTTGCTGCAACTATCATTCGCTATGCGCAGCCCCTGCTGATGTCGCAGTTGATCACCTTCGTAAGTGATTCTTCGGCTGAAAGCGCAAGAAAGCTCCAGGGCTTCAAGCTGGTGGTTTTAGCAGCTTTCATTTACATTGGCCTAGCTGTGAGTAGCAACATCGACGCTCTCGGGTTGTTCCGAATAAGCTAACCTTATCAATAGATTCTGAACGGCCAACGGGATATCGCGAAGCGAAGAGTAGACATTGCCGTTAAAGGATCACTAGTCGGAATCATCCACGAAAAAGCCTTGCAGTCCAATCATGACGATCACTCCGCCATTGCCTTGTTTGGAAACGATGTAGAAGATGTGCAGATGGCTGTGTCACGATTCCATAATTTATGGTCATCGGCTCTGTCGCTGGGCTTGGGCCTCTTCTTGCTGGTTTCTAGACTCAACTGGGTCAGCATTGTGCCTATCATTTTACTTCTATGTCGGTCTCCACCCTGATACACCTGTGTTTCGTTATTGTTGACAGAATTGTCCAGGTACTTCTCAGTGCAGCAAGTATGTCTCCAAGGTATTCGTCGCAAAGCAAAGGGCATGGAATGATGCCACACAGACGCGAATCGGCCTCATCAAGACAGTCCTTGAAAAAATGAAGTCAATCAAAGCAATGGGCTTTCCACAGAATGTTCAAGGAAAGATTCAAGACGCTCGTGACATGGAGTTAACTGCAGCTCGAGTTATCTATTGGCTTGACGTGCTTTTAGCAGCTTCTGGTAAGTTAAAATGTTTTCTACTTGTTCTTCACTCCTGTGTTCTACCACGCAGGGCTGACAAGAACTGATATCTCTTAGCAAGTTTCCTAAATGCTCTTGGACCTGCCATCACCCTTGGCATCTACACCATTTGGGCCAAGCTCACTGGAAATGCCCTTCTAGATGCAGATGGAATTTTCACTTCGTTCGCACTGGTCCAGATGGTTACCCTGCCAGCCAACTCAATCTTGTTCGCCCTTCCTGGATTTTTCTCAGCACTTGCAGGGTTTGATCGGATTCAAAGCTATTTGTTAGAGCCCATACAAGAAGACGATCGCATTGTCCTTGCGCTTGAGACGGAGACTTCAGGTAGTACGCCAGAGCGTGATCAGCATGTGGCTTTTGAGTCCATCGACTTTGGCAGAGTTGATGCTGTTTCAGTTGAAGATCTGACAGTCACTTATGGAAATGGATCCAGACCGGTGCTACAGAACATCACGTTTGGTATTGGCATTGGCTCGATTGTGATAATTACTGGACCCACTGGCTCTGGTAAAACAACATTGCTCAGGACTATCATAGGTGATCTGCAACCCGAATCTGGGACCGCACTGGTCACTTCTGGAGTGATGGCATACTGTGCCCAGTCACCCTGGTTAGGAAGCGGCACGATTCGTGATAATGTTGCAGGACCTCCAGGCTCTAAAGTGACCGACGAAGATTGGTATCGACGAGTAATCAGAGCTTGCGACCTGGAATATGATCTTCAAAAGCTGCCTGCGGGAGATCGCACGATTATCGGCAACGGAGGGACATCTCTTTCAGGGGGCCAAAGACAACGAGTAGCACTCGCCCGAGCCATCTATTCTGGGCTAGATATTCTGGTTCTTGATGATGTGTTTAGCGCACTTGACGCTCGAACTGCTGGACGCATCGCCAATCGCTTGCTAGGTCCAGCTGGTCTGTTTCGTGAACTCGGAAAGACTGTGATCCTGAGCACACACACAGGTATGTAGATTGCAAGACACTTCAGAGTATCTCGACTGACATCTCCGACCTAGTCAACTTTCTCCCGTTCGCAGACGAGGTTATTGTGCTTAACAATGACGGGAGCATTGCCGAGCAGGGCCCATGGGATCAAATCAAGGGCCAAGATCGTTTCAGTAGCTTGAAGCCACTCGAGGTGTTTGATATAAGCGACGATGCTACCGAAGAAACCAATTATCCGCCCTTTCAACCTGAGGAACCGCCCAAGGCAAAGACACCGTCGGATTTGAACCGTCAAACGGGAAACGGTGCCATCTATTGGCACTACATTCAAGCTATTGGAAAAACCCGTGTTTTCGCCACCCTTCTCATTATGATTTCTTCCGCGACTTTTGCTGTGCTAATCCAAACATGGCTTCGATGGTGGTCAGAGGACAATGATGCAGGACAACGGACATGGCTCCATCTTGCAGTCTACCTTGCTCTCTCCCTTGGCCATTGGTCCGCTCTCGCCAGTATCAGCACTGTCTCACTACTCATAGTACCCACATCTGGCCGCAATCTACACAATCAGCTACTGAAGACAGTGGTGAAGGCCCCATTGGCATTCATCACATCCACGGATATCGGCACGACTCTGTCGCGATTCAGCCAAGACATGACACAAGTTGATCGCCGCCTACCCGGTCAAGTAGCTGCTCTCGGAAGTCAAGCCTTCAAGCTTCTCGCCCAGGTCTTTTTGCTCTTCATGGCACAGACATACATGCTTATCACTTTTCCCATTCTGGCCCTGATCGTCTATGCCATCCAGAAGATATACCTACTCACCAGCAGACAACTGCGGTGGCTCAGCATGGAAGCAAATGCCCTTCCCAGCAACAACTTTTTGGAAACCGTCCAGGGAATCGCGACCATTCGTGCGTTTGGATGGGAGGATGCGTATGCCGCCGAGAATAGCAAAGCAGTTGATGCCGCACAATTACCCTCCTATACCCTCTTCTCCATCGAACAATGGCTAGCCCTGGTGCTGGACTTGATCGTCGCTGGGGTGGCCCTGCTCAACGTGGTCCTCATTGTTACCCTGACGGATAGCTTTACAGCGGGCGATGTGGGAATCAGCATGAATGTGATTCTGACGGTGAATATGGTCCTATTGATCACCGTTCAATCATGGGCGAACTTTGATGCCTCGCTGGGCGTCATTTCGCGCATTATGGATTTTGCGAAAACGGTGACCCCGGAGCCAGAACCAGCCTCGCCACTGGTACCCCCCAAATCATGGCCCGCTAGCGGTGCAGTCGAACTGAGGAATGTTGTTGCAGACTACGACCAGCCAACCGAAGCATCGGCATTGTTGGAACCCCACGCTCACGCTCTTGACCACATCTCATTGAAACTATCCCCAGGCCAGACAGTCGGCATCTGCGGACGCACCGGCAGCGGAAAATCGTCCCTCTTCCTGAGTTTCGTTCGTCTTCTCGAGCTATCCGAGGGCAGCATCATCATCGACGGCTTAAACCTGAGCTCTATCTCCCGAGATGTAGTCCGGTCTCGACTGATCACCGTCCCCCAAGACTCATTCATTCTTGCCAGCGACACCGTGCGTCAAAACCTGGACGCAACCGGCACCGCAACCAATGACGAGATCTTAGACGCCCTGGATAAAGTCCACCTCTCCTCTACTTTGGAAAATAGAGCCATTGATTCCGGCTTCACATCGACTGTCTTTCTTGACGTACCGATGAAGGAGTGGCCGTTATCGCAGGGCCAGTTACAGCTTTTCTCTCTTGCGCGGGCCCTTTTGCTTCGTCGCTCGCGTGGAAAAGTCATTTTGCTCGATGAGGCTACTAGTAGTATCGATTTTGAGACAGACGCATTGATACAGAAGGTGCTACGCGAGGAGTTCAGAGGATATACCGTTCTTGTTGTGGCTCATCGGCTGGAAACGATTGCCGAGGCAGACTCTGTGGTGGTTTTGGATCAGGGCTGTGTTGCGGAGGTGGGTGATGTGCGTGAGCTGCTACAGCGTGATGGATCGGTGTTGAGGTCGCTTTTTGGGTCGGAGTCTTCTTGAGAGAATAGGTACTTTAACTCAATATAAGCTCTCGCGAAATTATGCTTCGCGTTGATCTTACGGTCCATTTTCGTCGTAGAATTGTGCCAGATCGACCAATTGGGCAGGCATGCAGACTGCAGCGATAGGCTGAATGTTAAGTTGCTCCGGTCTCCTGCAGCATCCTCCACCCAATCACCGTCCCTGACGCTGTTTGCCCCCATCTCGAATGTTTCCTGCACCCCTTCCTTTTTTTTCTATATAAAAGACGAACACATTGCTGCCCACCCGATCATTCCACTAAGGTTAGCACTGGAATCTGCAGATATGGTCAATTCCAACGACGAGGACCTCGAAGTCTGCGACTACACCATTGGCTGGATCAGCACGACGGATGACGAGTACATTGCGGCCACATGGGTGGTTGATGAGCTTCATGAGCCCAATACCTCGCTCCGACGACTGAACGATCAGCGAAAGTTCGATTACCAGCTCGGCCGTATGGGCAACCACAACGTCGTGATATGTATTCCTGCCACGGGACCCGAGTTTACCGTGGCAGCCGTGATCGATGACATGTTGCTGACATTCACTTCCCTTCGCTTCGTCCTCCTGGTAGGGACTGCAAGCGGGGTCCCACCGGTGAAAAACAACCACGAGGGCATTGATGAGCATGCCGCCGATGTGCGCCTCGGCGACGTGGTCATAGGGACCAGCATTGTCGTTCCCTACAGTCGCGGAGCCGTCCAGACCCCCGGAACTGAACTGAAACATCAACCCTCCCGGACCATTTCCACTGGGATCACCGAATTCAAGCGGAGACTTGCAGGTGGCCTGGGCATAGGTCTATCCCTGAGCTCCCTCGTCGAACAGATCTGTATGACAGACGACCATTTCAAATGCCCACACCCACAGTCGGATTGTCTGTATCAGACTGAATATGCACACATTCCGAGATGTTGTGAATGCTTGGTCCCCAGTCCCAAGCAAGTCTTGGTGACTATTTCGCGGCCCCAGCGCACCCAGGACCGTGAGTTTCAAGTTCACTATGGCGCGGTGGGATTTGTCGATCAACGTATTATGGACGCTGGGATTCGCAATGAACTTTCCCTCGAGAACAACGTGCTGTGCTTTCAAACCGGAACCACCGATGTTACGACCAAGATCGATTGTCTGCCAATTCGCGGGCTTTGCGATTACGCGGACTCGCACCAGTATCGTGGGTGGAGTGGATATGCGGCCCTGACTGCGGCCGTGTACGCGAAGGAATTTTTAGGTTCTGTGACTGAATATATGGTGTCTGGAATGAGGATCCGGGCATCGGCGGACGGGTATATCGAGCAGACACGACGCTTATCCAGCGTCAATGAATCATTGGAACGTCATCAAGCATTCATGGACAGGATTCGATACCGCATCGATCATCTTGACAAAGCCGTGGCCGCTATACAAAATAAGGAAATGGACATGTGTGTCGAGGCCCAGCCTGCCCTGGATCTTGATGCTGGCCTGAGACAAGCCTTCACGCAAATGGAGCCTAATATCCAGCATCAGGTCAAGAATTCTGAATACGTCACCCGGGAGGAGTGGAATATTCTGCTAACGAGGGTCGAACATATCACCTCCCAACTTGAGACACTATCTCAATGCGTGAGAAACCTCGACGCCGCCATCAACGCAACCGGAGGCATTCTGGAGGAGGAAGTAGAGATGCACACCAATAACAAGAAGCTTAAAAAAACCGCTGCCTGGCAGATTTCTTGCGAACCTACTCTAGATAATATGGCCGACTCGGTGCCTACTTTCCTTCGGAAGGACCCAGGGTCCTCTGCCAACGTGGTGAAATCCTCAAAGCAGCCAGAGTCCAACGAGAGTGGCGTGGAAAGACCAGCCACCCCACAGCAATCGAAGGCGTCAGAGAATCGATGGAGCAAGCACTTTCGTGCGCCGTCTGAAAGAAAGTCGACCACCCGAGAGAATCCTGCTGGCACTGCAATCGAGGAACCGGTCAATGATACACCAACCGCGACCTCATCGTCTGGTTTTAGCCAGCGTGCTTTTAGCTTGCCTCCTTCTAACCTGCGTCCTATTAGCGTGCGCTCTTTTACCTCGCCTCTGTCTAACCCTCTCCCAACTCCACCATCCAATGTCTTTAGGGAGAGCACGCAAGATACCTCAGGGGCGGGGAGTGGAAAACGCAAACTTCCACCCAAAGTTCCCGTGAAAAAACATAGCTCTTTTTATGCTCAGCGATTGTCAGCCCTTTCTAATGACAAAAAGGCTCTGTAATAGCAGTTGTTGATAGTTGTATATAGTGTAGTAAAGCTTCTTCTTCTTCTTCTTGTTGTTGTTGTTGTTGTTGTTGTGTCATGCGTGTTGCTCTCCCTGCCTTTCATAGTTTGGTCCTTTCGTTTCATGTTCGACCCTAGAAGACTAAATGTCTGTCTACTTTGACTCCGAACTGAATTGTGAAGCCCCTGGATATATGCATAGCAAGACAGTTCATCGAATCCTCGGTAATCATCAATAAAGTTCCACCGATTATCTAAAAATTGCCAGGATTTACCGGCTGCCCCAAGACCGTCAATAGTGCCGGATTAGGGGCAGTCACTCATCTCAGCGTCTGTCCAGTCTAGGTATCAATATAAGAGTCTATCTGGAGTGTAAACAGGGGCCTAACAAAGTCACACTTGGCAAGAATAGTTTGACTTATGCTGACCCTCATACTCAATCGGGGACAGTATGGATGATACACGAATGTATAGATATAGGCTACAAGACAAATACAATGTATCGATCTAGCCGCAGTAGGCAATGGGTCAGCCTGCCCGGAATCCTCATTTGGCGAAATATATGCCCACCCTAACCTAATTAGGCAAAGACCCCCACAGGGCCGCGGGTAATCTATACCCATTCTAGACAGATTCTTCACTGGCCCAACATTTGATAAGCCGCGGATTCCCTCTTCAACATGGTGAGGAAACATCTAATATCATGACGGCTTTAACCCTTCCCTATGAACTCATCGAGCAGATCGTGGACCTACTGGAATATGAAAGTGAAATCAATGCATTCGCTCGCTCCCATCCCATCCTCTACCACACCGTGAACCCAATGTTGTACAAACATAACGTGCGCTATGAAGAAAGCTCGGCTTTAGGCTGGGGGATCATGCATGGACCCCTCACGACTGTGCAGCAATCCCTGGAGGCCGGAGCCTCAGCAGACAAGTGTGATCCCGAAATGAAATGGCGACCAATGGCGCTGGCGGTGATCCAAGGCAACGAAGCCATCGTGCGCTGTCTGTACGAGCAGGGGGTGAACATTCGTCACACGTGGGGTTGGCGGAATCCCCATCACTGTCATTATTGCAAATCTCCTGGGAGCCTGCTTTTGCTGGCCGCCAGACATGGCCAGGAGGGCCTAGCCCGTTGCTTCATGGAACATCTGCCGCGACCGTATCATGTGGACTATCCGGCCTCGTGCGACGGACAAACTCCTCTGATGCACGCAGCCGGTCCTTGCTCACGGGGCAGAGGTCTCTCCAGCGCCGGGACACATGCACGTGCGGAGGCCGTTGTTCGAGGCCATTGACCAGGGCTCAGAGGCAATGGTTTCCTGGTTACTGCGCGCTGGTGCAGATCCGAACGATCGCAGTCGATGGTTCAATTCGGTGGACGACTCGGCGTTGAAGCACTCCCTCCCCTTTGAGGGCATCTTTCGCTGCCTGCTCGCCGCGGGGGCCGATCCTACCGCCGTGGACGGCCGGGGAGACTCGTTAACCGCCATCATTCTGGCCTCGGGCCAGACGGCAGCAGTCCAGATGCTGATCGATCAGGGATTCGATCTGTCGCGCAGTTTGACTCGATACAATCTCCTGCACCAAGCCATCCGCGGGGGCCGCCGGGTTCTCGATCTCCTCATCGGCACGGGCAAATGGGATACGTTCCTCTTACCAGATCATCTCGATCGATCCGGATGCGAACAGGCCCTCGGGGTCGCGGCCTCGACGGGGAAGGCTCAGATCGTTCAGTGGTTGCTCGACCGAGGGTTTCCGGTGCGTGCCCAGTCGCCCTCTGCGGTCAATCTGCTTGCCAATGTGGCTTGTGCGGAGGCGGAGGATGCGGATGTCGCTGCTACCATAGATTTCCTACTACAATACGGCCTGGACATCGACGAAAGCACCTCTTACGGGACCACACTCGAGCGCGTGGCCAGTCATTATGGCTTCTACGGCGAGCCTAGCGCCGGTCGCGAGCGCATACGCATGCTGCTCAATCGCGGCGCCGATCTGTTGCCGCTGGATAGCCTCCGGGAAAGCATGCGATACAACAGCCCCGAGCCGTTGAGTGCCAACCTAGTCGGTCGACACATCGGTCTAGATGAGATGATCTTCCAGGAGCTGGAGGCCCGACTCAAGCCATGGACCGCGGTGGAACGTCTGTTCCGGTCGGCTGAGCATAGTGCGCGTGAGCGCGAACATTGGCAGTGGGTCAAGATGGCGCGACAGTATTCGTGGAGAGTGCGATACCCGGCCTATCAGAAAGATATATCGTCTGCTATGGCGAGACAGAAACAAGCCAGCACTGGATGATCCCATACCTTCCAACATTACAGCGAGTCACTAAGGGGAATGGGAACAAGGTGGTGGGAGAACCTCTCGGCTAGCCCTAAGTCTATCTTCGAACTACACTGCTCTCATGTTGAGTAGATCTTCATGATATGTAATAATCAATCAAAAATGTCTCTTTATCTATATAAAAGTTTGTATGAGAAAGCATTGCTGGACTACGAATTAAACTCGAAACCATCACACTGCCATCTCCATCAAGCATGATGCTCCGAGGCATATACATCTGTACAAGAAGGATACTCTGATCAAGCTGACCCATAGACAATTTCCAAAATACTTCTCACCATAGCAGAACCGGCTTGATAGTCCTCCCACTCTTCATATCCGCAATCGCCACCTCAAACTCTTCTGCCGGATAAAAGCCCACAATCTTCTGCAACGGCAACAGACCCTCCTTCACCCACTCAATCATCCGGGGCACAAACTCCCTAGGGACCACATCCCCCTCCACCACCCCCATATACTGCTTTCCCGCCACCATAACTCATGAATGGGGAGATTCAGCACCGCCATCTCCGGCGCCGTCCCCAACTGCACCACCCTCCCCTTGTTAGCCGTCATGCGAATCCCCTCCGCCACCAACTCCGGCACTCCCGTGGTCTCCAACGTCACATCAGCACCCACCCCGTTCGTCACCGCACGCACCCCCTCCGTGACAGCACTCAGATCTGCAGAATCAATCTTAACCACATGCGTCGCCCCCAACGCCAACGCCAACTGCAGACGGGCCTCATTCCGCGCAATCCCAACAATCGTCTTACACCCAGCAATCCTCGCCCCCATCACAGCACTCAATCCCACCCCTCCCAGCCCCAAAACCGCAACCGTATCTTCAGCCTGTGCCCCAGCCGCATTAATCACCGCCCCCACCCCCGTCTGAATCCCACACCCCAACGGCGCCAACAGCTGAAGATCCTCCCTCCCCTCCACCAACCCAGAAACATTCACCACCGCATCCTCCCGCACAATCGTCCAGCTCGCAAAACTCGACTGCCCAAAGAACTGCCCAAAGATCTCCGGCTCCGCTGACCCCTCCCATTCCCCCTTCTCCCAAAATACACGATTCTCACCCGTCGCCTCGAAATTAATCCGATCGAAACTGTGACAATGCGCGGGATGGCCCCGACGACAACATTCGCAGGTCTGACATGCTGAGAAAGACATGAGGATTGGGTCGTCGACCTGGGCGGTTGTCACATTAGGTCCGAGTTGTCGGACGTATCCTGCCCCTGTAAATCCTTCATTAGATTATGCCATTCCCCTGGGGAAGGAAGGAGTAGGGGGAGGGAATACCTTCATGCCCCATCACCCTCGGATAATGCACCCCATGACCACTTTGCAACCCCGCGAAATGTAAATCCGTTTGACAGATGCCCGAGGCAATCACTTCCACAAGTAGTTCGTTTTCTCGGAGAGGTCGCAGGGATACGTTCTCGAGCTTCCAGCCTTTGGTTTTGTAGGGGCCGTGGGAAACTAGGGCTCGGGGGGGAGGCATGTTTGTGATGTGATGGACTGAATGGATCGGTTGGTGGAAGGGTTTACATGGCGGAGGTGTTGTTTTATATTTAAAGATTTGGTATTGCCGGCTGTAGAGCCCGAAATTAGCTTCGTGGAGAACAGATTCTTGTTTTGGGGGTCGGCATGCCGAGAGGGAGGCCGAAGGTTTCTCATAAATCCGGATTTCCGACGATGCTGTGGATGCCGATGGGACTGTGGGTAGATCTGGGATCCGGCCAAGACCGACTCGGATTTAATATTGGATTTTACGGTGTTTGTCGGAAGTCTCAGCCTGAATCCACTGCTTTAATTCCGGGCAGCATATGGGGATACTGTGGAACCATGGATGTTCAATGGGTCTTTGTTTCGAGCTAAGGGTGATGTTGCATAAAACAAGTTGAATGCCTGAGGCATGTACATCGTGGGATAGTCACGGGACTTATCCAACCCTGAAAGAAGGAGTCTATAAGCATGATGATTATCAATGACAGTCCATATATTAAGTAAAGATAAAGATAATACCCCCTTAGCACCATGCACAGCAACGCCATTGACCACTTACCAGCCCCCAATCCACATGGCAGTTATCACCTGCATCATTCTAGCGCCGATCACGTCAGGAGATAGCACGCAACATCACGCTCCCAAGGGACAATCCCCCCTGCACCATCCCTATATTTATACCCATCCAATACCAGCCAAATCCCCCAATTCTATACTAATCCAACCCTCATCCAACTAAACCATGCCCCCCGCTACCGTCGCATCGCCATCATCGGCACCGGCCCCTCGGGCCTCTCAGCCGTCAAAGCCCTCCACGACGAAAACACCTTCGACACGATCCGCGTCTTCGAACGCCACAACCGCGTAGGAGGCATCTGGCACTACGACCCAATCCCCGACCCCTTCCGACCCCCAGGCACCCCATCCCCATCCACCCCGAATCCCATCCCAACAACCCTCCCCCAATTCACCCCTCCCCAACCCGACGACCCCAGCGCCCGAACAGCCATCTACCCCCACCTGGACAGCAACGTCGGTGCCAAAACCATGTCCTTCACCCACACGCCCTTCCCAGCAATCAACTCGGCCACCTCCATCAAGCAATTCGGCCCCGCCAACGCCACCCGTCCCTTTCGCGTCGTCGCAAACTACCTCGAAGACCTCTTCATCCCGTACCTGAACCTCGTCTCCTTCAACACCACCGTCGAACGCATCCACAAACCCCCCGGTGCCTCCGAATGGACCCTCACCCTCCGCAAATCCAACCACCTCTACCGTCACCAACCAAGCGACTACTGGTGGACCGAGACCTTCGACGCCGTCATCGTCGCCTCAGGCCACTACAACGAGCCCTTCATCCCTGATATCCCCGGCCTGGCCACCACCGCAACAACCCACCCGCACGCCTTCGAACACGCCAAAGCCTTCCGCCACTCAGATACCTACATAAATCAACGAGTCCTAATCGTAGGCGGGAACATCTCCGCCGCCGACCTCGTCACGGACCTGCACGCTCTCGTCCAGGGTCCCCTGTACGTTAGTCAACGCGGCACAAACCCATCTCTTGAATCGGCATGGTCCCTTCCCAACGTGCAACGAAAACCAACTATCGCACACATCACACCTACCCCTTCCTCATCCACCACAACCACAAGTACTAAACCAATAACAGTCCACTTCACATCACACCCCCCAATCACCATCGACAAGGTCATCTTCGCCACCGGCTACAAACCATCCTACCCCTTCCTAACTCCCTCCCCAGTAACCGCACACAACCGCGTCGCAGGCTTCTACCAACACATTTTCTCCATCACGGACCCGTCCTTAGCACTAGTGGGCCAAATACGCGCGGCGTTGAGCTTCAGAGTATACGAGTACCAGGCTGTTGCTGTGGCGAGGTTTTTTGCGAACAGGGGGGGTGGGCTTCCGGGGAGGTTGGAGCAGGAGGAATGGGAGCTTGAGAGGTTGAAAACTAAGGGGAATGGGGTGGCGTTTCATGAGATTAAGCCCGAGTTTGGGGAGTATTTTGAGGTTTTGAGGGGGATTGCCGGCGGGGATGGAGTGGGGGGGTGGTTGCCGGGGTTTGAGGAGAGGTGGGTGGAGGAGGCGTTTGAGGTTTTGAGGGGGAAGGAGGGGTTTTGGGGCGGTTGAGGGGGAGGGGAATGGGGAGGGGAGGGTGGTGAAGTTGTGAGTGTTGGGTGTGTGTTGGGATTGGGGTTAGGGTTGTTGGGATTGGGGATAAGGGGGATGTTTGTTTACTAGATATTATGTTCTTATTGTATGGCAGTTATATTGATGAAGTATTGGAATGATATCTAGTACCTAACCACTACTTGTTATCTGGGTATTTATATCAGAGATCTAGTATAAAGTTCAAGGTTTACAGTACTTTTTTTGTTACTAGAGACTGGATTAAATCATAGTCAGCCTTTCTTGCCTTGCTAAACTAACGCATAATACTACTATTCAACTATCTTTAATCTTTGTAGAAAGTGTGGCCTTGTTGTTGTGATTTGCGAAAGGTATAAGAACTGAAAGTGATTGGATAAGTGGATCGGGATGGTGCCAACAATTACCGTATTCCTCTCGGTCTGTGGCCCCGATTGCCGAATCTGGTAATATATTGCCGGGTGCTTATCCATGAAATTGTGATTAGGAATGTGGAGCTACACCGTTGTGGATGAGATGTTGTTCTTCGACAAGGATGGATATCTGCAGTCCCACAGAATACTCGGTTGGTCGCGAATGGAGCATCGCTGCCATTTAAATTGTCATCAATACTATTTTTTATATTGTCAGATTCTCAAGACATTGATATCAATAGATCATCCGTAACTAAAAACAAGTCCAGGCAAGTAATACTATATAACCTATGCAAAGAACTTCGCATTCACGCTGATCATAAACACTCACGCAACATGTTCGAAATAATCCAAAAACCCCTTATCCTTCATCAAACATTCATACTCCGACACCGGCGCTTGCACAAAGACCTCAAACACCCTCGTAGCACCCCCAGCCAAATTAGGCAGAATCATCGCACACGCCCCCGGCACCCCCGCTTGCACCCGGAAGGCCACGGGCCCTGCCGTAGCTCCCAAATCATACTTATCTGCGCTCCCCGTATACCAGGTATTCATGAACAGGTCCATGCCTGCAAAGTTAGCATTTGGAAGGAGCATCTCCGTATCCGCAAGCGAGGCCTGCAACGCCGTCAGGTGTCCGATCTTGCTTATATCAATAGCGTGAATAGATTGACGGATTAGGGTGGCTGCTGCGGCGAGGCCGTTGGAGATGAGGGTGGTGGCGGGCACTGGGCCAGCTAGGGTCCCGATGACGGCGTTGCCAAAGTATCGAGACGAGGTTTTGTGGTGAGGATCGCGGGAGCGGACGTCGATGGGGTGGACGAAGCGGGTTGGGGTGTTGGCTTGGTCTGGATGGATGTGGAGGCGGGCCCGGGTGAGGGATGTCCAGATTAGGGCGGAGATGCAGTCGTAGGAGGTTATGTATTCGACTTCATCCAAGTAAGGGACGCATTGAGCTTTGAGTTGTTGGATGGTGGATTCTGTGATGCGGTAGATGCCGGCGCGGGTGGAAGGTGGAGGGTTGAATTGGAACTGGGATTTGTTCACGATGTGGAATAGGGGGATCTGGGCAAGTCGGTCTTGTTGGGAGAGAGTGGCATCGGGTGACGGAGTATTGTAGGGGGCTCGGTGCAGGTCTGGGGTATAGGCTGGCATGACCTGGCCTTCCTGATGAGCCTTGCTGCTTTGACAGACGAGCGAGATGAAGGTGTCGAGGGATACCCAGTCGCCGGCTGCATGGTCGACTCGGAACCCTATGACCAGGCCTCCCTGGATGAGGCTCAATTGGATGAGGCAGACGGGGTGGGTGGGCGTTGGTTCTTGGGGCAGGAATCGAGTCAGGTCCAGGTTGGGAGAGAAAGAGGCTTTAGCCAAGATGGAGAAAGGCTCGCACTCGGTGCTTGTGAACCGGCGTATGCTCACTTCCACCGAGCTATCGGGGGAGGTCTCGATGCAGAGAGTTTTGGATGGGTTGAATTGGAGATGCCCGGCCATGAAGGGCAACTGGCGAGTAGCGTTCTTCACTCCCTCGAATACAGAGGAAACCACCCTCTCTGGGTCCACCGTGGCCGGGATGTAATAGAACAAGACGACCTTTACACTCTTGGTAAAGCCTCCCTTGTCGAGATCCGACAACCCATATGTCATTGTGTCCATTGTTCTCGAAAATTGGTGTCTTGAACGATCGTTGAGGCGCATCCAAGTGAACAAGTTATTTATAGCAGTCGTCCCGTCGGGAACCCAATCTGGTAACGGGACGTACCGTGGACTATTCCCGATCAGGAGTCCGACCATGTGGATCTCCGAGTGGCTCTGCTGCATATCTGTATTGTCCAGAGGATGACTGAATTCATTGTACATTGGGCTAATCTCTCAGCAGTTGACAGCTCTGTTTAGTTTTGAAGCTTCGAAGTAAGTCCATGACATCCGTACGATTCCTCAACTCTGCATACCACATGGCGTCTCTTCCGTCAGCATCTTGTAGGTCCAAGTCTGCAGCATTCGACTGCAGAAGCAGGGAAGCAATTTCCTTGTCGCCTGCCAGCGCCGCGATCATAAGAGGGGTGCAGCCGTCCTCGTCGGGTATATTTGCATCCACGGAAGCATCAAGCAATATTTGGACAACGCCTCGGCAACCTCGATTTGTGGCCTTGAACAACGCCGTTGTCCCGTGTTCGTTTCTTCGGCCTGCATTGACCCTGCCACTGTTCAAAAGTGCCCGGACTATGTCCTCATCCCCATTCCCAGCGGCTATCATCAACGGGGTCCATCCCTGAAAGTCTGGAGTGTCGGGATCGGCCAGATAGGGAAGCAATATCTCGGCAGCATCAGAGCTACCTCTTTCCGCAGCTTGGTGAAGAGCTGTTCTTCCGAATTTATCGGTATCATCGATACAGATCTTGCGCGAATCAATCAAGCACTGCAGAATGTTGCCATTCCCCAGTTTAACAGCCCATGTCAGTGGCGTCTCCCCATATCTATCAGGGATATCTGCCTGGATGGTATCGAGCTTCAACAACGCTGCCACAAAGTCCTCAAGCCCAAATATGATGCTGCAAGTCAAGGCAGTTCTCCCATGGCAGGCTTGAGCATTCACATCACAACGTCGTGAGTTGATCAGTTGCCAAAACAATTGTACATCCCCCTCTTCACACGCGGTTATCAGAGGGCTCCTTCACAAGAAGTCCCTGACGTTACAAGCCTCGTCTGACCCAAAGTCAAGGAAGACGCGAATCATGTCCGGGTCACCATCGGCTGCCACACAATCGAAAGGGGTCCGGCCACTCGGGTCCCATGTATCGACGTCTACTGCTCCCGACTCCAGCAGCACTTTGACTGCCGCTGGATTACGTGACTGCACTGCGGCTTGCAATGGACCCGTGCGCCATGCATCCCGAAGATCTTTTCTCACTTGGTCTGCAGTCAGGAGCAAGGCCAGAATACGATCATAGCCCTGAAGCGCGGCGACCAGCAGTGTATTTTGACCGTCTCGATTCCGTGTGTCACAGATGTTGTCCCCCTCTTCCAATAATTGCTCAACCACAGCTGTCATGCCGGCATACGATGCGATCCACAAAGTACTCATATTGTAAGAGTCGACGCGCAACCCTCGGACCTGAAGTGGCTTTGCCTCTGTCCAGACTTGGCAGTGTCTGTCCTGTATATCACAGAACCTCTTGATCCTCACCGCGAGAGCCTTATCCTCCTCTAGCTGAGCTTTTTGGATGTGATGAAACAGATTCTCACCGACGTAATCCAAGAACTCTTCGTTCAATGCTCTCGATGTGCTCTCGGACGACTTGTTCCCCGACCGGTTCCTGGATTGAAGATGGGGTGGTTCAAGAGCCACCTCAATGTAACTCAAACAACTCCATGCGAGAACTTGATGGGTTTCGACTTCACTCAACGGCCCGCTTTGGATTTGACCGTCCGCGGAGAATCCCTCGTTCACAAGAAACTCACGAGCAGTTTCATGCAATAGATAGACTCGGTTCTCGATGACCGTCACCAGTAAGCCGCACCAGTTCGGCAAAAGTAGCTCGAGGTTGCGATACGGTTCGGGCGGTTCCGACGAGACGGAGTCGAGGTGCATCGCAATATGCATTTCTTGTAATGTGAGCGGTCGGTAAGCCGCTAGAATGATAGAGAAGGCTTTCCTTGCCAGGGCCGGTCTTTTGGAAGTCCTGACCATTTTCGTGTATATATCGTAGACGGTCTTCGGAGGCTCATCAATGATCTGGTCAATCGCTCGTTCACCATTCTCAACGTCAGTGGCGGCAATCCATTCGAAGATCGAGTGGACCCAGAGATAGGTACGTTGGGACGATTCCTGTAGGCGTCTCACTAAATGGAATTTAGTATCCTCATCCAAACGACCTTTCTCCTCCAGTTCCGTCGCACGGGCCTCGATCACTATGTCCACCTCTCTCGCAATCGCCCCGAAGCAATTCGCCGCAGATATATGGCACTGAGGGTAAGTTGTGATCAGACTCTGAAGCTCTGATATGGTGCCGCTGCTTGGCCTCGTTGTCGCAAGGAACGTGACCTTCTTGACCACCTTGTTCTCCCACGCCAAGTACAACTCTCGAAGTTGATTGATAAAACGCGTCGATTCATACTGATCACATTCGTCCAATGCATCGAGAATAAGGATGACCTGACCGATACTGGTATCCATCACCATCCTCGAAAGGATCCCCCATAAAACACTGTCTATATTGACCAGTTTTTCCTTGCTCGCCTTGTAATCTGACATGGTGTGCTTGATTAGATCAAACTTTCGCGAGGCCAGCTGATGAATCAGGGCACAGAGGGCTTGCCGTGCGGTATTCTGGCTCTGCTGATCGAAAAAGAAATAACAGATGATAGCATCAGGGTGTCTACCATCCAGCTTGCTGTCGACCAAGTGTTTTGCCAAGATTGACTTTCCACAGCCAGCATCAGCCGAAAGGATCAATGAATCATTGGGCTGGTCCAACCAGCTGTTGTACGAGGGGTGTGAGAGAAACCATTCACAGGTTCCAGCAATCCGTTCTCTCACCCGAGTCCTGTAGCTCTCGTATGACTCGTCTCGACCCTCTCGGGTAAGCCGAAAGACCTAATGACACTGTCTCATCTCGTCAAACCCTTGGTCTGGCATCTTATCCAGCATTTCTTTTGCTATATCCCGGTGTTGCTCTTGGACTTCAAGGCCTTTCTCCGCGATCGGCAAGAGGTCTGTCAGAAATCGGTTACTCTGGCTAAGAATTTCTTCAATCTGGCGCAGAGTTCCCTGGTCCACAACCGCCATTATTTGGCGCAAGTCGCGATTGAACGTATCTTCGAGCTTCAGGATTACCTCCTTCTTTGAACTCCAATCCTCGAGCAAGAAGAGATCTTTGGCATAACTTGGGCGGTACAGCCGGATAACGCTCTGGATCTGGAATTCGAGCAGCTTCTCATATAGCGCGACCAGATTCTCATAGAGCTTGCTTTGTAGCTCATCTCCATCAGCACGCTTTGTTTCTGGGTCTTTCTTGGGCTGCAACCTTTTCTCGAGAATCAGATAGAATCCTAGGCGCTGAGTCACATAGAGGAACCCATCTCTGTTGGCCACCGATGCTGCATGTATGTTCGTCATCAAGGGTAAGACGATACAGACGCCCGCCCATACCAGCGAGGCCTCTGTTGACACTTTGACGGCCTGGTCGACCAAGCCCTTTACAGCTTGGATGCCCTTGGACAGGTGCGCCAGGCGGAATACTTGATATGTCATTATTCCTCTGATCGGCTGGGGAAAGTTGGTTTCTTTTGAGGTCTGGGTTCGTGGCAGCCGTGTTCACTGCTGGAAGCGCCGGGTCACCCTGTTCTTCCAGGCTGGATGGCTGTTGCTTTTGGCCCACCAACTTTCGGAAAATGCGTTTGAGCCGATGAAGAAACATGTTTCAACTGCCATTGCATTGATTCCAGGGTATGTTGCCTGTCACCAAGGAAACCAACTGCGGGAATATGAAAGAAGAAGATGGGAAAGGGTCCAAAGTTCAGCCGCGGCACAGGCAGTGTGATGTGATGAGGTGGCATGGTGGGTCATGCATCTATCGACAAGGATCTATCGGGGGTCTGTCTACCCCTCGATTTGGCCGCGCGGTTGAAGCTCCCCCTTATAACCAGAGCATGGAGAATCCTACGGACGCTGATTCCAGGACTCTTTCAAAGGCATTAGGAGCGACGTGATAAGCGTATAATTTGCCTGTATCGGTAAACTGGCTCCTGCAGTCTCTATCACTTATAGCCAATCATGTATTGAGCTTTAAACTTGCGGAATTCTCTCTGAGCTGAATATGCCGTGGCTCAATCTTCCGAGAAAGATTAAGGGCGATTCGTGACAGCTATCCTCATAGACATGTCTGAAGGACCAGCATTGGTACTTGAAATATGTTGGAGTGGCTACTAAGGCGATTCAACCGTGTAGAATGAGATGGATGATGATGTAGCTAGGGGCCTCGTAGGCCATCTATATGGACTAACTAGCGGTGTAGGGAGGAGTGTCACGTGACCCTACGTTGCCTACCGGCGTGGGAGCCCATCGGGGATCCCAACATATAATAAGATTTGTTTAGATTCGCGTTGTGTCTTAGGAATCAGTTAAGAAGTTCATTATCTTCAAAGATATACCTATAATGACTATTAGCTACTACTAACATGTTGGAAGAAAGCTATCAAACTTATATTAACACAGACGGAATATTATTATTAATATCCATATCTATGTTCTACCCACTAGATAAAATCGTTTTAAGTATAGTAAAATTCTTGGATAATATTGCAGTTAGAAACTGGTTAACTTTTAATAGAATATCACTGTCTAGTAGTTTTTTGACTTCAAGAAAGTTTCCATCCTCTATGGCAATTGTAAGCTCCCGATCGGTCATAATGTTGGAGTTGATGGGTTTGGAAGTCTCAAGTAGCAATAGTGTTGAAATTGATAGCTTGGAAGGAAGGTGGCAGTGTATCAGCTTATGGAATTGTATGCTCACGTGATTCAAGTGACAGTGCAGAGTACTCCGTATCGCTCCTGGAGATCCACCTTATCTTCCTTCTTTTACCCTTGCCCGCACATTATTTGCCCCACCCTCTGCCCACCGTCTGCCCACCGTCTACCCACCGTCTGCCTATACCAGCCATTGCTAGCTCAAAAAAATAATATATATATATCACATTATAGAATGGACAGTGTAAGAAGCAGCATTCATAATTTCAGGATACTCAACAGCAGTGATGGAGACGCATTTCCATCGGGCATTGACCAGGAGAGAGGCAGCTGAAGTACAAATGAATGAAGTTGGGTTTGTTTCTTTCGTTGACGAGGGCCTCAAAGCCATTGGAACCTGGAATTTGAACAGTTGTATGGCGGTTACAGGGTTTCCGGATACTGGTGTCACCACTTATACTCTTTGATTGTTTCAGTAACCCTGGAGTGAAAATAAGCTACACTGAATTCGAAATGGAAGGGAATAATGGTTTTCCCGTGACAGATAATGTATTGTAAATACTAGTCATATTACTATAATAACGTGACCGGGTAATCCACGCGCTTGTCCATTGGCATGGAAATTTCTGGATTCAGAACGAGTGGCAAGCTGGCCATATTTACGGAACCATCTAGGAACCACTGCAGAGTTCTTGTTTATCTCAAAGAATGATATATAAGCCTCAGTTATCCCAGGCCCTCCTTTTACAAAGAGATTAGAAAATAAGAGACTTGAGTGGAATACAAAGAATATTAATCTAACGTGTATAGAATCCTATAATGGAAACTCGACCACTGGGATACCCCAGGGCAAGTGTGGCGTCTTTAACAGCATGACATGAAAATGAGCGATACTCAGCAGGCAGCCACAGTATATTTTGATCTGCTAATGCAATCCAGGTTTCTGATAAAGATATTTGGAAATTGGGATCAGAGTTATTCAGAATTGAAGTAAACAAATCTGAATGGCCCTCGAGCGTCTGCCGCTGTCTGCCGGTGGCTGTATCCCAGAGCTTGACGATCTTATCGTCCGAGCCTGACGCCAGGGTGAGCCCATCAGGAGAGAAGGCCACTGAATTGATCCAATCTGAATGGCCCTTGAGCGTCTGCCGCTGTCTGCCGGTGGCTGTATCCCAGAGCTTGACGGTCTTATCACTCGAGCCCGACGCCAGGGTGAGCCCATCAGGAGAGAAGGCCACTGAATTAACCCAACCTGAATGGCCCTTGAGCGTCTGCCGCTGTCTGCCGGTGGCTGTATCCCAGAGCTTGACAGTCTTATCGTCCGAGCCTGACGCCAGGGTGAGCCCATCAGGAGAGAAGGCCACTGAATTGATCCAATCTGAATGGCCCTTGAGCGTCTGCCGCTGTCTGCCGGTGGCTGTATCCCAGAGCTTGACGGTCTTATCACTCGAGCCCGACGCCAGGGTGAGCCCATCAGGAGAGAAGGCCACTGAATTAACCCAACCTGAATGGCCCTTGAGCGTCTGCCGCTGTCTGCCGGTGGCTGTATCCCAGAGCTTGACAGTCTTATCGTCCGAGCCTGACGCCAGGGTGAGCCCATCAGGAGAGAAGGCCACTGAATTGATCCAATCTGAATGGCCCTTGAGCGTCTGCCGCTGTCTGCCGGTGGCTGTATCCCAGAGCTTGACGGTCTTATCACTCGAGCCCGACGCCAGGGTGAGCCCATCAGGAGAGAAGGCCACTGAATTAACCCAACCTGAATGGCCCTTGAGCGTCTGCCGCTGTCTGCCGGTGGCTGTATCCCAGAGCTTGACAGTCTTATCGTCCGAGCCTGACGCCAGGGTGAGCCCATCAGGAGAGAAGGCCACTGAATTGATCCAATCTGAATGGCCCTTGAGCGTCTGCCGCTGTCTGCCGGTGGCTGTATCCCAGAGCTTGACGGTCGTATCATTCGAGCCCGACGCCAGGGTGAGCCCATCAGGAGAGAAGGCCACTGAATTAATATAATCTGAATAGCCTTCGAGCGTCTGCCGCTGTCTGCCGGTGGCTGTATCCCAGAGCTTGATGGTCGTATCGTTCGAGCCTGACGCTAGGGTGAGCCTATCAGGAGAGAAGACCACTGAATTGATATAACCTGAATGGCCTTCGAGCGTCTGCCGCTGTCTGCCGGTGGCTGTATCCCAGAGCTTGATGGTCTTATCGTCCGAGCCCGACGCCAGGGTGAGCCCATCAGGAGAGAAGGCCACTGAATTGATATAACCTGAATGGCCTTCGAGCGTCTGCCGCTGTCTGCCGGTGGCTGTATCCCAGAGCTTGACGGTCTTATCGTCCGAGCCTGACGCCAGGGTGAGCCCATCAGGAGAGAAGGCCACTGAATTAACCCAATCTGAATGGCCCTCGAGCGTCTGCCGCTGTCTGCCGGTGGCTGTATCCCAGAGCTTGACAGTCTTATCGTTCGAGCCCGACGCCAGGGTGAGCCCATCAGGAGAGAAGGCCACTGATTTAATATAACCTGAATGGCCCTTGAGCGTCTGCCGCTGTCTGCCGGTGGCTGTATCCCAGAGCTTGACGGTCTTATCATTCGAGCCTGACGCCAGGGTGAGCCCATCAGGAGAGAAGGCCACTGAATTGATCCAATCTGAATGGCCCTTGAGCGTCTGCCGCTGTCTGCCGGTGGCTGTATCCCAGAGCTTGACAGTCTTATCGTCCGAGCCTGACACCAGGGTGAGCCCATCAGGAGAGAAGGCCACTGAATTGATATAACCTGAATGGCCTTCGAGCGTCTGCCGCTGTCTGCCGGTGGCTGTATCCCAGAGCTTGACAGTCTTATCACTCGAGCCTGACGCCAGGGTGAGCCCATCAGGAGAGAAGGCCACTGATTTGATATAATCTGAATGGCCCTCAAGCGTCTGTAGGTTTGGGCTCCATGAATCTTCGACGACTGGAAGCTTTTGCATTTGTTTTGGTATTTCACCAAGAAAAGTCTTCTTGATAATACTTTGTACAGGTGCAAACACGAGCCCGGAACTGTAGAGTTGCAGTGGAGCAATGCCAGCCATGTAAGCATATTGAAGAGTAAACCTTCTTGCATCATATAGAAAGTCCCAAAGCTCAGCATCAATATTGTCCTGGTATATAAATTAGCCACTGCTCAACCGGCAAGTCATGGACTTACCTCTGTACTCGTCTTCAATGTATCTATCATTTCCACTGCTTCAGATATTTTCCCCATCAAAGCTAGTGCCTCCAGCCAGTGCAGAAAACGTTTCTTAAGAAAACAGAGAATCTCAGATTTGGAGATAAGACCTTTGCTTTCTCGAACATGAAGCACCCAGTACTTGCAGGAGTATTGTATATCTGCTGTGAAGCGGTGATTAATGACCTGCGGATCGATATCCTTGCACTGCATTCCGTAACTTGCCAGATTACAGACATTGTGTTCCAGCTGAGTGTCCATAACCCGGAGACAATGTGTCGCTATCTTCCCATGCGTCTCTTGCTCATTGATATGAAATCGGCTCTGTGTGGCCAGAAGGTAATCTCGAAATGACAGGTGTAGAATTCGAACTGGCGTCTCTCGCTCACTTGGTATATTGAGGACTGAATGTAAAGAGGCCAATGTCTCACTGATCTCATAAGTATTCAGTTCCAGAAGAAGGGCTAGAGATTCAATAGAGAGTGGGGTAGCAAGAAGAATAATAACACCGACGATGTTCTGGAATTCTTTCACAAGATCCTCCGACTCCTCCTCGTCACTGCCTAAAAAACGTTCTAGAATAGGCAAATATATCCGGTCCATCTGGCTTTTACCTGTACCTTGAGATTCGAGGAACCTCTCGAGCCGCTGGTTCGGATGCGTTCCTTGCTTAATGAAACGGCATGCTGTGGCCGCGAAAATGAATAAAGGAACAGCCATCCTTACCAGCTTTTCTATCTTTTCTTTTCCTGGCCAATTCGGGGAGAATGCGCCCGCCTGTATTTCTGAAAGCTTAACTTCCAGGAACTTGCGAATGTCTTGTTCAATCACCGGCTCAGGAAGCTCATGGAGGACTAGATCCTGATGACTCTGACTCTCCTTAAATCCAAGACGGATTGGAAGCTCGGGTCTGCTAGTCAGAAATATTCCAACTTGCACGGATTCAAGCTCCTGTACTCGTAGGAAAAGTTTGATTATTAATGTTATTTGATCTTCCTGGTCGCATTCATCCAAAGCATCAATCACAATCACAATAATTGCAGGATTTGCTTGATTCAGGGTAACAAGTGGCTGAAGAAGCAACTGATTGAATTGTTGGCTGAGGGATTTGGTTGAAATATCCGGGTCTTTCTCCACTGCTTCCAAGACAGCTGGTGCTAGCTTTGGATAGCGTATTATCATTTGTTTTGCGATTGTTGATATCAGGTACTTTGCATTAGCACGGTCTGCTTCACCTCGTTTGAAGAAAAATGAAGCACCAAGTTGCTCTTTATCGTGAAAGATGCGTGCCACTGTTCGAGCAATAGTTGATTTGCCTGTTCCTGCCATACCATTCAACCAGAATATACATTTGCCATGTGCTGATTTACCCCACTCTTCAACTTCACTGAGTAGCTCTTTTCGGGTTTCTGGAAGACATTCATCATGCTGATTGTCAAAAGAGTCAAATGCTGCTCCTTCAACAATCCTCAGTTGTTGCCAACCAACTGTCTGATCGAATCGAGACTGAAATAACCTATTACTGTCAGCCGTCTCTCCCGACTATACTACATTTCGTCATACCTCTGTGCATCTCTTATGTCTAGCGTATTTCTTTCAACTAGCAAACGTCATTATATGCCTAAAATAGCCCAAGGATTTCAAGGAGGGCGGGAGGGGTAGGTAGTGTGAAAGGGAAAGAAGAGATATATTTATTTTGATAGATAAATCTAATCAAACTCCCATACCTTGTTGCAATTGGTTTGTAACCTGTTCAGCCCATGCCGGCATTTGATCCACTTTTTGTGCAGGCAGAACACAAAGTAATTCTCGTGCATAGGCAGCAGCACTCAGCGCAGCAAAGTTGTGCCAATCATCATTTTTATGAGAGTCACAATAGTCGCAGATTCCACGAATGACAAGGCATGGAAGATTGTTCATTAGACCTGCAGCTTCCATCTCAAAACACAACACCTGATCAGGATTGTTTGCATAGAATTCACGTATAGCAGCGTCTTTAAGAACAGTATTGCCTGATGCAATAGTTCCATAGTGAATCCGAATGACGCGGTGGTGTTGACGCTCTGGACGATTGACTAGAAAGCCTGAGTCACATTGCTGACAGCTCGATCCACCTGAATGCAGGTAATCAGCCTGGTACAACTGGTCGACCATTGGCCGATGATACTCTTCCATATCATCCATGCGCTGAATATGTTCCGCGATTCTGTCTGGCTTCCGCTTGTCGTTGTAAAGTCTCTTAATCTCAGGAATAGCGCCAAGTAATTTGTCAGGGGGCGCGTTTAAGTGACCTGTTCGTTGGAATTGACCATCCTGCAGTCTTCTTCCAAGGTCATATTGTATCACACCTCCGAATTCATCTTTGGGCTGGCTGACAACAACATCGCCAAGTCTAATATCATGTCTCGCTGTCGGCGCACCGCCTCCAATCCCAACCATTAATGCGAATCGTAGGTTTGGAAAGGTCCGGACCATATCTCGCGCAACACGGCTGGCGGAATTGGAGCCATATCGGCCTGCTGGAAGACAGCCAATCACCACGTAATGGCCCTTGATCCGGCCATAGGCATATGTGTTGTCATCGCCATTCTCCACCAGATCTGGGCTTGCGAAATCCTCATCGAGCATTCGACACGCACATTCGTACTCTTCCTGCAGGGCACAGATCCATCCGACTGTATAGGGATTTGCGGATGGCAAATCATTTCTTTGGGGCTCGGAACTCACTGTCGGATAACGTTTGGCATGACTGGGAGATAGAGAAGTACTCGGCGAAAATTTTCGCTTCATTATAAGGGCTTCCAAGGTAAATCTGTATCATAAAACATTAGCGGCCTAGAAAAAGCGAAGTAGGCAAGAATCCTGATTCAATAGGAATGTTTAATTACCAGAATGTTTTGGCGAACTGGGACTTGACAACCCACTAGAATAGATCATGTGGATGTTTGAAAAGGCTGAAAGAGATATTTTGTGAGAAGGCTGTCAAGTTGAAATGAGCTGGCGCGGGGTGCGGCGGCAAAAGTCGATGTGTCATTGGATGATTTCACAACCCAGTATTTAGCTAACTTTTGTTATTTTAAATGCGTCAAGTTCATTTCAGTAAATAGATCCAGTTTTAATAAGTGTATATCTGACTTTTTAGATGAAGTCAACCTGATATACTCTATTTATTACTTTAGCATCTAACTATTCTGCGATCCATAACGAGACAAAGTGGAGCAATCCGCAAACATTGAGCTCCACCGGTCAGGAAACCATTCGGCCTATTATATATCAGCCCGGGCCGGGTAATCCTCAACCCGTGCTTCGTCCCCCTAGAATGTTCCATGCAAACAGCACAAACACCAGGAACCCTTTCCAACACGCTGTCAACACTTTCGTCTCTCGACCCTCCCATCATTCCCGTCGGGATATCTCTACCTGTCGAGGTTAAACAGGATGAGTGGTACAATTTATATAGCCCTGTGGGAACAGACCCTGTCGTATGCCCCTACTCCTGGTAACTTTGGCCGCGATTGCACGTCGTCCAGATACAGCCCGTCCGACCGTGGAAGCCGAAGTTCCACCCCCTTGCGTCATACCCCACTCGATCAACCACAGTTCATTCGAAACACAGAATGCGATGTTACAACGATAGATGATAGGGAACAGCCTATCTCGATTCGATATTTGATTGAGTGGAGAGTGACTCTAGATAACCGCGTGGTGGCAAAGGATACGGAACAAGACCTCACTCTAAACCCCAGTTCTTATTGGTCAAACATCAAACATAAAGCCGAAGATATATTACGTCGGAAGATAGCTCGCAGCCGACGGGTGAGACTGCATGATACTATGGTAGTGGTTTTTGTAAATGATCGATCACAGCGCGATCTTATCAAGTATTTTGAGAAAACTGACATCGAGTGGGCGGCTATTCAAAAGCAGCTTGTAATGTGGGAGAATCTATTTTACTAAAGTAAGAAGCTGAGGCTGTGTATCTTTATTAACTATTTAGACTCCGACCAGTCTCTAAGAGATACTGATAAAAGAGGGTAAACCTCAGTGACTAGGAGGATGCTTAACACACGAGACGCTGAGATTGATGCCGAACGGGTCACTGGTCAGCCTTCAGCTTGGCGGGATGTGTACAGAGTAATGCGCTGCCCTGGTTCACCATGCTGTCTAGAATCGCAATATTGCTGGCAGGAACCAGTTGGGAAAAAGCATTATAAACTACGGACGCATCATTTGAGGAAGCTTGTTAGATATGTGGAAAAAGAGGGAGGAACTATTGGAACCCATGATGACATACCTGAAAATATTCCTGATCAATTATATGCAGAGGAATAGTAGCGGCTTGAACAACGACCGAAGGCTCCTGTGCACCCAGTCAGTGGATCTATATTTCTAATTAACATCCATGTGCTCTCTACACAGCCATCTCAGCTTGTGACGGTATCTCCAGCGGCTAGTGGTGACTCTACTTTGTTGAAAACCTCTCCATTTTCTGGTGTCATTAATATTCCTGGGCTTCTTGAAGTAGCGGTAGAGGCATATACTGTTTGGCAGCTCTCACGGGTGAGCACTGAATCTTTTAGGGAAAATATTATCAAGGTATATAAGGTCACGCTGGAGAACTGCCTTGACCTGAAACAAATCCATCATGATCAAGACCCTGGTTTTTTCATCGATCAAGGCGTGAAGCTCGGGGCTGCACGCAGGTTTGTTGGTGAGATTAATGACTGGGTCCAGGAAGTCAAACTCAACCAATAACAAGTTTGCGTTAGATTGAGAACAATTTTATCAAGCCTTTGACATCTTGTTTAGGTACTGTAAGTACAAAAGTAGAACCAATTATATACTTTTATGACATTTCATATAGTTACCGAAACATATATCTCAGCATGTGACTATTTTATTAACGTAATCGGTAAGCGAGCGGGCCACCTCACGCGTTTTTGGCCGCGGTTGGAAACCTCGCTCAACCCAACCACCAACCATGCCTCCAAAATCGCGTCAAAATTCACGAAATTCAATTGAGCAGGAGGGTAGGATTCTACTAGCAGTTACTGCTTTAAAAAATAAGGAAATCTGCAATATTCGCGAAGCAGCACGTCTTTATAATATTCCACGTACAACCCTCCAACAACGATTAAATGGCCATACTTTTCGAGCAGAGACACGCGCAAATAGTCATAAAATGACTCAAAATAAAGAATATTCACTAGTCAGATAGATCTTATCACTAGACCAATATGGAGCACCTCCTCGGCCATCTCATATACAAGAAATGGCTAATATTCCCCTTTCTCAACGTGGTACTACACCTATTCAATTCATTAGAGAGAAATGGGTATACAACTTTATTCAACGCTATAACAAATTGAAGACATGCTTTTCTTAAAGATATGACTATCGACATGCTCAATACGAGGACCCTAAAATTATTAGGGAGTGGTTTGACTGCATACAAATCACTATAATACAGAATGGGATTGTACCTGAACATATCTACAACTTTGACGAGACTGGCTTTGCTATAGGCTTGGTAGCTACTGTTAAAGTAGTTGCTAGAGCTGATTTCTATGGGAAAGCACCTCTTGTACAGCCAGGCAATCGAGAATAGATTACTTCTATTAAATATATTAATGCTTCTGGATGGGCTCTTTCACCATGCATTATCCTTAAAGAAAAGATCCATATAGAGAGCTGGTATCAAGGCACTCTACCACATGACTGGAGAATTAAGCTTAATCCTAATGGCTGGACTAGTGATGAAATAAGTCTTCACTGGCTCAAGAAGCTCTTGTCAAAACCTAGGATCGCTTCTCCCTGTTCCTGTTAGCTTAGCTCCCGTTCCAATACGTACCTGTGAACTAAATCAAGGTAAGTCAGACTGATGACTATCTAAGAGGTGACTGGTCCTAAACAGAAGAAGAGAAGTAAGGCCAGATAGTGCCGCGCAGCTATCTGTAAGTAAGTACAGACAAGTATTGTCGCTAAGCTTTACCAAAATGTATGGTTACTTAAAGACAGTATTATTAAGCATGAAGAACAGAACTAATTAAGTATATGAAAGAATGTCCTTATATCCTATTCTTCATATACCATTCCGTATACCATTCAGGGTAGATCAAGGATCGGTCTAATCATGTTTCTAGATCCCGTATACCATATCATATACCCTCGATGGTAGATCTGATGGTAGATGGTCACGTGACACAGCGCTGTCTCGGACGTTACTCTGACCAGGATTTTACTCAATAAGAGTTACTGGTAGTCCGAGTTCTGCCTGGTCGTCACTTTCTGCCTGACGAGTCCGCTCTGCTAGTAACCTGGCTAGCAGGGGTCTGTAACATCACTCTCCCTCCTTCAAGGTTTCTTATTCTCAAGAGACATAAAGATGCGTGTCTCTCCTGTGTCGGTTAAGTTTTCTTAATTTCTCTTTTTCCTATGATAGGCCATCATGTCTCATCGTTGTGCTAATCGTGATCGGGTGAAGGAATGTATCTGTCAGTCCAACAAGATCTGTAATAACAGCTTCATTACTAAGAGTTCCTACAAACATTGTTTCCTGAGAGATATTTCTTATATTATAGATTCAAAGAGCCGAAATTGTGCTGCCTACACTTATTATGATTGAAAATATGAAAAGCAATTTTACAGTGATAAGAAATAGAATAAGTTAAAATATAATCAATCAGATATACAAAATAAACTTACTAAGATTCTTACTAAACAGGCCTGTATTGCTGCCAAGGTGGCTTGTTTATTTAAGCAACAGTAGTTCCTAAAAGATCGTGGCAAGCGGATGTTAGATCACAACTCAACTGTATTAAAGCAGTTAGATAAGGAGGATCCTCCAAGCGCTGAGGATCTTCAGAAGCTAAAGTATCTAGCTAATAAATATGATACTACTCAACTTGCTGCTGTATCAGACAATCCTAGTCTAACTCAGTTAATTAGTTTCTCTTCCTTCTGGGCGAACTTCAACCTGTCTGTTAATAGTATTACTTCATAAGCTGGTAATAGCCTGTCAAATTCTTAATAGATTCCCACATATTTTCTGAGATATCATATTCTATCTATTTTACTAGATACTTTGACCTGCCACTAATCTTCTTATAGTCTAGGAACTTTTTGACTTTATATTCTTTCTCTGTGTTGTCGTCAATCTCCATGTTTTCTGCGATTCTAGTGTTCTTTAATATAGGTTTTAATAATAAGATATGAAATACTGGATAAATTTTACTTATTGATTTTGATAATCTTAACTTATAGTTGACCGGTCTCTTCTTGTCTTCGATAATAAATAGTCCTAGCTTGTAATAGTCAAGTTTCTGATTTAATCATTTTATCTTGATGTTTCTGTAAAGTAAGAATACTTTCTTTTTTCTTTTTAGATCAGGTTTCTTTCCATATTTATGATTATAATACATCTTGCTGCGTAAGTTCATGAACTTAATATCTTAGGATAACTAGAGATATATGTTTTCTATAAATAGCTTCCTACTTACGGCTCCCTTTAGAAGCCACATGCTGCTTCAATATACTTTGATGTATTTAAAAGATTTGCAGTATAACGATGAGTAAGCGGTAGTTAGTCTTAAGCAAGGTCGCCAGCTGGATGATAATTACCTGAATGTCATGCTTCACTGACAGGGAGAGAACAGTAACCAACATCCCTTCAATGCTGCCACACTGATCCAGTAACTCAAACAGTAATTAGATACAAATATTGACCGTGACTGTACATCTATGGGGGGATTGGGGGGATGTAACACATCCGGAGTGCCATTTAAGATCACTTACAGAGTATATGGATATACTGTAGTCAGTAAGGGAACAACTTCCTGACTTTGGGATGAGGTCTCGCGTAGTATATAAATGAAGTAGTATCAATTACTATGGTATGAATGGATGTGTGCGAGCTGCAAACCATGCTTGGGAGTAGACAGTGAGCGGCTAGGAAGAACCAATAGATGCTGCGTATGGGACAAACGGTCTATAGGTCATATTGGTATTCTGGGCAAACTTGTATAAAGTAATAGGATCCGTATCCCAAAAGAAAAGGGAAGTCCCTGGCATACTGTTGCAGTCTGGTTTACTCTTCCTGCTGTGTATATGCTGGATTTCTATGGTGGCTAGGTTGCCGAACTGGTCTTCCCAACTAGCTAACTAACTAGTTAAAGCCTCCCGCACGTAGATTCACATATATTTAATCCGTATTCCTCGGAATATGTAATGGGTAACGAAGCACATGTGTCCGTCCTCAGGATTGGTGCATTTAAGAGGAATATAGCAATGCTGATTTCTGTTTCGATGTGGTGATTTGACAAAATATCCGTCAATTTTGGTTTGACAGTATGGGCAATGTATAACCCAGTTTCCCCTTTCCTGTAGACCTTCACTAATCCGGCAACGTTCTGTCCAGAAACGGTCATGATGGTACCTGCTGAAACATTCATAAAAAAAAAAAGGATGACAGCAGGGAAGAACCATATTGATAGGATTAATGTAGCAGATCTTGCATATGGATGAATTTGCCTGCTAATCTTGACACCGAAGGAGTTTCAGAGGGCACAAAGCGTCTTCAGAACGCTCGTCGAGTACAAATCTGATCGTATAGCAGAGGAGCGTTATAAACCAGCAATCCTCGTCAGTACCTCGTTTGAATTCGTCAAATCTAAAGATCGTTTTCTCGACTACTTTTTTACGTATATCCATCATGAAATGTCATCAGACGAAGACCACCCCACTGGTACTGGAATTCATCAGGCAATCACTTACTTCCAGGAATTCTCATCATGGAACCCCAAGACGAAAGAAAACGCTATGATCGCTGTTAACAATTTTGCTGAATACATGATCGACAACTTTTTCATGCCGCGTGAGTCTCCATTCTTTTGTCGCTTCGAGGACACTGTGCTTGAAACACTCCGGCATGTACTGACATATTTATGGTAATGCACTTAGAGCTTCATCCGCCAAAACACCTCAACCTACTCCGCTTTCTTTATCATCTAAGCAAACTACTCCGACGGGTACAAAAAGCCGTGTTTCCAGGCTCCGAGAAGATTGCCTTATACGTAATCACCATCGCCGTGTAGTCTCGAGAAAGTTCGACCGAAGTCAGGCCAAAAAACGACTTGACAAGAATGGCAATAACACAGATGATGACGGGGAACCTCTAAAAAACCAGCGGAGTGATCAGTTCGAATACCTAGAAGTGGCACACATTATACCTCACTCTCTCGCGACGGTATCGTCTGCGGAGTCAGAGCTAGTATGTTCCCTGCACCAACGTGCAAGTTACTAATCACTTCTGACAATGATATTTAGAGTGAGTCGAAGAAGACGGCATTGCATATTCTGAATATGTTCGACCCCAACATCGGTCCTCTTATCGAAGGACAGAGCATCGATAGTCCAAGGAATGCGTTAACACTCACGCAAAAATATCATCGGCTTTTCGGAGAATTTGAAATTTTCCTGGAAGAACACCTGGCTCAAAACACAGATATACTATTGACTCAACGGAGCAAAGGCCTTTTCTACGCGACTCCTTGCTTCCAGTCACTTATGATCTTCTTCTCAGCCCTGAACGTACTATCGATCCTCCCGCACCTGAGCTCCTGGCAGTCCATCGTGCTATTGCACATATACTCAAACTCAGCGGCGCAGGGGATTACATAGAGCATGTCCTTCACGAGATGAGTGAGACAATTGTGAAAGCGGATGGCTCAACGGATCTAGAACGTTTTGTAAGAATGCGGTTAAGTGGCTGGTTGAGCCTATTGACTGCCTTTTAGTTAATCTAACTGTATACAAGACTGCAGCAATGCGAACCAGCTAGCCGTTCAACTTATACATGGGGGGTGTGTGTATTCATACGCTGACCCCTCGCTGTAGGTGACATGCAGGGTAGCACTGTCGCTATTCATTTACTTACTGTAAACTATTATCTTATAGTATGATGTTCTAATTCATTGCAATATCCTCAGATTTATTGAATACGGATAGAAATAGTCCATTGCTTCTACAGTCTGGGGTTATTTCGAAGTTGGAAGGAGCCGTTGACACTGCGAGCGTCGCCATCTGACACGGAAGTAGGCTCTATCCTAACCGTACTTTACGAATACTTGAATCCGTCTATCAGGAATCTCTACAGCCTTCGATTTAGACAACAACCATAAAAATGTATCTACGCACCTCGTGAAGCAAGAGTTGCCAGATCCTGTATAATATAAGAAGAAGTAGATCCTTTCGGGTCATTGTTTGGCAGGTTCTGCACAACCCTGTTGGTGGCATGGGAATCAAGGGATGTGGCAATCTTGACTGCGCATCATAAGCTGCAATTTTTTACACCCTTGCTGGTGAATCTCACAGCACCTTCACTACTCGTTCATCTTACTGTTTTTCTATGCGTCAACGTGCCTCTTTGGCCATCAGTGTCAGAAGATCCAACCTCGTATTTGCTTGTTTAATGGTATTATGTATCATTATATGAGCATTGCTCTATTAGGGAAGAAAACAGTATGATCCACATATTAGCTCATGATGGTCTGGTCTTTATTGAGCCTTGATTACCGCTGAGCCATGAAAATGGAATGAAACTGGCAACGTCAACACCTTTCGTAGGCTGTAGCTTTCAAGGTGGCAGAAGAACGCGTACTATGCATTCCTTGGTTACAGCTTGGCACTGTTTATGTAATGACCAAGAACAGCCAACACACCCCATAAGCTATTTACCCCAGTGGAACTCCTTTCATGCAGCACAACACTTCCCACAGCAACCTTACCCGATCAGTTACATTGCTTCCAATGCCTCCATTAGGATCTATATTTTCACCAGCTAGGTACTCTTTTAAAAACCAGGCATACTCCAATCTAGTAGTCCCAAATCTCTCCGGCCGCAAATTTATCTTGCCCCCAAGTACCCTCCATCGTAGAGCACGCACAATGTCAACTTCTGCAGTGAACACTGAGGGTCATGTTGGTCAGTCTGGCAGTCAATATAAAATCGAACGGGTCTTTCAGGAAGAAACAGATCCGCCACGTCAGGTTTACCTTGCAACGTGAGAGTCAACCCTGACTACCTATGATTCACCTTCTCACTAGTTTATCAGCGCTGGTGACCGAAAATTCATTCTGAAGTATATCCATACGGTCAATTTTGAATACCTTCAAGACATAAACAACAGATTACACAACAGGGCTAGCCATGTTCGTCTGGTCCAAGACATCATCCCCAATAAGTCAATGTTCTTTTCGAATATCTCGCCGATCATCTTTTACACCTAAGTCAAAAAGACCTACCTCTTGGGATAATCAAAAGGATCCTGAAAGATGGCCTTCATGGGATTGCTGAAATGCATGATCAAGATATTGTTCATACAGGTAGATCACACCCTCCGTCCAGAGATTTAACGATTACCGGCTAATTCTAGGTAGATATCAAGGCAGATAATTTCTTTGTAAACTGGAAAGCCTCCCATAACGGGATCACAATCGAGAGGGTTCAGCTCGGGGATCTTGAAGATGCCGCACATATTCCTCCCGGATCGCATATGATCGGGAAACAAGCGGGAAATTGGATGTGGAGGAGTCCTGAAGCCCATGCTAAAGGGCCTGTGGGTAAGCCATTTGATATTTTCTCTTACGCTCTGGTTGTAAGTATTCATCCCATTGAGTCCCAATCTACACGTTATTTACCTGTTGCATAGTGTATTTGTGTGCTTTATAAACACGTCATATTAGCGGTTGGGGAAGATGAATTGGACGAGGGTATACATCGACTAGCAATTGTCATTGAGCGCCAGATATCCTACTTCGCCGATGAAGAGGGATTCAATAGGTTTCTTAATTACCTTGGCGATAATCCTTGGGTACCGATCTTCAAGGTAACATGGGATGGTTTCAATAGAGAAAACCCGCGTAAACCACTTTCTCTTTGGAAGGGAATCGACGATGAATTCAAAAGTCTTATTTGTGCCATGACAGATTTTGATCCAAGACAGAGAATTACCGCCCGCTAGGCGTTGGCACACAAGTGGTTTGAAGGTGTTTGAATCCTTACCAGACCAATGCTCCGGAGATTTTTTTTTCTCGGATGATGCCTTCAAGCCCTTCTCGTTCAGTTTGCTCTTGCTTCAATTTTATGATCGGATATTGTTGCTGGTCATTTTGCTGTCCTCGATCAAAGATTATCGAGTTATCGAAACGAATATGAAACCCTGGCTTAATTGTGTCGAAGGGCCGTTCTTATAGATGCAGCTGACACTACCCGACCCTGTTGTCCCATGTCACTTGGGAGGTAATGTCGTGCGTGGTTGTAATGCTAGAACAAGCCTTGCGATATGTTCGTTTATAGCTTGAGTATCCACAAAATCAACCACCTTTGTATGCGAGCCACGCTTGGCCCATACCCACATTGCTCCCCGACATCTAGAATAATCTCTAAAAGATCGTTTTCTAAGGTGAGCCAACCACCAGTACCTTAAAAAACGTAATGAAACCCCGAATTGAGAAGCTCCATTTCTTAGGTAGGGCCTTGGCGTACTAAACTTGCATTCTCCACTTTGAGTGGAGAATGGACCACAGATAAGCCCTTGACAATCACCTGCCTCGTGAGTGATGGTAACATGATGGACTATATTGCCAATTTGCACTAAAACTGGATATTTGACGGTAAGATGGCCGAGTGGTTAAGGCGGCTGGCTTAAGTTTCACACTTTGATCCCAGCTGACGAGAGTCTCCTGGGTTCGAACCCCAGTCTTACCATTTGTTTCTTTTTTTTCTTTTTTGCTGTAACCAGATATTGATGACGTGTTTAGTGCGTTGGAGTGCGCAGTAACGATCATTCAATCCAGTGTTGAATACATCTACTCATGCTCTCTTCTATGCTTTGGGATCGGCTTGATTCGCAATAGAAGGGGCAGCAGGACAACAATCAAGCCAGGAAGTGTTTGGCATTTAGTTTACTGTCTTGAGCCAGCATTCGAGATTCTGCAACTCAGAATTAGGAGTAATACCATTCAAATGAGCAGGTGAGCAACCGACACCAATCAAAACAAAAGGAACATTAGATCCCCGCCACTAGGGAGGTAATGACGCCAAACATCAAGGACTTCAGGGTGTTTGATATCCATCAGTCCGACGACATTGCACGCCATAGTCGTATGCGATAGCTGAATTATTAAAAAACATGCTATATCTACCACAAGTGTCAAACCATCCCATACAACACCCTCCTGGTATGTTCCCGAGCAAATAACACTACTCCGACTCAACCGCCGTACTCAAAGCAACCTCCCTAATTTCCTCCAAATTCTGCTTCACAGCATCCAGCTTGGCCACCATCCGAGGGAAACAATCCGTCCCCAGCGGCAAACGAAGAAGATGTCCCTTGCCCTCTCCCACTCCCTTCAACTGAATCACATCAAGGATGCGCTCGACCGCCTTGACAGGATCCCCAGGCTGATTCCCAGCAAAAGTATCAAAGAACCCCATGGCCATTGCCAAAGGCGTCCCGTCATAGTCCTTATTCAACCCAGCAGCAGGGAACTTGTGCGATCCGATGAAGTTCGTCCGAAACGCACCTGGCTCGACCAGTAGAACCCGAATATTGAAGGGTTGGAGTTCAGCGAAGAGGGATTCCGAAAGGGCTGGTTAACTCATTAGCACAAGCGACATCCCAGAAATATTCAAGAAACACAAGCACTGGAACACTTTGACATACCTTCCACAGCAAACTTCGACATCGAATATGCAGCCCCCGACGGACCCGCCGCAAACCCAGCAATACTACTAACATTGACGATAGTGCCGCTCCGTTGGGCCCTCATAAACGGAAGAACCGCTTTAGTGACTCTCACCACGCCATAGATATTCGTTTGGAACTGGGTGTCGAGTTCATCCTCACTATATGTCACTTAGCTTTGAGCAGATACTAGGGATCAAAGTCAATCATACCTGATGTCCTCAATACCACCGAGCAGGCCATATCCCGCATTGTTGATTACCACATCAATCCGCCCCCCGTTATCCTTGATTGCTTGTTCCACTTGTTCCTTGGTATTTTTGCTAGTCACGTCCAAATGCAGCCATTTGCCGCCCAGAGAGGCGATTTGAGGATAATCCGCGGCGGCCTTGGTAGGGTTGCGGGCTGTAGCAATGACGTCATGTCCAGCGAGGAGGGCTTTTTCGGCCAGGAGGGCTCCGAAGCCGGAGGATGCGCCGGTTATTAACCAGACTTGGGGCATTGCGGGTGGTTTGGGAGATGTAGCGATGAGATGGGTTTGAATGTGTTGGATTGTAGTGCTGAATACTGGTTGTGCGGGTTATATAGTTGTTGTAGAAGGAGATAAAGATGTAAACCTTATGTTAATCCCGGAGCCAATGTCAGCAAAGAGGGTCGGGAGATCGACCCACTCTTAGCTCGTAATCAATCCGTCAGTTGAGAAATGGATCCACTGTCTAGTCGCCTTAATTTTCGGGAGTAATGCTGAAAAGTCAGTGATTGTCATTACTTGTAGAGTAGTGGAGTTGAGAATACGTGTCTTTGTGACGACAACAGATTGGAGTTTGTTTGCATATAAGTGGATTGGTTGATGGTGTGAAAGCATGAGCTCCGCACTCAATGGTGTCTTCTATTGTCCAAATAACATACCACATAACGCAGCCCTACCAGAACAATATTGCAAGTACGGCACCTTCAAGAACTCCAGGCATAGGTTAAACCTCCGCAATCGTATCAAACGAGGCCTTCCAAACTAAGCGTTTCTCCCCGCGTAATCGTCGCCAATGGTTGGTAGACCAGAGAATCTCCGGACATCCCTTGACCAGCCGACCCCATTTTTGCAGAAAAGCTTCGGTAATCTCCCAATTCATCGGATCCCAAGGATCGCCCCAGACAAGCATGCAACTATGCTCACCAGGCACAGTCCAGAAACCCATCAAATCTCGACAGAACTGAGCCTCGTCCATACAATCCTCATTTTCAATGAGATTGTCCCTCAACCGTGCGAATGGAAAGAAATCCAACCAAGGATGATGAATCTGACGTCGTTGCAGATCAGTCGGCTGCAGACTGGGGGGTAAAGTCGTCACTGGCAGCTTTGGGTGTGGCCCATGGATACTAAACCGGGAGAGGGCATCATCTGTCATCCATTCCCGAGTGTATCCCAGCATGGCGATGTTACGTACGAAGGCGCGAAACATATTCAGCTTAGCTAGTGTCAGGAGGTGATCGGCCTGGGGGTTTCCATGATAACTCCGGTAAGCAGCCGCCTCGAAGACGGATAAAAGCCGGTAGATACGTGGGTGGGCTAATGCACAACTGGTTGTTGCGATTGGTCCGATATTTTGGCCTGCTTCTCGGGAGAGCGAAGCTAATATACTGAGATCAGGTACAGGATACTGCGTGGCCACATACGCCGCGACTTGATTCGGCTGCTGCAGGGCGTGTTCCTCTGCCAGACGTTCTGCTTGTTTTCTTATGCGCTGGCGTTCACCTAAGCCGTATGAACATAAGTATAAGAGATGCGAGTCTATATGCTACTTACGATAAGCTCGTTGATTCTGTCGGTTTTGCCACCTGCGTCGCTCCTGTTTCGCAGTCTCCTGGGAGTGGCTGGAATGACTGCCGTCGGTGCCGCTTAGATCTCCAGATGGCTCTGCTGTGGTCTTGGACATGCGTGAAAATTGAATGCGGTGTTTCGGTGTTTCGGTGTTTCTGGAGCCAGACTCAGGTGATGGAAGTGGAGAGGAGACTCGGAAGGTTCGGCTTTATCGCCAGGGCCACTTCTTGGCGCTGCTGGAGGAGCACGTGGAAGCCTTGTGATTGGTGCGGGGGATCCTTATCATGCGGGCAGTATTCCGATGCCGGCCTCTCAGCAAGCAGTATAGGTCAGACCAATTGGAGTGTCCCGAGGTTTGTGGACGGTTTTCGTCAAAGTTTGTGAGGGTTTGGTAGTGTTGTTCGATTTCGATGCCTCTTTGTTGGTAGCTCTGGTTAGTATGCATCTATTTAAGCTTTATAGATATCTATCAAATAGATAGAACCACATAGTGTGGAGAATAGGGCTTCCTGTCCACGCAAACGTATTCAAACCGTATGTTCAGTGCCGATGAAGGATTGTGGAAGTTTGATCCAACACTAGACGACGTTCCGGACAATAAAAGAGATAATCATCGTTGTTAATCTACCCAAGTCCAGAGAGCACTACTTGTATTCAGGTGATTGAATCGGTACCTTGAAGGCCTGTTCTTTCGGGCCAATATCTTATATACATACTATGCGCATTGACAGGATCTTAAGATCATGACACTGATAAGATTGCAATAAGTATCTCGGGTATCTACATTACTATTACTATCCGGTCAAGACACAACAACCGACAGTATTAAATATCGTTCACAATAAAAGGTTAACGTTTAACCGATTGTCCGGTAGCACCCCCGAACTGGGATTCCGCTACCAAACTTCGTAGAATCAGGCACTCGTTTGCTTTAACTGGAGAAAAGGATGCTCCGCCAGTTTGCCGGCTGTTTTTCTCACGTTCGGATGCCAATCAAGCATTCCCTTGGCGAGATCCAAAAACGCTTCCCGCTCCTCTCCCTCAAGGAAGGGAACTGTATCACCGAGCTTCCGGTCGGGGATCAGGTCTTCGTAGAGAAAGCGACCTGGTTGTTTCGTGAGTCTTATAACAATATGTCCAATATAGGAAACCCTGTAGTACGTACCATTACTGTCGAAGAACGGCCCACAGAAGTACTCCTCCGCGGTCTCGCATACTCTGCCGTCCTCTCGTCTGACAGGTTCCGGCCATGAGTACTCTCGCATGTATTGATACCTTTGTATGATCTCTGGAGGAGGTGGACCGAGTAAGGCTATAATTTCCGCGATGTGTAGTTTAGCATCGTAGCGACCTTCTTGGTCATGGATGTGCTGAAATAGCTCTTTTCTGCCGATCAAATCCCACAACTGTTCTGGCATTAATGAATGGAACATCTTGGAGACCAATAAGACGCACCAGAACACCCAGATTCCAAATATCCGCAGACATTTGCCATCCATTACCCAGGATCACCTCTGGCGCCCGATAGTGGTCTGGTTGAATAGGCCACACTCCCCAGTCATCGTCTTCCTCGAGTCTAGTTGTCAAGCCAAAGTCGACAAGCTGTGGTATGCTTCTTAGGCTTTTGAGTGGCCCGAAGTCATCGCGGGACTGATACACTGGTTGTCCCGTCGAATCAATCTTGAAAGCCATCGGTTTTTCAAGCTGAGAATCCATGAATTCGGCAAGCACGGTTGGATCCTCGATCGAGACCATGATGTTTTCGAGCTTTAGATCTGGACAGTCTGGGTTCAGTTTCACCAACGGGAAGCAAGGATAGAGATGATCTTACCCGTATGGACTACCCTGCATTTGTTGTGAAGATTATCAAGCCTGGTTGGAAGAACACGAATGTACGTTTTGATGAGAGGCAGTGGCATCTTTCTTTTTTCAAAGCGTCGCTGATACATCGACAATGGCTCCCTCATGAGCGGATACACAAGACACGAATGAGAACCTTCTGGCCCTTTGACTTCAAAAGCGTCTATAAACCTTCGAATAAGTGAGCGACCGCGATGCGATGGGTCTGCCTTGAAAATAAGCTCTTCAATCTCGCGCTCATGACCAGCGGAACTTGCATTGTTATTGGTGACTTTTAGTGCCACGGCGGTCTCTGACTCATCGATATGTCTGTATGCTTGTTAGAGACGTAGAGAGCTTCGAACTGAACAAAGGTTATTGAAGGTACCCTTGGAGATCACGCGCGATCCATACTGTTGAAGACACACCCCAGCCAACCTTGACTATGGTTTGGTAACGATCGGCGAGAACCTCGCCAGGCTTGCTGGGAAGAAGGACTTGGAATTGTATACTGGCGAGAGTTCCTCATCAACCAGTTTGCCTGGCGGTAAAGGTGGTCCTGGAGAAGGCATGGGGAATGGTTTCTTGCGAAGCAAGGCCGATAAAAGAGGAATGGATGGCCCCATAGTGTTTATGACAGAGTAGTCCCCGTAAGCCCCGAAAATGTGATATCAATAGGATTTGTTGATGTTGAAGAGATCAAGGAGTCCGAGCGTGGCTGGTAAACATGTTCACGCGGCACGCTAATCGCGACTGGGAAGTATGCCACATATAATATTAGCCCTATATAAAGAATGTCCAAGACTTGGAAATCACATACGACCATAGGGTGTGGAGAACAGGGCTTCCCGTCCGCTCAGCCGTACTTAAGCCACACGCCGGGAGGTTAGTAGTTGGGTGGGTGACCACCAGCGAATCCCTTCTGTTGTATGTTTTTCTTTTTTTACTATCTCTCCAATTTGTCTTTCTTTCTTCACCCGCTGTAATAAGTACATCATCCGTTTAATCTGTACGTGGATTTAACTACGCGGAGAACATTGCAGAAATCCGAGCGTGCTTCAACCAAACTATGAGAATAAGGACTGTCTCCTTATGACATTTTTTTTTTCTACAAATACAGCCGGCCAATGCCAACGAGTCTTCTAAAAAGACACTGATCGCCGTACAAAAACGATCAGAAAAAAAGGATGGGGCAAGCCGGGCTTGAACCGGCCACCTCCAGATCTTCAGTCTGACGCGCTCCCAGATGCGCCATTGCCCCTTTGATGACGTCAGCTGACTTAACAAGTAACATAACCAACGGTCGGACGGGCCACACGGTTGGGCGGGCCATCTGGTAATACCATACAAAAGATACTTTTTTAAACATAATATATCTCAACCATTATAGTCTAGAACGATTAGATTTCTTCTATATAGATTATAAATAATATGGAGAAGATTTATATTCTTTTCAAAAATCTCTATGATTAGATTTAATAGCTTATTGTATTACGATTCCTGTATTTTATGTGTATTATATAAGAATTTGATCTGACTATATAAAATAAAAATTTAAAAATCAGAAAAAGGTATGGGACATTTATTCTTACATATATAATCTATCTACAGAGTTAGAGCTTCTAAAATGTAGTATTGATTGATATATAAGAGAATCAAAAAGACATCTTTTATATGGGATAGCAGGATGGCCCGCCCAACCGTGTGGCCCGTCCGACCGTTGATTACGTTATATCACTCTGGGACTAATTCCTAAATCTTCCTCCATTCCATATCCTACCTATGTTTTCACTAGCTTGGCAGGGATAGTATATCACGACAATCATACATTTAAATCGAACCGGAAAGGTAAATACATTCAGATAACCTTCATTACCTCCCTACTCGCAAACAACCTCATTACTCAAGAACGTCCCATCGACCGCAAAGCACTGAGTGTCGCTAGTGACCTCATACTCGCCGTACAGAGACGCCTCGGTACATCCCGTGGCGGTATACAGCTTCAAAACAGGCGAAGTCCCATCATCGCAGGAGCCGGAGTAGATGTGCGCAGAGAAAGACTTGAGAGGGAGGCCGTTGGCAGGGCCACAGGCACCGGAGATCACATTGGCGGATTCAATGCTGGGGGAGACGCAGTCGGCAATGTAGAAGCCGCTGAAGGCGATGTCTAGGGTCGCGGTGGCAGTGGCCACGAAGGTCGAGAGGGCAAGGATCTAGTATGGTTGGTTAGAATGGGGTATGGGGCCAGGGAAGGATGGGATGGACCTTGAATTGCATGTTGGCGGAAGGGAGGGGTAATAGATAATCAGAACTTTGGATTCAGGGATCGTTTAAGTGAAGTAAGTCGTGTGTTGTTCTACAAGAATGCGAGGAGGGAACATCATGACTTTATAGTTGCGGTGAAATTTAGATGTCAGATAAAGCAGACAGATCTGGATGGTATACCCGAGTGCCAAGACCGAGCCGATGGGTCTTCACCGCGCGATCTTATCAGATCCATATTCCTAACCAGGAAATCTACTCCTTTGATGGCATTGTCGACTATCCCCGGCCATTCGCCAAGCATTCCTTCTCGTATTCCCCCATCCTTTTACCCTTGCTAAAGGTCGCGATGTCGGCGATGCCTCCACTGGGTGAGGTGGAAGTACGTAAGCATGTGGAAGGAGGGAGGGTCGATGGGAAGCTATGAGAAGGGGTTTAGGGATTGTTAGATTGAAAGTACACTACGTAATGTCATCCTTTTCTAGGCCCTGGATGAAATCAAGATCTGGAGGATTATTGTGTGGAGAAAGATACCGGCCATATTGCCGAAAGTAAGAAAGGCTCTAATTGGTCGAAGGTAAAGTGGTTCCATAATCTGATGGATGAATTAAGTTAAGTGGGTCCTTCAGGTCCTACGGTACGGACCGTACGGTGCATGAGCCGTGAAGATCGTTGGTCTTTGAAGAGACCTCAGAATCCCATAATATATCAACATCGCAAGTTGTTGCTATTTATCCGCGGTTGCTGAATACTTGTAACTCACTAAATTCAAGTGAGAATGGTAGGTAGTATTTGTGACATATTTACTTTTGTTGAACTAGCTGATTCTACTAATGATCTTGTCATCCTGTACCACGATGACTCCTCCGTAACAACCCAAGCTGGTTGTCTATTGGTTTTCTTCGCTTCCGTTTTCTTTTCCCTCATTCTGAATACGAGCTCTCATGACGTAGTTTTGAAAATGATGCTGTGATGTGACAAGGCACGGGCTCTCCGAGCAAAGTACTCCTTGCAGCCTACATGGGTGATGATATGACGAACCCGAAAGGAAAATAGTAGAATGAGATCCTTCAAGCTGTTTAGAAGTAGTCATCTCTGCGATCTAATGATCGAAACACCGGGCCACTCGATTGAAAGGTCACACAAAGACGGAGGAGGATCACGTGGCCAATACCACGGCAACCGCCGCCAAAATTCAGGAGCAACCTTAGCTGAATCAAAGAAAACTGCTATTTCTGACAAGGGTAACAATACAAACAGCCCCTTTGTTCAAGTGCAGGGGGGTACTAATAGTATCTTACCCTCTGCGGCAGAACCCTTCTTCAGATAGCAAGGGAAGGATCCAAACCCTTGAGAAGACCCTCACGCACTCAACATTGGCGTCCCCCAACGAGTGTAGTGATTCTGACCAGCCACGTGATCCTGGCCGACCAACGCATCAATAAATAGAGTTGAACAGCCTGGCATCCACTCATCATCTCCTATACCCCTCATTTCATCTCATCTCCCTACCGGAATCATCAAACCACTCCAAGATGGCAAGCACCACCTGCAGCAGACATCGTAAACCTGGTTCTCGAACCAGAACCAAGACCAAGATGCTACTCTTGAACCCCTTCTTGTCCTGCGAAAGCTACAGCAATGATCTCAAAGTCGGCACTGGACTCGTCCTTCCTACCAAGTTCCACCCTCCCAATCCAGACGACACACCCAAGGACCTTTTCCCCTCCGGCATGCGTCGCAATGCCGTCCCACCTGTCACTCGGTTCATCCGTGACACCGATCGTGATCAATTCCTCATCTACACCGATGGCGCCTGTGTGGATAACGGCGGTGCCAACCCCCGAGCCGGCTGTGGCGTTGTCTACAAGCCTTTCACGCCCAAGGGTGCCAATTACTTCAGATTCCCTCTCGAGAATGAGGGTCCCACCGGCGAAGCGCATCCCCAAACGAGCAACAGGGCCGAATTACGGGCCGTGATTGCCGCCACCCGCTACCGGGTCTGGATCGGGGAGGGATTCAACAAACTCGTCATCGCCACCGACTCCGAATATGTGGTGGAGGGGGCCACGTCTTGGGCCCAGGGATGGATACAAAGGGGCTGGAAGACCAGCACGGGCCTGCCGGTCAAGAACCGGGACCTGTGGGAGTGTCTGCTGGGTGAAGTGGAGCGATGGCATGAGGCTGGCTTGCAGATCCAGTTCTGGAGGATCCCCAAAGAATTGAATGCCGATGCTGATACTTATGCCAAAAGGGGTGCGGTGAAGAACCCACGGGTTAAGTTCCATGATCCTAGTGGAACGTTTGTTTAGTTCCGGGATGCGTTTACACGGCGCTGGCTGGGTGGTAGTTGCTGAGCGTTCTCGCTTTGTGGTTTACATGGAAGTCTGACAGAGGTGTTCTGTTTGACTTGTTGGAGATATCTTGCTGTCTTTTCGGGAAATACTTTTTGTTATCGGTGGAAAAAGTAATTAGTTGGGAAGGTTTGGTAGATTGCAAATTGATCATATTTCGGTACTACTATAAATCTTGAGACCTTTTCGAGAGCTTTATCTAATAGTAAATTACTTTGACTATCCATCTTCATGCAGTGAAGCCTCATAGTGATATCCTTGTTCTACAAGAAGACATGGTCAATCTGAATTTTTCAGAAAAACCAAGGATAGGTATGCAAGGACCAGAGCTTGCCATAAGCTATCCGTCAACATGCACCATCTTATAATATCTCGCATATAACCTCATTCAATGCTTCTAGTTTATCTAAAAGACCTCAAAACCATGGCCTTTGAAACAGCTGAACTAAGAATGTAGCAGTCATGAACCCACAATACGTCCAAATCTCCTACCTAGACCAAAGCGATATCTCCCAGCTATGGGAACGACTGCCAAGGTGGATAGATCGCAGTGACCAAGGCTTTCCAGCACGTGATCAGCCCACCCCGTCTTAACTAGGTATAGTGGCCCGGTTATTTTTATAGCCGCCACCAGCTCTCACGTGCTTTCGATGGATTGATGAGTGGTCTGGACTGTTCTTCCACCGAATCTATTATTGGTGGTTGCCTGTCCGAGTTGATTGCGGACCTCGCTGTGATTTTTGCGACCACGTATCTCATTCCCATGATCATCTCTCCTACATATCATTTCAATCAATATTCAGGGATTGGTGTGGAATTGGTGCGTTTGGCTATAGCACGATCTTTGCCACGCAAATTCTAACAAGACTAGCTCTGTTGCTGGGAGGTGTTTCCTTCATTCCGTATATTTTAATACCGATTGACAGAAATGCATCGCGGAGTACCATCTATTGAAGGTAGGAAGCGATGACGAAAGAGTGAAAAGTGGATTCAGATGGAGTAATCTGAACCAATCAATTGAACTACTACTATCTCTGCATGTCAAGGGGGATCGAAGTCTGCCTGGGATCGTTCGATCTTCACTCATATTCGTCAATTGTAGGGAAAAGAAGCCCCACCATCTCAGACCAATTGAGCTCTGCAAATTTGCCGACGGCCCTATGTCACACACTAGTACTAGTGTCGGATTTACCTCAAGGTAGGTAGGTACTGCATTGGGATTCTGACTTCTGTTTACAACTACCATGAGACGACCATTATTAGAAGGGCTCCCTCATTTGAACCAGCGCCGGCAATCAGCGTTCACAACATATTTCGAACTGGTTATTTGCGTATCAGAGGTAATTATCTGTTCAATCAAAGCATTCCCCTGAACGTAATGAATGACAGCGTGGATCCACCCGACGGGCCCACTTGGTTCCTGAGGTGTCCAGGAGTATCGCCGAAATCCGATTCTTAACCCTCGTGGCCTTATTTCTGGGGGAGGCTGTCTCCCCACACCTTTTCTTGACAAGATTTGGACGTATTCACTCTTTCAACTAATCCATCTGTTACCATCTTTCACTCTTAAAATCCCCCCACATTCATTTTCTTCTCTTTTTACAATATTCATGGCTGTTATTGCGGAGCAAGAGGCACCTCCAGGATCATACCAAGAAATAGGAGGAGAATATAACCTATCCGAACATGCTAAACACGCTGAGAGCAAAGACGCCCCTGCTGATACAGCGGAGAATGACTTTCCGGCTGATCATCAGAGCAAACAAAGAATTGCCGTCGTGATGACAGCCCTCAGTGTATGTGTTCCTGCAGTCTTCGCGTCACCAATACTAACAATTGTGCATAGTTATGCGTCTTTTTAGCTGCACTAGACATTGTAAGTTTATGGATTCTTCTCAGCAATATACTCACCCTCCACAGACAATTGTCTCAACAGCCCTTCCAGAAATGGTAGCCCATTTCAAAGCTTCTGACAGCGCCTACACCTGGATCGCATCCTCGTACCTCCTAGCCAATGCCTCTTGTGTGCCGCTGTGGGGTCGAATCAGTGACATCTGGGGCCGCAAGCCCATACTCATGACCGTCGTGGTCCTGTTTCTGGGAGGAAGCTTGATCTGCGGCGTGGCAATCAACACCGCAATGGTCATCGCGGGCCGCGCCATCCAAGGCATAGGCAGCGGCGGCATCACCGTGTTAGCCAATATTTGTGTATCCGACATGTTCAACGTGCGCCGCAGGTCCGCCTATCTTGGCATATTCGGAGCAACCTGGGCCATTGCTGGTGCCATCGGACCCATCATCGGTGGCGCCTTCACCACCTACGCCACCTGGCGATGGTGCTTCTACATTAACCGTTCGTCATCATTCCCCAGCCCTATCCTCTCTATCTAACCCACCTCAGTCCCCATCGGCGGCCTCGCCTTCTTCGGCCTCCTCTTCTTCCTCCAGCTAGACACCGCACCTCTCACCCCTCTCAAAACAGGCCTCCTCTCCCTCGACTGGATCGGACTCGCCCTCATCGTCGGCGCAACACTCATGCTCCTCTTCGGCCTCGAACTGGGCGGCTCACTCCACCCATGGTCCTCAGCCACCATCATCTGCCTGCTAATCTTCGGGGCCCTCACAGCCGGCATCTTCCTCGTATACGAACACCGATTCGCACACATCCCCATCATCCCCACAACCCTCTTCTCCAACAGCTACAACCTCATCATCCTCCTAATCAACTTCTGCCACTCCACCGTCTTCCTCGGCGCCTGCTTCTACCTCCCCGTCTACTTCCAGAACATCCTCCTCGCCAGCTCCCTCCTAAGCGGCGTCTACCTCCTCCCCCTCGTCCTCGCCCTGGCCGTCTCATCCGGACTCGCCGGTTTCGTCATGCGCACGACCGGCCGCTCCCGCGAAGCCATCATCCTAGGCATGTTCCTGACTACCCTGGGATATGGCCTACTCATCGACCTCCCTGCCACTACATCCTGGCCGCGTATTATCCTTTTCCAAGTCGTCGCGGGACTCGGCATTGGTCCGAATTTCCAGGCTACCTTGATTGCTCTGCAGGCTAATACTACTCCTGCTGAGATGAATCGCGGTACTGGGACGTTCTCGTTTGTAAGGCAGTTGGCTGCTGCTGTGTCGGTCGTGGTGGGGTCTGTGCTGTATGCGCGCGCCGCGGACGGACAACGCAGCGTCATGGCTGCGGTGTTGGGGGATACGGTTGCGCAGGAGATCGTGGAAGCATCGACGGCTGCGGCGGCGATTGTGGAGACGTTGCCTGTTGGTGAGAAGAGGGTGGTTGTGTTCAATGCGTTAACCGCTGCGTTGCGCTGGGTGTGGGTGTTGTATACTGGTGTCGCGGGGGTGGGGTTCTTGATTAGTTTGTGTTTGAGGGATTTGAGACTGGGAGATGCGCATCAAAGACCAAAGAAGGAGATGGATGAGGGGCTGAAGATGGAGGGGGGATCTATGGCGAGGTGAAATATGTTTTGTGTCTATATAACCCCGGCTTGAATATCATCGAGCCGAGACCGAATCAGTGAAATGCCAGAAACGAGTACCTACTCTCTCTGCATAGAACCAATTCTATACACCGGACTAGACCCAACCGAGGAACAGCAATCAGGATCGCGAGCTCTGATTGTCTCTTTCAGCAAGAATCGCATGAAAACGGATTCCGGTTGATCTAGTTGGGGGTTGAGTCGGTACATCAGTGTCAGCCGGAGAGAAAAAGACAGGATACCAGATTGCTTCATTCGATATCTGAGGTCCATGCACTGGGCAGGACGCAAAGTGATTGCTGTATACAGGAGATTGTTTATTGCTTGGAGGGATGAAACCAAGTTACCATCATCCTCCAACATCGACTTCCGGTCGTCGATTTCAGGTAAGGTGGGAGTCACCTCTCATCCGCGGTCCGAAATGCTCTCATCATCGACTTAGGACTGTGATTATTCAACCTGTGTTGGAGTAGGAATTTTTGGGAACGCTGAGGCAATGCTGCCCTCGGTGCATGTTGCATATTTCCGGTGGCTTGCAAAGTCGGCATCTTGAGGTGTTGGGTGCAGTAGAACGGAGACGATGGGTAGCATTGGAAATGATTGAAAAGTTAGCAAATGTAGAGGATAATGCAAAGCATTATGCTGGAGGAGTAGTGGGTGAGGTGCTGGTAGTATCTAGTCCAAGACAGCCTCTCAGCCAAAGGGGGGGGGGGGGGTCGCGGAATGGCACCGGAAAATTCATCCGTTCACTCAAAACCGGTTTGTATTCTCTTGGCATTGACTATACGCAGTTGATTGCATTAATACTTCTTACATAGTGATTAGGAAAAAACCGCTGAGGTAATTGGGTTACCAACATCCGCCGAGTTGAGAGGGATTGGCCCGGGAGAAGAAATTGTCCGTTCATGTCGATACTGAGGAAGAGAGATCAGCTGAGCCTTTTACAGGGTATTTTAGAAGATATGCAGAGCACTTTTGGTGAGTGTCCAAGAAAATGCTGCACAAGATGCTTTGGAGGGTCTTCGTGGGTTGCATATAGTTTTCGCCTGCGGTAAGACCGGTGAAGTTACAATGGGACCAGCCAGGCTCTAAAGGGTCAATTCACGACGATCTTTGCCTGACACATGCTGTTGAAAAGCTACAACGTCAAATCAACGGGACACATCCACGCGCTGCCCAGGAATGATACCCCCCCCATTCCTGTCTTGCGGAAGTCGGCTGTTCCGCTCCGTCGAGTGGAGATGTTACATTCCCGTCATGTCAATAAGCCCTGCTTATTGCAGGCTACCAAGTATCTGAAAGGTCTCTCAGGTCTGGAATCTCAAATTGTCGCATGCGTTATTTTCACGACGAGTTCAAACATCCCCAAGTTGCAGTGGCAACATGAGCACAGCATCACTTCTGGTTCTGCGGAACTAGGCAGGCTTCAGGTCTCGAATGGGAACTGCTCATTTAAGCGGGTCAGCATGGGAATGTATCGCGGTCTTGCAGTCGATAGGCAGTGGGAAAAAAAAAAACCTGAATTGTCGAACTTCTTCCGCTTACGTCCGGGGCATGAATGTTGTGTAACCTCCAAGGTAGTATATGCTGGCCGGGGAACCTAGAACACAGCAATGCATCAAGAATGGTCTATCTACGTGTTGTGCAAAACCTGTTTAGTGTATGACGAATTTGCTGGTCGGTATGCTTCATCCTTTGGAAGGTCACGCCAGCCAAATCATGAATCAACCACCATACCTTCTTGGTGAATGAATCATCTCCTCACCTTGAAGTTACTTTCACCCTAAACGACGGCATTGCGATACACCTGCTCCAATGCCGGAGGATCCAGAGATACTCATGTTCTTGACTATGTCCTTGAGTGAGCTTCAGTATCCTATAGAGGCTTTCATCGCCCGGCGACCGAATTTCCTATGACGTGGACATTATGCGCGTCGTTGAATCCACTATAATAGTATGCTTTCCACAACTGTATAGACTCCCATAATCGAATGGATCATTGGGTGGCCAGAATCCGTTTTCATCAAGCCGATCGATCATCCACTAAGTGCAGCAAGTCTTCTACGCCATCTGTTCGGTTTGCAGTGTCTGACGACAACGATGCGTTATCCGTTCCGTCATCTCCAAGCGACAACATGGCATACTTATAGGGCATGAAGCTCGGCTGCCTTCCATGATAGTTTTTCCAGAGCTCGCAAATTCCTTGCATACTTCACATCATCAACGCAATTTGATCTTGCTACGACAGCTGAAGCTACTTTCTTCTCCATCATGTCTGATTATCCGGTAATTGCATCGAGTCTATACTTGTTCCTGCCATGACTGACCTGAGAATCACATTGCGACAGCCATTATTAACGGCAAACCTAACATATTCGCAAACATCGATGGCACCCTGTCTTGTCAGGCGGAGGACAACAAACCAGACCAATTCACCTCAGTCGCAGTGAACATCCGCGGCGAAAAAGGAGAACATCTCGCTTGATAAAGGGACACAATTTGCCATCACTTCGTGGCAGGGAACAAACCCCACAAAAACCAACGTAGATCCCCATTGTTCATTGATTTCATGGATATGTTTCTAACTAATATTGGGTCGCAGTACCGTATCTACGGCTCTCAGAAGAATCGGATTATAGAGCTTGCCACAAGTGACCTGGAGACTGATTGGATCTACGGAGATCTTAATGATCACAAATTCATGCTGCCGGAGGGCTCAGCGCTTACTGCGGCATCAGCAAATATGGATGATGCGGATATCATCCGTGTCTATGCCAGCGATGGTAAAGGGACCTACAGTGTTTATGACTGGAATGACAAAGGAGGCGACTGGTCTGCTTATGAACAGATCAACATTCTGAACCTCACTTCTTGAAGCGAAGCCTTGCATGGAGATCAATTGAAGCAGTATTGCTCCCGATCACAGATGAAGATGCCTTGGTATAGGCTTTTGGTGTCCATCCCCTGAGGTTTTCCCTATACTTGTTTACGAATGTAAAGGTTATCTGAGGACCAATGCCCTTGTTCTATCATCATATCATACTAGGAAAAGTACGATTGCTTTTTTTTTTCTGATAATTAGTGGTAGTCGTAACTACGTCTTTGAAGATTGTACCTTGCTTCATTGTCTATAGCTTATCATTGATTTGCTTCAACAGTGGCGAGAAGGCCAGTAAAGGGAGGCGCTACAATCACACCGGCATCCACTAACAACATATATAGTAGTACTATCTGCATACTCTTCTCTATCATATCAGACAAGGCGTATTTTCTTTACAGCTAGTAAGATCTTCACCGCTTGAATCTATATACCGAACGCACTCTATTTATATTCTAAGTCTCTCAAGAATAATACAGACTACTAACTACATTGTTCCAGTAGGTGTTTATCATCCTATGTGAGGCCCTCATCATACCGAATTCAATACACCCAACCCCTAAGAAATCCAAAGTCTAAAAGAAAACAAAACAAACCAAGGAAAAAGTTCCCGACCCTTTACACTGCACCCAATGCAGATTCCTACTCTCATGATCTATCTCAATCCATCCCTATAGATTATCCTTCAGTGCTATACGATATTCGATTCATCGGGTGTATTGTTAATTGATACTCCTGATTGAACATACATACTATACCCCATTTTCGGTTTAAATGGAGTTATAAAGTCGCTCTATAACCCACAAACCCATCACATCACCTTCCAAAGTATAAGGCTGAAAAGTCACCACCTACATATTCAGGCCACCCACTTCCTAGAAGCCGACCAATAATACTATCGCTGGGAGTAATGGATAATATGCGATGCATACCACCCAATCAAAACCCTTCCTGAATCAAGTGCACATGGGAATCATTCTGATTGGTTGGATGCGGGATTTGGCCCGGGTTACCGAATGGGGTAATATGTACGATAGTCCGATTAGGGGTCGCGTCTGCAGTTAGGGCATTAAGTTTGATATTCCGGACTCTGGGGATTCTTTTCTTAGTGGTTGGGTGAAGTCGGAGGATGATTGGGGTGTGATAGGTCGAGGGGTAAGTTGATCTTTTGCTTTTTTTGGGCAGTGAAAGGGTACTCTGTAGACTGATTTGTCTGTGTTGTCGATAGGAGGAATTGAAGTTCAAAGAGGATGGTTTGTGGTTTATGAATCGAAGATCAAAGAGAAGGTTTGGGAATGTCACTACAGCATTCACTGGGGATGATTTGTTTCTGTCGGTGGGTGGTTTGGTTCCGTTCGATAGTATGTGATCCGCGGGAAATATATATTGGGGGAGAATGGTCAATATAGAACATCTCTCTTTTTGTGTATGCACGGTTGTATAAGGAACAGCACTTGAATACTACTTGATCGGAAATAGATAGATAGCAATATACGATTTCTCTATAAAGGAAAGAGAGACAAGATGAAAGCGGCATGAAGTGCCCCGCGGGTGATCCATATGTATTAATGACTACTGATTAATCTTACCACAAGGGAGCTTACATCCATCGACCCCTTACATCTACGAAGTGCTCGCTATGTTTCAAGCTATTTCTGTAGATTATTCTATAAAAGAACCGAAAGTGACAAAGCAATACCCTCGTTCCTCATTGTCCTGCTACATAACGACATAAGTGTAACACATTTCCATCGACGCTCTACGCATTGAGGAGCGCCAAAGCAGCACCCAACAAAGCCACAGCTCCCTTGGGAGTAGACGACGACGCCGCCCCGGTCGCTAGCTGAACGCTGCTGGTGGTGGAGTTGCCGGTAGAGCTGGAAGTGGAAGTGTGGGACGCGGTGGAGGCAGTGGTGGTGAGAGTGGAAGAGGTAGAGGAGGAGGAGGTGGTCGAGCCTGTAAACCGCAGGAATGCATTAGCAGACGTCCTGTAGACATGTATCAAGTGGCATCTTGCCTGCAGGAGAAGATGAAGGAGGTGTCGACGACGCGGGTGTCGAAGACGGCGAGGGAGTGGGGGTGGCTGAGGTGGGAGTGGAAGAGGAGGAGGAAGAGGAAGAGGAAGTGGTCTCACTGGAAGTGGAAGAAGAAAGAGAAGAAAAAGAAAGAGAAGAAGAAGTAGTAGAGATGGTAGAAGAGGAGGAAGAAGAAGAAGTGGAAGAAGTGGACGAGGACGATGATGAAGTAGTGGTATCATCGGACGCACCCTTCTCGACAGTGAAGACCGAGCTCACGGCGAGCTCGCCGGAGGAGTCGATGATTTCGATCTCATAGTCGGATCTAAGCAGATGAGAGGAGTCACATTAGTACAGAAACTTCCGTTATGCGTCAGGTTGCATACCCGTTGGAAATACTAGGGTTAGGCTGGGTGGTGTATTCCCCGGTAGAGGTCTTCACGTTGTCGGCCAACTTGGTCTGGAAAGAGCCATCCTGGGTTCGGAGGATGATGCTAATCACCGAAGGGTCACTGGCATCGCTGGTGAACTTGATGGTTTTGGGGGTGGAGAAATCCCAGGTGGTGCCGGAGGACGGGGAAGTGACGGTGATGGCCAAGGCCGAGGAGATGAGGCTCAGAGAAGCGAGGGTGAAAGAGTAACGCATCTTGATAGTAATATCAACGTACGGAGTTTTCTTTTACTGAAGAATAATGAAGCTAGGTAACATGGCCGACGATCTGTCCGGAAGAGAACTATATATACGATACTTGTTAGCGATGGATGACGGGATTCTTTGAAAGAAGTTGCTATATTCATCCCAGCTGAAGCCCAACTTGAGACACACAGGTGTCTAGACCTACACCGAACCGTAATACGAGGTGATCGCCAGTATGGGCTGAGGCTCTCTCGCGGCGCTGCCCACGTAGGGTGACAACAAACGGGCACTACCGGGATGATTCTCGGCATTAGTGATCTGTCATGCTGTGTTGGAGAGTTCGCGATATCGGACCAATCACGGTCTCGGAACTATTTGGGGTTTCTTTTTCCTTGCTGATAAAGACTAAGCTTTGATCCAAGGACGGATCCCAGTCAGGGCTAGGGGGGCGCTAGGGCCACACTAGCAATCGATGGGCGCATTGGCAATCGGGGCTATCATTTCTATTTTTGTGGGTAGTGGTATGTTACCGTCGCGGATGCATACCCGTCATGACGGTATTGCCTCACCGACACACCACATTGGCTGCTCTGTCTTTGTGCATATACTGTCTTACTGTTGTTTTTTTTATGTCGGTTACCAACGCCGAATTGGTGACTGACCGATAGTCAGCACGGCCAATAAGAATACAACGCTCATGCGGTGTCGGGGATTCCGAGGTATTGCGCGGGACGTATTACCGTTCGGCCGGGAATAGATACGGTCAAAGAGTTCAGGTTTCATGGGGGCTTTCAATAGGGGCTATTGAGTGAAACACATCAATATTAATTACATGGTGGAAATGAGAACATAAGCATATAAATTTGAAAGCAACGCCAGAAGGTTGTCTATAGTTAAGCCACAGTTTCAAAATTATCTCAAAAGAAGGAACATCAACAAAAGCCGAAAGGTATTACGAAACACGGGAAGATAAGCGAAACCAAAGGAGTGGTGGGGTCGGCGGAATCAAACAAACAAGTAGGACGTGGCCGTGGCCATTGCAACCGTGACCAGCAAGGTCCTTATCTCCAACGACAGACCGAATAAAGAAGTCTCAGCACCGGTGGAAGGCGTTGGGCTTACGGACGAGGCTCCCGAGCTACTCGGGGTGGTCGTGTTGGTCTGATCGCCACAGATATCCGTGCTTTCTTTCAGGCTGGCCGTGGGATAGTACACCCGAGGACCCCCGTCCGAGCTGAGGTCGACCGTCAGATTTCCGTGGGAATCGGTGACATACGTCTTGCAGGACAGAATCTCCGTCACGTTCTGTTTTGATTGGAATCCAGTCCCGTCGGAGCCCAGCGTAATCTTGGTTGTAGCTTTGGTGGCGGGCTTGGCTCCGAGATTGGATACGACACTCACGACCTGATTGCCAGCAAAGCCCTTGCGGGTGGCCAGAATGTGGCTTGTGTTGAAGATTGGTAATGAAAGGTACGAGAGGTAGTCGGTCCCGGACTTGGAATTCACCGTGTACTGTTTGCCATCCCCGCTGGCGTAGGATCGAATGCGGTTCAGCGACTGGACCAGCGATGGTAGGGACGTCGAGTCCATCGAGTAGTTGGTGAGCCATAAGGCCTCCCGGTTGACAGGGTTAAATGCGCCCGACAGGTGCTGTTCCTCGCCGTAGTAGACTATTTTTCATTAGTGTCTGGGAATTGTGTCCTGGGGATGAAAACATACGGATAGGAATACCGTCAGTGAGCATGCTGACTGTGAGGATGTTGCGAGCGAGCTGATCAGATGTAAGTATTTAAGGAATGCTCTCCGTCTGATCAAAGGTAATTTACTCACTGATATATCCGAAGTGTACGAGCCAAAGCGAGGGACATCTTGGTTCGATGTAAAGGTTCCCAGGGCTAGGACGTCCTGGCAATGGTTAGTTCCACGTCTGATACCCTGATACAGCAAGACTTACCTCGCACTGTGTCTTGACAAAGTCAATAGACTGAATGATCGTGCTCAGATTCCCGTTGGTCGTGTTGAATGCGTTTGTGAGGATATAATACCTACAAGGTCAGCACCAGGCATATCCACATTGAAAGGCTACTCACAATGGATAATTCAGCAGTCCGTTGATACTGGGCTGCAGAGGACAATTATCGGTCGCTGACTTGGTGGCACCTTCACCGAGAGTGAAGACCCCCGCTGCCTTGGTGAAGTTCGCGAAGAAGTCGGGGGCAATGTTCAAGACACTGTCGATGCGCAATCCATCCACTACAATGTCACGCTGTTAGCGTCTATAAAGCAGACAAGACATGTAACGTACCGGAATAGTTCGACACCAGTTCCGAAATCCAGGTGCCCAGCATCTGCTGGACTTGGTGGTCCTCGTTTCGCAGATCGGGAAGTGATATGATGGTGTCTCCCATCCAGCACTCATAAATCTTAGCGATCATTCCAGATACCTACTCGCAGGCCAATACGAGGAAATACTTACATCCAGAACACAGGTTTCGTTTGTGGGGTCATCCGAGAGTAGTCGGAAGTCGTGGAAATACTTCTGATCGTTGAACGGATTGAATGTGCTGTAGTCGACGGTGGTGGGATTTCCCGCCCAGGCCAGGTCTCCGACGACGATGTCCAGCATCAAGTACTATCTCAGTCGTCAGTTGTGCAAATTAAACGAGAGGCATCCGGATGTCGACTCACCATTCCGCGATCGTGCAACGCCGAGGATAGCGCTTGGAGGTCATCGGGAGTGCCAAAATGGGAGTTGATGGAATACAGATCATTTGGCCAATATCCATGGTATGCTGATTTGATGGTCAGTGATGTGAATATCTAGATAGCGACATTATGACTGTACCGGAGAGATCCGCCGTTCGAGCGGACACCTGGGTTTGCGCGGGAGAGATCCAGACCTGGTCCACAATCAGTACTGGGGTGGACAAAGGGGAGTGGCATCCTACCGCATCGAACCCGAGATCCTGAATGTAGTCGAGCTTGTTGATGATACCCTGGAAGGACCCGCCGCAGTAGTTGCCCTGTGCTGCATCACACGCCGCGGTGGTTGAGTTATCCGATCGCGCGTAGCGATCGGTAACGATCTGGTAGACCGACCGACCGATCCATTGGTCTCGGGAAGCCGCCTGGACCGTAACCGCAACGACCAACAGAACCATCCACCAGTAACCCATGGTCGGTGGCGTTTGCATGAGCAGGTCGGATGTACGAAGTGAGACAAATGAACTGGCTGAGCAAAAAGTTAGCTGTTCCTACCGGAATGGACTGAATTGGCCCTGTCATATATGCGACGTGCGAGTCCATTCGGACGGGATGGAGGTAATGTGACGGTGTCGGGAAATACGGGTAACGGGCGTGACGGGGTATTGTGCCTGCCCGATCGGCGGCTTTGCTGGTCTGACAGCCAAACCTTAAAACCACCCACTATTTGTTTTTTTTTTTTTTTTTTTTTCTGTTTCTTACCATTTTCTTTGCTTTTGGTCCCCCGTACTCTCCGTACTCAACTCCTCCCGTACCTTTGGGACCCTTTCTTATCTTCCCCTCCACAACATTACTGCATCCACTACAGCCACTGCCTCCACCGCATCATCCACTGCATCAACTGCATCCCCGTCTCCACTTCATCACTCCACTGCCTCCTCCACTGCATTCACTGCATCCACTGCATCCACTTCCGTCCGTTAGTCTTGGCTCGCTTCCCTTGCCTGCAATGGGTCTTATCCAAGCCATGACGTGTCCAATCCTTCCTGATGGATCCACGGAATTTACGCCGGGCTCGCCGATCGGGCATATATTCCTGTCTGATCGATGGCTCATCTCCGACCCCGTGGAATTAGATAACTCGTCCCTGCAGCAATATTCCGAGCCGCTGGATGAACGCCATGACAGCATCAGCCTTGTCGATACTACCTAGTCCTCTCCAACAACGAACTCCTCCACCCACCGATACCGGGATGGATCATCATCCCACACCCCCCATGGCATGGCGTTCACCGTGCGTGAGCTGTCCGGGCAGGTCTAAGAAAGACCCACTTAGTATACGAACCACCGATATCGATGCATGTCAGATTCGCTTCATATGAGACATGAGCCTTGCGGCTTGGGCCTGGAACCTCGCCTTGAGGCCCGAGCAATGTGGCGGGGTGATTTTTTAAGCTGAGTTCGCTTGCACCGCGACTTAGTGGGTGGGATAATCACACGCTGGAGGTCCACCAAATAGGGTGTGTCTTACCTCCAGCTCCAGCGTCCAAAATTAGCCCTGCGCGACCGCCTCACTTGGTGCCAGTGCATGGAGGCTGTCCGGTGGATTGCGTTATCTTTGACATGCTTCTCTCGCCCATCTGCGCCCAATGATCCTTTCCGCCATCTCTGTGCCCAGGAAATATCCCTTCATTCTGGCATGCACTGTGTTGTTCTCGTTGTTCTTGTTGCCTGTTTGTTTTCCTGATTCCGTTTTCGCAGTTGAGGCTCCAACAGCGTGCTCTGTGGATGTCACAATAGTGGCATTCACTGTGCGGGATGAAGCTGCTCAACCCCATCACTCGTTACCTGACCCTGGTCGTCGCGCTCACAATCCGCATTGCACAATCCCTGCCACATCTTCCCGAGGAAGCAAACTGGAATCTCAATCAAAATCAAACCGCGACAAACCCCCTCGACTACTCAGGACAGTGGGACGGACACTCGTATACCCCCTCGCCAGACAACTGGCGATTCCCCTTTTACACTATTTTCCTCGACAGACTCGTCAACGGCGATCCCAGTAACGACGATGCGAACGGCACACAATGGGAACACATCCTAACGTCCAACCAGTTCCGCCATGGCGGCGACGTGCTCGGCTTGGTGGATACCTTCGATTACCTACAGGGAATGGGAATCAAGGTGAGTTTGCGCCCTGGTAGAAAATGGGACAACAGGTTGACTATGTTTAGGGCATCTACCTTGCCGGAACACCGTACATCAACTGGCCCTGGGGCGCCGACGGATATTCCCCGCTTGACCTGACGCTGATGGACCATCACTATGGCACGATTGACGACTGGCGCACAATGATATCCGAAGCTCATAAACGGGGGATCTACGTTCTGTTCGATAATACCTTTGCGACGTATGTGTGAGAATCCAATCCCGACTGCACCTGCTGATTGTGGTGGAATAGGATGGGCGATCTGGTCGGTTTCCAAGGTTACTTGAACCGGTCCGCGCCAATCAATCCCAACGAGTACGACTATGTATGGAAGTATGACCGTCGGTACTGGGACTTCCAGCCGGGAAATCAGATTGAGGCTCAATGTCCCTGGGAGTATCCTCGATTCTGGGATGATGACGGAACCGGCTTGACCAACACCACCCTTGGCGCTTCATGTCGGAATAGTGAAGTTGACCAGGTACGTCTCCTTCTTCCTCTTGTTTTAGCTCTGACTGACCAATAATAGTATGGAGAAGTGGCCGCGTTCGGAAACTACACCGAATGGGAAGGGCAGATTGCGAAATTCGCATTTGTCCAGGACCGTCTGCGCTCATGGCGGCCCGATGTTCTGGCGAAGATCAAACACTTTTCGTGTCTGACTGTCACCATGCTTGACATCGATGGATTCCGTGTCGACAAAGCTCTTCAAGTGACCCTGGACTCTCTTGGCGAGTGGTCCGAGTCAGTGCGCGATTGCGCCAAACAGCTGGGCAAGGACAATTTCTACATCCCGGGAGAGATTGTGTCGGGAAACGCCTTTGGCTCGCTGTACATCGGTCGCGGTCACCAGACCAATCAAACCATCTCTAACATCACCGAAGCTTTTATGATGACCAACAAGACAGACAAGGCAAACGAGGATCTCTTCTTGCGACCGGCCGAGCAATCCGCACTGGACGGAGCGGCGTTCCACTACACGTTATATCGCGCCCTGAGCCGATTTCTAGGGTAAGTCTCTCCCCACTTTCTTCAGTGCACTTGAGGTAACATCTTCGTGTTTAGTTTGGATGGGATCTACGCCGCCGAAGGCGACCCGCCGGTCAATTTCGTGGAAACATGGAATGGTCTCGTGCAGACCAACGACATGGTCAACACGAACACCGGCAAGTTCGACCCTCGTCACCTGTTTGGCGTCACGAATCAGGACGTTTTTAGATGGCCGGCGATCCAAAATGGCACCCACAAGCAGAATTTAGGACTATACGTCGCTTCATTACTCATGCCTGGAATTCCCATCCTCTCCTGGGGCGAGGAACAAGATTTCTACGTTCTGGACAACCAAGCCGATAACTATAGTATGACACCCCATCCAAACTGGTAAACCCTCTGACTCTTCCTAGTCTTCGGTCGTGGACCCATGTCGTCTTCCCAAGCGTGGCAGATGCACGGCTGCTATAAGCTTGGATCAGATAAATACTATGACTTTCCGCTCGAACGCGCCCTGACCGGATGTGGCGATGACTCCGTCAGTCTCGATCACCGAGATCCTTCTCACCCAATCCGTGGTCTTATCAAGACGATGTTTGAGATACGTCAGAACTACCCCGTTCTGCATGATGGTTGGTACCTACAGCAGTTGTCCAACCAGACCGTGGATATCTACCTTCCCGGTAGTAATGGGACACCGACCGAGACTGGCATGTGGAGTGTCATGAGGTCCCGCTTTGTCGATCTACAGAATTTTGACGGCCAAGGCCAGGGAAATCAGAGTGTCTGGCTGGTGTATTCGAATGACAACAAAACGGTCAACCACCAATTCAACTGCAGCAGCGACAAGGACGCATTGATTTCGCCGTTTCCCGCAGGAACCACGGTGAAGAACCTGCTGCCCCCATTCGATGAGTTTTCGCTGGTCAACAGCTCCATGAAGCTAGGGTATGAGCTCCCGCGAAGATATATTGCTGTTACTGACCATGAGCAGATTTGAAGGGTCCGATCTACCCAATGGGTGCCATCCTAACCTTACGATGCCGGCTTGGGGATTCAAAGCATATGTCCCGAAAGAGAAATTCCTGCAGCCTTCTCCATACATAACGGCCTTCACGCCCGGACACGACGCCCGCATTGTCTCCCAGGGAACAGATGGAGAGACTGTACGAATTGGCTTCGAATTCTCTCAGGAGATGGACTGCGACCAAATCTCCAACTCGCTGACGATCACTTCCAAAGCGCTCAATGACGAAAGTGCTCTGCTCGACACGACCTCGGTGTCCTGCAAATCCTTTGCTGAAACCGAAGTGGCAACATGGCCCGGGGCATTTACTAGTGTTTTCAGCTATGAGGCAGATTTGTCCAACGTGTTTCCGGGCGTGCATAGGGTCACCGTTAGCAACGTGACGAACGCATCGGGAAACCAATCCACAAACGTGAGTACATTCTCTCTATCCAAGTATACATTTTGAACACTAATTTAGTCGATCAGTCTGTTGACCACTTTATGTTCCGTATCGGAGAGACAACCAACCCAATGGTCTGGCCGCAGCTGGCCAACTATAGTAGAGATCTGCTGTTCGAAACCCCGTCCGCACCTGAGCCCCTGTCCGTGATGCCACATGCTCCGGGTGCCGATATGTGGCGCTACTCGCTTGATTTTGGTGCAACATTCAGTGACTGGATGACATATACCGGATTCAACACGTCCATTCCTGGCAAGAACTGGACGGGTCCGACAAGGCAGGCCTGGGAAGGAGAGCACATTATTGCTCAATATTGGAGCAAGCTCACCGGGAGTAGTGATCACTGGCTGCATGGAGACACCCAGTGGGCATATAAACCACCTCGTCGCTTCCCCAACCTCTTCATCGAAGGCGAATTCAACCAGTTCGGTTACGATGCTGGGTACTCGAACAAAATGGCTCTCAGCAACCTGACCGGACGGTGGGAGATTAACTTCATGGGCGAATGGCCCGTGCAGGTTGCGTTCAATGCCTGGGGAATCAACGAGGACGGTCTGCCCGATCAAACCCAGGTCTTTGGAGATATTGATGGAGACAACGTTCTTGATCAGGTTCCACCGGTCACGCTGCTGAGCAATGTTTTCAACGTTACCATCCCACCCCCTTCACCTTATCTTGCGTTCAAGCTCACAGTGGACGATGGTGATCTGAGGGTCTACGCTATTCCGACAGGATCGAGGTGGGTTCAGCTGGCCCTCTTTATCCTTTTGGCTATTATACCGGTCGCTAGTGCGGTAGGCGCGGTGTATGCTTACCTCAAGGCCTTTTACAAGGTCAAGTTCAACCAAATCGGCGTCACGGAGAAAACACCGACATTTGCTCCACTGGTCAGCATCTTCCAGCGGGTAACCCGTCCTTCAGATGATAGGGAAGCAAATCCGGCACTTGATCAAGGTTCCGTGAGCCCGTCCCTATCGGACAGTGGCGGCATCGTCAGTGCCGCTGTAAACATTCGACGGCGAACCGTGGTCATCGCAACGATGGAATACGATATCGAAGATTGGGGCATCAAGATCAAGATTGGTGGGCTGGGTGTCATGGCCCAGCTCATGGGCAAGAATCTGACTCACCAAGATCTGATCTGGGTAGTCCCCTGTGTTGGAGGGGTGGAGTACCCTCGAGACGATCCCCGCGAGCCGATGGTAGTCACTGTCCTTGGTAACAAGTACCAAGTTGATGTTCAGTATCATCGGTTGCACAATATCACATATGTCTTGTTAGACGCGCCCGTGTTTCGAGCCCAAACCAAGTCGGACCCGTACCCGGCTCGGATGGATGACCTGCATTCGGCCATCTTCTATTCGGCCTGGAATCAATGCATTGCTGAGGCCATCAAGAGATTTCCAGCAATCGACCTCTATCACATCAACGATTACCATGGTGCGGCCGCTCCATTGTATCTTTTGCCTCACACGATTCCATGCTGCTTGTCCTTGCATAATGCCGAATTCCAAGGTTTGTGGCCAATGCATACCTCCCAGCAGGTTCAAGAGGTGTGCAAAGTTTTCAACCTCAGCCCGGCCGTGGTAAAGAAGTATGTGCAATTCGGCGACGTGTTCAACCTCCTGCATTGCGCTGCCAACTACCTCAAGATCCACCAAAATGGATTCGGTGCGGTTGGTGTCTCCAAGAAATACGGTAAGAGGTCATACGCCAGATATCCCATCTTTTGGGGTCTCAAGAGCATTGGAGCCCTGCCGAACCCCGACCCGTCTGACCTGGCTGAGTGGGACAATAATGCAAACAACAATCTCGAGGAAGTTACCATTGACACGGAGTTTGAAGCCAGCCGTGCGGCACTCAAGAGACAGGCGCAAGAATGGGCAGGGCTCAAAGTTGATCCTGAAGCACAGCTGTTTGTATTTGTCGGCCGTTGGTCCATGCAAAAGGGCATTGATTTAATAGCAGACATTTTCCCTTCCATCTTAGATGCTCACCCAAACGTCCAGTTGATGTGCATTGGACCTGTCATCGATCTCTATGGAAGATTCGCAGCATTGAAACTGAACCGGCTCATGCAGCTCTACCCGGAGCGAGTCTTTTCGAAACCGGAGTTTACTGCACTGCCTCCGTTTATTTTCAGTGGCGCCGAGTTCGCCTTGATTCCTTCGCGAGATGAACCATTCGGTCTGGTTGCTGTCGAGTTTGGTCGGAAAGGAGCGTTGGGTGTGGGATCGCGGTAAGACCCAATTACAACCTGCATCACAGTCCAATGCTAACTTTTTGTAGTGTTGGTGGGCTTGGACAGATGCCAGGATGGTGGTACACAATGTGAGTTTTATCCAAATGACATGCGTATGCAGAGCTAACGGAATCTAGCGAGTCAATGACAACCAAACATCTCACTCACCAGTTCAAGTCGGCCATCAACGATGCTCTGCGATCGTCTCAAGAAACCCGAGCGATGATGCGTGCACGATCCGGCAAGCAGCGCTTCCCCGTGGCTCAGTGGGTTGAGGATCTAGGGATCCTGCAATCCACCTCGATAGAAAAGCACGCGAAACACTCCAAGCGCCACGATCGTGGCTCATGGAGAATATCCGGGAGCAGCACCCTTATCCCCGATGGCATCCCGAACGTTCGATTCTCGTCAAGTTCAAACACCAGCCGCGAGCATAGTCGATCACGCAGTCCCACCATCTCGGGCTCGCCTCGCAGGCCGATGCCTAGTGAGCCGAGACATGTTGGAAGTCGGCTAGGCCATAGCCACACTCCGTCACTTCCGGCAAACCTGCCTTCCAGCTTAGCCATGTCCAACGAGTCCGATACTGAATTTGAGTCACGACGCAGACCCTTGTCCTCCACTCATCGTCCAGGCCCTCGTGTCATCTACACCCTTAGCAATGACGGGGAAGGCCTCGAGCACATTCCGATGGCCGCCCAAGATGACTCTAATACCCGTCCATCATCGTCGCTTTCGCCGTCAGGGGCCCTCAATGCTCCTCCCCATTTTGCCAACTCTGGTGCTAGCACACCTACTCTCGGTTCCGGACCGGAAGATGGGCTGCTCGGTCGCCGAAACCTAAGCGCATCCTTGATGAGCCTGGTTAGTGTCGACGATATCATCAAGGAGAAGCAAGACTACAACCTGCAGAAAGTCAGTCCCTTCTTCACGGATGTCAATCATGAATACGCGGACAAGTTTGAGAGGAAGCTTGCCGACCTGAATGGCAAGAATTCTGAGGATCAGCTGTGCATTGAGTTGTTTATCGAGAAGAGTGAGAAAGACTGGTTTAACCGATACCGCGATGTCAAACTGGGCAAGTCACCACTGCCATCTCCATCGCCTTCTGTCTTCCGTTTCAAGATCCATGACACCAGTCGACCACCGACCCCAGCAGCTAGTGCTCCGGTTGCCGACCCAAACGCTGGGCAATTCCTGCTCCCAAAAGACTATGTTCCTCCTACTGGGTTGAAACGTTTCATGCTGATGAAACTGGGCGATTGGCCGGTGTATTCCATCGTTCTCGCGATCGTAAGTTAACCCTGTAAATATCCCTGGGGCAATTATTGACAAATGCGTTAGGGCCAAATTCTTGCCTTGAATTCCTACCAGATCACACTTCTGAACGGCCAGATCGGAGAGACGGCAGAGAAGCTTTACATTTTGGCCTCCATCTATCTTGTCGCTTCGATCGGGTGGTGGATGGTCTTCCGTCTCGTCCCTTCAGTTTATGTGTTGACAATCCCCTACTTGGTATGTGCTTTGCCTATCTCATTGGGTATTAGAGTCTAACGATCGCTAGATGTACGGGTTTGCTTTCCTCTTCGTGGGTCTCGCCGGTCCCATTAACAACAGCACCAGTCAAGAATGGCTGCAGAATGTGGGAACTGGCTTCTATTCGATTGCATCCTCGAGTGGATCGATTTTCTTTGCCCTCAACTTTGGAGATGAAGGTATGAACCCTTGCTAATAAGTATGAATCATCTGACATCTCTAGGTGGGGCGCCACTTAGCTCCTGGATTTACCGGGCCACACTCATTCAGGGCAGCCAGCAGCTATGCATAAGTTTCCTTTGGTACTGGGGTAGCTGGATGGCCAATCTCAACCAACAGGGTAACACGCAATTCAGCCTCACCATGACCAACCCTGGGGCATTGCTCGGTATCGGAGTTGGCCTGGCCTGTCTGATGTGGCTGCTGGGAGGTCTTGTGTTCTTTGGACTGCCTACATATTATCGAAAAGCACCAGGTCAAGTGCCGACATTCTACCTATCTCTCTTCCGGCGCCGCATCATCCTCGTATGTCTCCTCTACACATCCGATGTTGGTCTGATCCTGACTCTTTATCTTCCAGTGGTTCTTCTACATGGTGTTCATCTCCAACTACTGGCTGTCGGCACCGTACGGACGAAACTGGCTATATCTCTGGTCCAGCAAGCATGCCCGGGTGTGGCACATTATTCTCCTGGTGCTCTTTTTCTTCATTGTTGTCTGGGCAGCAGCTCTCTGGGTCTTTCACGTCTTTTCCAAAAGACATGCCTGGTTCATCCCAATCTTCGCCATCGGCCTGGGTGCCCCTCGATGGGCCCAGATGCTGTGGGCAACCTCCAACATCGGCACGTACGTCCCTTGGGCCGGTAGTCCAATTGCCGGAGCCATCCTCGGAAGAGCACTGTGGCTCTGGCTGGGTGTTTTGGATAGCCTTCAGGGTGTCGGTAAGTTTTCGCATTACTAATACAAGGAAAATGGAAACTGACTCACGATAATAGGGTTTGGAATGATCCTCTTGAACACCATGACTCGCTTCCATGTCACCTTTACCCTACTTGCCGCCCAGGTGGTTGGATCCGTTGCGACTATCCTCGCGCGCGCCACCGCACCCGATAAGTTGGGCCCCGGGGATGTTTTCCCGACTTCTCCGCCGGCGTTCGAGCCGGCTTGGAGAAAGCTGACTTCTGGGTCTGTTTGCTGTTCATGCTATCGATCAACGTGCTGTGTCTCTTCTTCTATCGCAAGGAACAGCTATCCAAACCTTGATCGCTGCTCTTCCATGGACGGCGTTTTATTTATTTTTTTCTTTTATCTCCTTGGCATTTCCTGGAGTAAGTGTGGTTATCTGCAATTTGTATCTATTGCGGGGCCATGTATAATAAGTTGGCCTGGATTATAATATGTATAGGTGGGGAATAGTTCCCATGTGGTGGTTGAAGCAAATGCTTCCAGGTTTAGGTCAATAGACATCCCTTGTTGGACTGAAGATTGTCACGTGGAAGTGGAGATACAAGTTCGTATCGTAGATACTGTCTATTCCTCCTTAGGATTAGCCCGGAGCGGGGTAAGCCGTCCGGACCCGTTGCAGACCCAATTCCGGGGGCGGATTATTTCAAACCCGCCGATATATTAATACGAGAGACTTCCCCTGCTTGGCAGGCCAACCTCACCACCTTCATTTTGCATCCCACATCTGCCTGAGGTGTTGTTCTGCCACTCTTTTCAGAACATCACACTCGTAAATTCTCTACTTTTTTATTGTTTCCATTATACCAATCCACTTTCACTCTTTCAACCATCAACTCAGTCACTCATTCCCACCATGAATCACCAGTTTTTCTCCTTTTTCGTAGCCCTCTGCCTTTACGCGCAATGGGCAATCGCCTCTTTAACATCTACTGAAATAGCTAATTCTCTTAATGAACTCGCCCAGCAAGGATTCGCGGCAAAGGATCTCGTGTTGGAGATTAATTCCACTTCGGACGCGGGTCCAATGCGTGTAAGCTCACAGCATATACCCACTCCGTATCACCTCTAAGACTAAGTCTAATAACATCCAGGACGTCTACACCGAGATCAACACAATGGTCACTGTAGTTCTAACTGATGTAAGCTTTATGACCAACACGCCGGTTATTACCGATCAGGCAGAGGAGCAGGATGTTTATGAGGGTTATTCGAATGTAAGACACCATCATCCTATTTCCACCTACTTGCATTTTGTTTAATCCATGGAATACAGTTCGTCCAATCCCTCCTCGAACTCATGGACGCTTTCTCCACCAGCGCAACTCTACTAGAATCCATTGATGCAGTCACAAAGTATAAAGTTCCCTCGGAAGTTCGCGTGCTGGAGAGTGCTGTTGATGTAAGCCCCCCCAATTCACCGAATTCAACCATACTGATAGGTATCCGATCAGGCGTACTTCTACAACATCATCGGCCTCTTCCCAGCCAATAGCTCGTACAACGCCCAGGCCAACAACCAGAAAGCTCAAGTCGATACGCATTGCTTCCAGGCTATTTGGGCTTTTGATCTCGATGAGGGGAATCAGTCGCGTAGTGATGCCTCGCTTCATTCGAGGTGGTTGAGGCGGGCGGCTGCATGAGAGAGGGGGTATTATGTTGGGGGTTACCCATCTTTGATGATGTTCTCCGTGTCGGTGATATCGGGCTGGTCTGGTTGGTGCTTCGGGTGTATTATTGTGTAGTAGGATATTGTTGGGTGTAGTAGCTGGCAGGAACTGCCGTGTCTCTGTATGTATCTTATGTATAATTACTATTGTCTTTGGGGATGTTTTAGTCATAGTATTTGGTGGTGAGATTTAGGGTATGGTTATTAACGTATTGTGACCATACAAAGCACCAGATCCATCAAAGCATCAAAAGGAAACAAGTCATCCCCCGTGACACAGTGCCAAGTAAGGCCGGTGAAGAAAGACAAAGCAAACTTCTTGGCAACCGGCTGAGGTTCACAACGCTAGCCCAAATAGGTAATTTTGTTGAATAGGGATAGAGGCATGTTCCCAAGCAGTGGATATGTAACCTCTTTGTGATTTTTCCTCCTGGGGCTTTTGAAAGATGTTGCAAGCAGAAACATTCTTCTTTCTCATCACATCAAAAACTGCATTACGCCAGATCTACAGCCAAAATTCAGCCCTACATGTAGCAATGTATGGCCTATACCGGCCATGAGGCAAAGCCATCACAGCTATAACCTACCACCAGTTACCAAATAAACCCCACCACCTATAAGCCACCCACAATATACCATTTCTATATATAATCCAGAGACTATTTAGTCTCAGCTTTTCAATCCCTACAATCCAATCACAATATCATAAACGCCCCAGACCTGACGTGACACTACATCGCACTCGAAGATCAATCTTCGCGAATACCCCGGTTAAAATGCCGATAGCGAGGGTTGATTACAGACTAATAGTGGGCTGATAGTTGCTGCTGAAGTTCTATTGGCTATCTAGTAACTGGTGAGAAAGAGGTAGTGCAGGTCAAGAATCTATCCAGTTGGGTCCGTGTGGAGGTTCTGCGCTGGGTGTAGGGTTATAACGCGATTAATTTAGAAGTGGGAGCAAAGACTGATTGTTGGAAGGATAAGTCTACTTCTTTGCTTACTCCGGCCGTGTATGTACCTAACAGATCAAATCGTCAGCTGCAGTAAACATTACCCTTGATAATCATCCAATGTTGGTTCTTTGCAGAGCATTTGAGATGAGATAATGAATCATATTGAGACAAGTCTTCTATGGGACATTCATACAAGCTTTACAACGGATGTGCGTGCATCTTTTGGTACTCAGGTGGTCGTGAGTAAGGGGTGGGTGGGATCTATACAGTCAGTCTGCGTTTTATTCGAGTGCTGCACACCCTGTCTTGATCCATAATTTCAATTTGTATCACTTACAAGAAGGGGAAGGGGGGTGGTGGAGGTTTGATTCACCAGATTAACAATCAAACCCTTATCGCAGAATCCACTACACCTTAATCCATCAAACGATATCTACCCCATGACCAAGTATATTACGAAAGAAATTTCAATCACATTCAACCCCGCTCAGCGGAAGTCTAAGAAAACTGCTCCCACCCATTAATTACATACATATCATCCTGCTATACTGAACCTATTCCTGACGAGGCAGCACAGGCGAAGGATGAGCCGGAGCATCAATAAGCGCAGACGCCTTAGTCAACCTAACATCCGCGGCGGTATTACGCGACGAGTAACCGTCCTGGAAGATGAAATTCATCGGGAAGCCGATATCAAATGAAGATGCAGCGTCAATTTCATCCAGGTCCTCGTTGGAGAGTCTAACTCCCAGAGCCTCGATGTTTGCTTTTAGATGTTCGATTTTCCGTTGACCGATGATGGGGAAGACGTTGGGTGTCTTGTGCATTACGTAGGCGAGGGCCTGTTTATTATCGTCAGTCACTGAGGGTAAACCCCAGAGGGTAAGGGGAGCTTACAATAGCATGCAACGTAGTCCCCTTCCTCTTAGCAACCTTCTCCAACGCATCCGATACCTTGATATCATCCTCAGTTAGATTCGAAGCACGCGCACTACCAGCTTCAGCCTCGTTGGAGCGAGCCTCTGCGGACTTGAATTTGCCCTGTCCGAGGGGCGCCCAAGGTGCAATGGCCATTCCTTGGTCTCTGCACATGGGGATGATTTCTCGCTCGAGGTCTCTGAACCCGGCGTTCCATCTTCCCTGGTACACGGAGAAAGGACGGAGACCGTGGGCCCGGGCGTAGTCATTGGCTTTGACGACTACCCAGGCTGGGGTGTCGGAGACACCGAGGTAAAGCACCTTGCCTGATGTGACGAGGTTGTTGAGACCGTGCATGACTTCTTCGACGGAGGTGGTGAAGTCCCACCAGTGGAGGTATAGGAGGTCGATGTAATCGGTCTGGAGCTTTTTGAGACTGCGGTCGACGGAGACGCGCATGCTTTTGATGGAGTTGCCGACGAAGTTGGATTGGAGGGGTTCGGTGTCGCGGTGGGAGGAGCGGTAGCCGGTTGTGTATTTGGTGGCGATGCTGTGGAAGAAGTTAATTTGTGTTTATGCGATGGATGATGGGGAAGTGGTTTGGTGGGAAGTGTTAGCATGGGATTGGGGTTGGGTACATACACCATCTAGTCACGGTTACCGCGCGCGTTCATCCATTCTCCGATCCATTGTTCGGATTCTTCCTGTTGATAGTTGTTGGCACTACAGTGATCAAGATTAGTAGGTTGAGATGGACTGCAGGCTCAAGTAGGTCACTTACGTATCGATAAAGTTACCGCCGAGCTTGAAGAACGCGTCAAGAAGTGCAAACGACTGGTCCTTGTCACATTCTCCCATGAAATCCTTCCTGTAGGTGATAACCTTGTGAGCACTCGATCACCATCACGGAATAAGGCGGTCATACCAGTTGTTTCCAAAGTTCATAGCTCCAAGACATAGCGGCGAAACCTTGACACCTGCCGAGGGTGCCAACACTCGGTGGTAGCCGAGCAGGCTGGATGGTTTGGGAGCAGGGGTGAAGAAAGGCATGATGATAGTATCAGAGGGCAGAAGATGGTTGGTAACGTGGATAGTTTATGGCGAAGGGGGCCTCGCATATATATCCTGTAGGAATTTCCGGCGATAATGGCAGAATCTCCGGTTACTTCACCCCCTGCTGACATTGGTGAACATGGGGATATGAATATATGTTCATCATTACGCACAGTCTCCACCGTATGCATTTTGGTGTATTGAAGATTGATGTCATCCGATGTGCAGTCGTCCAGGAGCTGCATGTTGATCACACCCTCCCTTCAATTCGTCGAACCACCAAGGTTCATACAATGAATAACTCTGATGAAAGGGGGCAAGTGGTGTCATCCTGTGTGCCATGGACCGGTAGCCCCGTTAAGTCCGTTGATGACACCTTCGATGTCATTCGCCGAGCCCAGGAATTGAGGGTGAAGAGAGACCCATAGCGGGGAGCTCCACTCATTTGTGCTGCAGGTTGATGACAAGTTGCTTTTAATTCGTGGAACCAAAGACCCATCCCATGAGGATGCTATCTGGTTGGTGAGAATGCGGTGCCCACTCAATAGACCATTGGGAATGATCTAGACATTAGGCAAGGCCAAGGCGGGAAGCGGCGGAAGAAAACGATTCACCTGAAGCGAGGAATTGAGGACAAAGGAACCTTGCTGGCCTGGAGCCGTAAAGCCGCCCTAACCCCGGGATTCTGTGACACTGTACGACAGTAGTGACGACGAAGCTCGCGACGTGCTATAACTGTTCCAGCAACCTAGGTACGATATGGAAAGAGGGGCTTCTCATTCCGCCGTGCTCTCCAAGAGTTGGTAGACTGAAAAAGGTCCCAACAACCTCGCAGAACCCATGCCCAAGAACGAGCGAACGATTCGGTGACCTCCCATCCCGAGGGATCCCACGGATCTTTCCACACGAGTAGACCGCGTTCCTTCATATCAACACATAGCTGGGTTTCATCGTATGACTCGCCAGCCAAAATCAAGTTGTCTCTCATTTGTGGGTATGGAATCAAGTCTAGCCACGGGTGATGGTGTACTGTGCGCTGTACAATGGTAGCATGGAGGCTGGAAGGGAGAGAACCCTCAAAGTCGTGTTGCCACGGGCCTGTCACATTGAATAGCGAAAGTGCATCGTCGTGTACTTGCTCGGGGGTCAAGCCAAAGACGTCCATGTTTTGCCTTACAGCTTTGATGAAATTGAATTGGATCAAGTGGAGCAACATGTCGGTTCGCGGGGAACAAAGCATGTACTCAGCGCGAGCCAAGGCTTCGAATTGTTGCATTAGTCTTTTTGTTTTGGCTGTGTCGGGCGCTAAAATATGGATCTCTTCAATTGCTGCTAGAGATAGCCTTGCTGTACTGTCTATATTGAAGTGCACATTCGATGGTGGCTGACCGTCCTCGACGATAGGTAGCGTGATCAACCGGCCGTCTTCCACCTCGCCAGATGCATGGCTACCACTCTTGTTATCATCGGTAGACGTAGCATTAGCATCCAGCTTTATCTGCAGTCCTGCGCTTATCAGCTACGGACTTGCCCGAGTCAACCCTCTATGGGGAGAGGTCTTGATATACTAGGGTAGAACTTACGTCGAGCCTTCTGATTTAAGCGATTCTGCAACCTCCTGCGCATTTTGGGATCAGAAATCCCCGACCAATCATCCTCTGGCCATGCGGCGATTCGCTCAGACAATTGCCGTAGACGGATCCGCTTTCCAACTGGCTCCGCTCGGGAATCACTTGTTGATAAAATTAACGATGACTGATTGGCTCCTTGGCTGGCCATGTTGCAAAGGTTGATGATGATGGTCAAAATCTGCGTCTGCAATCTGCTCACAGAGGGGGAGTTGCCGTGAGATAATCTATCTGCTTCCGGGGTTAGTCTTGGTGGCGGTGGCGACTGCCCCACCCGGACCCTCAACCCTGAAAATACTATCCATGGATCGTGTATGTATTTATGGTCCTGCGAAGTGGATTTCTATACCCAACTGACTGAGTAGCTCTGCAGCTGTCCGTCATGAAGGCGTTGCATTGTATTTGTATAATGCTATGGTCTCTGGAGTCGCTACAGTCACACCAGCCATTGTAACCACACATTGGTGTCTGTTATCTGTACACTTTTTACATTCTCTTCGTGGTACTTCAGGCGGTTATTGGACAGAATATCAGCCATATAAAGAGGTTTTGCCAGAGACACCGATCGGCATCGACCGCATAAATATACAAAAAAAAAATGGTGCATTTTGGGCGTAATAGCAAACCTATCCCAAAGAGGTAGGCAGCAAATGTAGATGGTCTGTAGACAGCATGGCCGCTGTGCCTGCAGTGCCTTTCCATCCGTTGTTCACTATCCCGGGCGCATTGAGGGATGAGGCTAGCAACAACATTGTTATCTCATACTGTCCATAATACATATAAAACCTCCACAGTACAGCCCGTAAAGCGACGTCAAATTAGGCAACTTCTTGATTAAACAGCTTCCATTTTGCATTGGGTGTTGGGACATATCTCTCAGTCTGCTCTCCAGATAGATGTAATTCATCATTTTTAGTGTACTGATCAGAATTTTGACAAGTTAATTCTGATATGAATGCATGTTTGGCTTCAAATCCTCATTGACCAAAAATTGGACACCATGTTCTATATATCTGTGGCATGGGGTATCATAAAGATGATACGACCTCCTCCCCGCAGTTCATTATCCAGACAGCTCCCATATAAGCCCAAAAATACCGCCATATTACGAGATAATGCATGATCGGCATCTGATAGGCCGATGGCTTCAGTCGGCCTGACGTGTCCTTACTGGTGGTTCAACCAGCAGGGGTCTGTAACAGCCAATCCCCTCTTGGTATTAGTAAAAGTCTTCCAATGATGCCCAACCCCGTCGGCTCGGTCCGATCCATCCACAATGCTCATGGTTATCTAGCTATCAGTGACCCACAGACATGATCATGCTCGACGTATGATATGGCAAAGACATGGATACCAAATCTTGTTTTCGTTCTGGAGGAGGCTTTTGGGGTTTGGGATGAGCAGTTGCCTCGAGGCTGACGTTAGGGCAACTGAAAACTCATGGCATTGTTGTCCGGTAACTTTTGGGGCTTATTCGGCCCTTCCGTTGGTTGCATCCTGCATAGCTTGCTCGGGCCTTTAGTATTTGTTGGCCCCTTGCATTTCCGGCTGCTCGGCTCCTCGGAGCTGAGACAATCCGTGGAATGGGCCCGGCCGGATCTTGGCGTTTCCGAATTCTTCACCGGATGGATCGACGATCCGTGGAATCTGATAACGGTCCGCGGCATTGATATCGGGCGTTGAGAGGTTTATGGTTCTAGACGCGTCCTATTCTAAGGGCCGACTTCGCAATGGATACGATACTTGCCATTTTTATTCTTATATCTATACCAATATTCTCTTGTCTGTCATTGATTGCAACAGGTCAAGTCTAACGTCTCCAAACACCACCATGGTAACCAGTGTTACCAGCACAGTCGTCACGGACAGCTGTGAACCGATGAATACCATCCTCGCTATCAACCATACAAGCGCCGCTGAACCAGAGCACAACGTGCCCAGCGCCTCCAGAGAAAGCCCTAAAGGGGCAGCAGTCGGTGAGCGGACCGATGGGCACGAAGAGATAGAAATCCCGGCAGCCACCCCGAAAACGTCCATCCGATTCTTTGCCATCATCGCGGCACTCGCCTTGTCCGGATTACTGACTTCGTTGGAGGCCACCATCACATCCACTGCCCTGCCCACAATTACTGCGGACCTGGGCGGCGCCGATCTGTATGTCTGGGTGGTCAATGGATACTATTTAACCCAGACTGCATTTCAACCACTGTTTGGACAAATCGCCGATATTTATGGTCGTCGATGGCCGATGATCATCAGCGCCGTGATGTTTACCCTCGGCAGTGGTCTCTCAGGGGGTGCGAGCAACATCAACATGTTGATCGCCGGCCGACTAATCCAGGGGATCGGGGCAGGTGGCATCAACGTACTTATTGAGATCATCGTCTGCGATCTGCTCCCCCTGCGCGAAAGAGGCCGATACCTAGGTCTCATGTTCGGTCTCATCGCCATCGGGACGACCCTGGGGCCGCTCTTCGGGGGCCTAATTGTGCAATACTCGACATGGCGCTGGGTGTTTTACCTGAATGTCCCTATCGGTGGAGCCGCCATGGTGATTCTGTACCTCTTTCTCCGCGTCAAGTCCGACCACACTCCCGACTACTGGATGCGACTGAAACGCATCGACTGGATCGGAAATACTGTCTTCGTACTCGCCATGGTCTCCGTCCTCATCGCCCTCTCCTGGGGCGGCAGCCAATATCCATGGTCCTCCTTCCGTATCATCGTGCCGCTAGTGATGGGCTTCGTCGGCTTCGGGCTCTTCCTGCTCTACGAGGCCTCCCCATACTGCATCAACCCAACCATGCCCCTCCACCTCTTCGCCAACCGCACGTCCGGCACAGCCTTCGGCCTAACCTTCCTACACAGTCTCTCCGCCATCTCCGTTATGTACTTCCTCCCGGTCTACTTCCAAGCCGTGCTCGCCGCAAGCCCCAGCCGATCCGGTGTGGACCTGCTCCCAACCATCCTATTTATGATCCCCGCGGCCATTACCGCTGGCGGCTTGCTCTCCAAACTGGGTCGATACCGGCCGATCCAACACGTGGGATTCGCGCTGATGATCATCGGCTTCGGGCTCCTAACACTACTCCATGCCGATGCCACGACCGGTCAATGGGTGGGCTATCAAGTGCTCAGTGCGCTGGGGACAGGGCTGGCCCTCCCCCTCCTCCTTCCCGCCGTGCAAGCCTCTCTCACAGAATCAGATACGGCCCTCTCCACCTCGACCTGGTCTTTCACGCGAAGCTTCGGCCTGATCTGGGGCGCAACGATCCCTACCGCGGCGTTCAACAATCGGGTCAACACCCTGCTGGGCCGGGTGACAGACTCAGCAATTGCGGCGCAGCTGGCAGATGGGAAGGCGTACGAACAGGCGACTAAACGCTTCATGGATTCTATCACAGATCCTGTGATCCGGGCCCAGGTGGTATCGGTATATGTCGATGCTATCCGGACAGTATGGTATGTGTCGATGGCGTTCGCGGGGTTGGCATTTCTGTTGGTCTTTGTCGAAAATGAAATCCCGCTGCGGAAGGAATTGGAGACTAAGTTTAGTATTGAGGAGAAGGATGGGGAGAAATCGGCCTCCTGAGGATATTTTGGGAGAGTGTTAGAAGGCTCTACACCATATCCTTAATAATCCATGGCTCAATGCCATCGTCCGAGTGCGGTTATTATCTCACTAGTCGCTCCCCCCCGGATTGTACTGCTACAGTCTAAATGCGAAAACGTTTCCCCCTCATATATTCTTATTTCTCTATACTAAATACAGGCAGAAACAACACCTCACCATTGCGACAACAATTGTACAAACGCAACCCCACCACAGCCCCTCATAATCGACAATTCTGGCTAGCACAAGTCTAGATCTAGTTTCCTGCAAATTCCTTGTGATAGTTAACAATCGTTTGCTCCGCCTTTTCCAGGCAGCTCTTCCAATCTGCGGCCGCGCATGAAGGAAGATCACGGAACTCGAAAAGGGGCAATTGCTCGTTAGGATGGTTGAGGCGATGCTCAGTCAAGTCACCATATCCTCCAACCTGGCCATCAATTACTTTATCAGCATCCTTGAGCAAATCTTTGCCATTCTTCAAACCCTCGATCCAGGCCTTGACGTTGACAGGGCATGCCTTTGAATCGTAGCAGATGTTAATCTGCACCTTCTCGAAGTTGCCTTTGATGGTTGTCTGACCGGGGTGGCCAGAGCAGTACCTCGTATCAACACTGACGGGAATATGATTAGCGAATCCTTCAGACATATAACGTAGTGTCAGCAGACTTACGAGGCATATTCATGTGCATCCTCCGAAGGGTTCTCATAGCATGCCATCTTGTTCACAATAGTCCACAGATCCTTGTTTTTAAGCTTACCCTCGACGAGCTTGTAAATTTTGGCAAAGCTTGTTCGTGGCATGATGGATGTCAATATCTTAGCACTCTCATTGCCCAGTTCCTGGTTCCCAGCCTTCGCATAGGAAAGAAGAAGCGCGAGGAATCCTCGAACATCATCTCCAACATCCTTAGTAAGACCACCAGGGCTCTCCTCAAAGAAGAAATCATTAACCCAAACCATGTTGTCGACCTTGCGCTTTGCAAATGTCATGAGGGGCGAGTTTTTGTTGAGCTTGGCGATCTTCATCAAGTCGTTGACGGCCCCAAGGGGCAATGGAGCGGTGATCTGGCGAGACCAGGTAGATTTCACGGGGTCTTTGCGCGTCTCGAGTTTCCAAGGATTCTTAGTACTGCTGGCGATATTGAATTCCTGGCCGGTTTTTGGGTCCCATTTTTTCTGTTTAAACGATAGTCAGTCACTATATCCATGACCCTCCCGTTCAGTCGCTGGGTAGATCCTTACCAGATCCTGGTAGACTTCCTCTGCTGCCACCGCAGCTCTCCCAGTCCCCAGTTTGATCTTCCTTCCGTCCAAGATATACTCCGCAGTCAGTCGTCCCACGCTGCTTCCAGTGGAATCTGCCGTCAATTCCCAATCTTTACCAGAGAACTTGGCACTGTTTCCTCCCTTGCCGGCTTGCATTACAGCCGCCTTGCCTTTGGCATCAAAGGTAGCTTTTTTCAGGGCCTCTAATTCCTTCGCCGACAAACCGTGTGTTTCTTTGGTGAAATGGATGGTGGATGACTCGAACTCAACGCCGATACCCGGGGAGGCTATGCCTGCGCGCGGAACGAGGTGGTCATCAATGGGTGTGGCAGTACCGAATCGAAGAGAAGAGAGCGACAAAAGGCATATAGTCGCATAGCTCCAAGTGAGAGTGCCAGGATACATGGTGTGCGTGGATAATACAGAATTTGAAGGAGAGTATTTGCGAGATGTTCTGTTTCAATGATCTTATTTCACATCTTGACCACTTCAACATGGTGCTTTATATACCCTAGCATGCGAAATGCGCTTTACTGAAAGTATCTCGGCCCCCAGTTACCATTGTCTTGAAGCCTTCTCAGCCCCCAGTCTATCACAGCCGTAAGGCTATAACGGCCACAGCTCATATTGGCCCCAAAGCTATCACAGCAGTACAGCTATAGCGGCCCCCAAATTATCACATACCTGAAGTTTTGACAGTCCACTCTTGAAGGCTGTACCACTGTAGACGCTGCGATAGCCCAACTACATAGTGCGCCTGCTCCTAAAGCCACTAACGGTTGATCTCCAATGTCCCAATTCTATTCAATATGCAGTCGTAACATACGTTATTTATACAAGAAGAGGCTGTACTCCACGTTGCTTTGCCTTACTGATATGATACGAATCGACCAATCAATTACATGTCTTACGCTTTGTGTAGGCCGTTGTACAGCCCCTGAGCTAGATTAAAAAACACCCCCATAAGGGTTCATGCATCTTACAAGTAGGCAGAAATTGAATGTGAAAAGGCCCCAATCAGACTCCACAAGGACCCTGTATAAACCCCCACGTAGGCCCTGGAATGGATGTCAAAGTGTTCCCAGTGGACCACATGCATGTTACATGTAAGCGGAAATTAAATGTGAAAAGGGCCCCCATCGAGGCTGGTGGGACCCTGGACTGGATTTGAGACAGCCCCCATCAGGCTCTACATGGACCCTTGTATAGAACCTCACGTAGGAACTCCATTGGCGTTCATCTAAATCCCTGTATAGGCCCCCACGTAGGCCCCTACATAAGCCTCTAAGTAAATCCCAAGGAAAGCCCTCATTGAACTTCAAGTAAATCCTTGAGTGGGCCCTAATTTAACTCGAAAAAACAGATCCCTGGATGACCCCCCACGTAGGCCCCACATAGATCCTGGCCCAATCACATGACCTTGATCATGACCAAAAATAACGCATGATCTCTTTCTCAACATGTCAGCATATTTGGAAAACCCCTTCACATCTCATCATGCACACCATCCCTACAGAAATCCTTATCCGAATATACGGGGACCTCCCTGTTCCAGACGTGCTCCACTTATCCGCGACTTGTCATCGACTCCGCCAGGTCTTGGATGAACATACGCCTACTATCTATAAACGTCTACGCCGACAGATCAAATGTGAACGACATGCGAGAGCCGTACTGGCAGATCAAGGGATTCTGCCGCTTAATTCCCCTTCAGTGACTATCCGGCACCTTCTACAATTACAACGGAACTTCCGCGTCGTAGAGAAGGCGATCGTTGTATTTGATCGGGAGGTCACAGCGAACATCCACAGTAAGCAGAACATAACTCTACGACGTCTTGGACTAAACCCATATCCCTAGTTTCCAACCCGAGTTTCAACAACAAATTCTACGGAGGAAAACCCCGTCCATTACATCTAACCCCAACAGAACGTCATCGGTTCATCCGGAGCTACTACCAAGTCTGGAGTCTTCTACTCCTCGATCGACCATCTCGAGAACACCGACTCCGAACTACCCTCCTGAAGGATCTATATCTGATCTACGAGATGTGCGATTTCTGGGAGCCGTTTGATGACGAAATGGATTTCCCCTCCCTTGATGAGAAACGAAGTGAACTCATTGATCAAGTGTTCGACTATTCCCGGTATCTCTACTACCATATTCATGAACAAGACTATATGGGTATTTCGGGGGCGGATGTTGAGTTGCAGACCCGAGGCCATGCGGCTATTTGGGACCATTGCCAGCCGGATTTTAAGAGGATTGTTTGTTGGGAGTGGTGCGATCCAGACAAGAAGCCGGTGAGGGAGGAAGAGGTGTGGGAGAATACGACGGATGAGGAATGAGTTTATCCTTTTACATTATGTATCTAGCTGTATGTACTAGTAGTACCGGGATGAGATATAACTTCACTCGTGGCCTGGGGCCTGTGCTTATCCGTCTGTTTCAGCCGCTGATCTTGTTTTCTTATATTCTCGGGCTATACGGTTACTCGGATACAGTCATACTTACATAGTATCTTACATAGCGAAGTGGAGGGCTGATGACCGATGTCCTGTGTCAGGCTACATCACGTGCTGGGCAGCTACGGCTTGTCTTTGGGTTAGTCGTGGATCTTCCGAGAGACGTTTCGTGAAAGAGCAGATGCATCAAGCTGATAGGTATGCTGAATTGGCTGATGGTGTGACAGGTTTATTGCGGTAGATTATGACGTAGTATAATGAGATATATATAACTATTGGCCCTCCTCTCGACTCCGATCATACATCCTCCCGTAGGATGCTGATCAGCCATAGTGAGTAGATCAGATACATACGACGGTACATTATCTAAAAACAATCATAAATTAGAGTCGGTGGAACTTTTCCATGAAAGAAGTAAGATGATAAACATTGAACAGTCAGGCTGAAATTCATACACCTTCCATTGGCCGTTGTGTTCATAGGACAGAAAGGATACAATGAACTAGATCACTCTGCAATACAAAACACATATACGCACTTGAGAAACCAAGAGAGATCTCTCTCTTAATCCTGCACTCCATACCAGTCTTCCAACACTTTATCTAATAATACATTGCCAATAAATACCGCCAGTCGGCGGGTCATTTGTCGCTAGAATAGCCGTATCGACTGGGGTATAGCCTTATCAACACCGGCAAAATGCAATATTATTCATTGTAATTCAAGGGAAAATCCGATCACGCCCTGTGACACCGGTCTTAAATCGGATAGGGAGTGTTTTCCCCGAGCTTCATCCGACGGCCGAAAGTCTGTAAGGTTGCTTCCAGGCCTATCCGAGCTCCATCAGAGGGTATCCCAGGATGTCAGCCCTAGCTCCTCGCGGTTGGCTACTATTAGGGAAAAGGCTTGTTATTCCCGTGTGATCGCCATAGGCTCGGAATGGTGCAAGCAATATCCATTCAGAGTGGTTTAGTTTGTCTAGCTTGTCATATGTGACAGCTGTCAGGATTCCTAAGATGTGGTCTATGCAGGCAGGCGATCTGGTCCGATACACACCTACGAAGTAGGTACCTGCTCCGGGTAAACGGGTTGGACGGCGGGTGAACCTGCCGCACGGGTGGGGCGGGGATTCAAGCACCGTTCGGAGAATCTCCGGGGGATGTAAATGGGGATACCGCTCTAAAGGGGTGAGAAATTAGTACAAGGGTGTCCGCTGATTCTGCTCGCCTCTCCGCGTCTTCTACCTCCGCTCGAAGAGACAAGCCGAATCGCAGGCAGCAGCAGCATTTCAAGCCCAGACAACACATCCCAATCACCAAGACAAATCACTACAAACCACCACAACAAACAACAGATATTAAGATGTATCTCAACCACCCCATGATCCTGAGAATCCTATTTAACCCTGACAGCCCCTGATCCCGTGTTCTTATTATTTATTTATTAGAAATAAAAATCACAGATATATTATCTCTGAAATTATAGATACTACTATCTTATTTTCACAGTAAATAAACAAAGCTGTAAGACATATTTTATTTTCTAATTAAATGTCACGGTGCAACCTCCCAAGCCGGAAAGAGAGAAATACTGCCGAGTCTGACCGCCCAGCACGTGACCCCTAGATACAGTCAAAAGCCATCTGTCCCCTGGACCTCGTTCGTAGCCTCGAGCTACGTCTTGTCTATCAGCCTGTATATAGCCTGACCAGTAGCCAGCCCAGCGCCCAGTTAGAATACCAGTCGTCGTTATCGCTCGAACCTTGCCCGCCCGCCAGAATCCACTATTCTACCACCCCTGCCTGCCCGCACCTTGACAGTGTTAGTATAGTTAGCTCTCCTCTCTACGCTTAGTTTTTTATGAAATAACCACCAGCAAGTTCAGGTCTTGATTGTCTGCGAGGCGATAGTAACAACGACCTGGCTGGCCATTGGCAACTCGGTAGGAGTACTCTGAAGAGTCTATCTTCAAGGATAAGACATAAATCAGTCAATCAATCAATCACTCAGTACAAGGATGTCAGACTGATGAAAGACTACTTGGCTAGGTTCGGAGAATTCTTAACACTGGATAGGCTTAGTTGGTGATATTTTCAAGGCTGACACTTGAATCTGGAACAATTGGAATATGTGATAAATCCTGATACTACTAGATTAGCTTTATATATGACTGAAAATTATATTCGAGAAAAACAATCTTCAAAAATCTCTAATTCTCCAAATACTTTAATTATCCTAAGAAACACACTACGATCTAAAGAAAATATGGTCACATTTATTAATTAATTATAATACTAACTGATCCGCTATAAGACTAATTGATCTTATAATATGATTAAAATCATGACACCATTTCATTTTCTAACATCACACTAATTTCTGACCCCCTCACAGCCGAGGTTTTGGGTGTAATCTCTGAGCAGCATCCCGCGCCAACTGCTTACATGCACATAATCAGGGTTACATCGTTCAAAAACCTGCATTAGCTCGTTCAGCCGCTAAGAGGACCGGCCCGGACTGGACGCTTCTTCCGCAGCCTGATGCTTTCCGGTTTGCCGGGATCCAAGTATCTTTTCCGACAGAAAGAATTGTTTGGTAGAGCCAATGCGGCACCCCGATTCCAGCGGACTAGCAGTACAGCAGTAATGGGAATTCAGATATCTTCACTAAGAACAATATCCGAGACGTCCCGTGGAGATAAAGCATCATTGCTTGGCATTTTTCTACACGTAACTGCGAAGTAATCCACACCTCTTTTCTCTCTCATGTTACAAAAAATCTTCGCAATCATAAAGATCCATCCTTATACTTCCGCCACCAATCCCCCTTCAACCACATCGTCTCACTCATCTCCTTGTACGGACTTCCCTCCGGACAGAACCGATACCGATCCAACTCGCGGAACCCTTCCTCGCGGATCTCGCCAATATGGCGCCAGCATGCCGTCTGCTCAAGTGCCCATCGTTCCAACTGCCTAAAATCGCGACACATGCGCACCTGACCCAGCCCACTCTTCTGATTGGGTTGGAACCCCGTGTAGCGCGGAGTGTCATCGGCATCACACATAATCTCGTCTCGAAGTACAAGCAAGCAATGTTGCACGTGAGCCCACGGGGAGCTCTGTGGTCGGGCATCGCGGAACTCAACCAACGCCGTGCGTAGGGTCTTGACGCAGTGCAGGTTATGGTAGCCGTTGATCAGATATATGCCCTTGTCATTGTCCCAGGGGAAGCGCTGGGCACGAGGAAGCCCCACGGCACGCGCGAAGTCGTCAGAGAGGGCAATGTTGCCCAGGTCGTAGCTGGTAGCGTCCCATAGGGCGTCTTGCTCGGTGTCGTTGAGCGCGTCGTTGGGCCCCCAGGCAAGGGGAACAGTCCGGGTAAGACCAGCTGGAGAGGGGGTTTGGATTATCAGATTTAGCCGTGGTAATGGAGGGTCAAATTCTACTTCACAATGTGTAGATGATGGTACGTACCGTATTTTGAACGCTCCACGGAGGGAAAGATAGGTTTGGGTTGCAGGAACACAATGATGACGAGCAGAACATTGGCCGCAATTGACACAATAAGCGCAATTCGGAGTCGGCAGGCTTTCCTGGATGGTCCGATGTGGGAGCTGTTCGTGCTGCTCTCATCATTGGCGTCACCATCCCTGTCCTCGATGGGCTCGAAGACGGGTACTCGTAAATACTTTCCCATGGAGACCTTCATAGCTGAGATTGTAGGGACAGGGAAAGGCCAATAATGAGCGTGGGACAACAATTGGGGGCGAGGCATTTTCTCCTTTTAAGTCACCCCTGGTGCAAGACGCTGGGGCCAAATGGAGCACAGACTCCGCCCCCATTTAGACCAGATGCCAAACGATCCTTTGAGTGGTCAATGCCATGGTCTGCTTGTGTGGCGGTAGGAAATGCTCCATCCATATCTAGCCCTTGTGAGGGGCTACTTCAATATTTCCCTTGCACCGCGCTACCGTAACCTGGGCATCAACTGCATAGTATAATTTGTTCGGACTACAATACATGATCATGACCCAATTGCAATCTTCCAACAAACAACTCCCCATTCCATGGCCCTCCTCTCCAGCTCACAAGTCCGCCTGAGGACTGGGGTCCTCGCCAGTCGCATGGATCTCCGCCTTCCAGCTAGCTTCGTCGCTCATTTGATATTTCTCGACGGCTTCACTGAATGTTAGTTACCATGTCACGGAAACAATGTTGAGAAAGATGAGAATGGGGCAGATCGTACAGGTATCAGTCTCCAAAGGAAGGGCAACAGCTGCAGCCAAGAGGTAGAAAAGTGAGAGGAATTTGTAGATAGTCGCCATTGTAACTGCGTGGAGAGTGTGCTTTCAATCGCTGATACGAAATGCAGAAAGTAGAGACCGAGAGATGAAAGGAAACAGCGGCCGATTGCCAGTAGACAGTGATGATTATTTCCAGCCCCCAACCCGTCTCCCTGGTCATTCTTATATGCATCATTTCGGACTTGGCCCGCCCTGGTTCCCCTGCGTTTCCCCTCACTTTGCCTTATCACACTGCCTAGGCTAGCCACTTTCGCTTTTGGGTCATGTCATATCAGTTTGGGGGCCAAATGAAGCCCTCTCTTGAAGCTGGATGGTTTTAAAGGCCCAAGATTGCCATTGTTCCATGATCGTCACCATTGAACATCATCTCGGGCTCTCAGATAATGTCCACCAACGAGCTATCCATTTCCTTCGTTCCCCCAGCGCCGTGCTGGCGGCGGCCATTGCTCTGCCCTGTGTAGGAACTTTCAGTGTATGTGTCCGACTTGCTCTTCGCTGGAAGATGGAGAGATCTATTGGAGTCGACGATTGGTTGATCCTGGCAGCACTAGTATGTGTGTCCCCATTCACCGTGCTTGCTCGTTCCCACCTAGAAAGGTATCATCCTAACCATTGGAGAAAATAGGTCTTTGTCATTGGCATGGGCGCTGTTCAAATATACGGTGCGTGTTCAAAGCAATCCTTCGGAGTGGGTCAGCCTTCAAACGTATCTAATGCTCTCTTTTTCTTTTCTCTCTAGGCGTGGTCGAAGATGCATTGGGCTACCCAACTCCACCCTTTGCTAGCGAAGAGGCCGAGTTGACTGAACTTTCCAGCGCCCAGAGAATAGTCGAATTGGTAAAGCCCACCCACTTCCCCTCTTGTGCATTGCACCTGCTAACCGATTTTGGCAGGTTGATTGGATTACTTGGGTCTTGATGACCCCAGCCAACGGCCTCATTAAATTGAGCTCTCTCTTTCTTTACCGGCGTATATTTGCGGTGGGTCATGAGAGGGTCTTTGGGATGGTGAGCTGGGCTCTGATCGGCCTGTGCGCGCTCTGGACGCTCGCCTTCTTCTTTGCGACTATCTTCGGTTGTGGACGACACTTAGCATATCCGTGGGGGCCACTGGGGGAAATTGGCAGCTGCAACACTAATGCACGCCTGGAGGCGATGATGATAACGGACCTGATTACTGATGTGCTCGTCTGGGTCCTACCAGTACCAATGGTGAGTTCTGATTGAATCAGCCCTGGTCAGCAAACAAACCCTCATCACGTCGTTGCGTTGTTTTTAGGTCTGGCGGACGCAAATGAAATTCGAGCGCAAAGTAGCCGCGACGAGCGTTCTCCTGCTAGCCACCATGTAAGGCTAACCTGACCGAAACGATGACGTGAGCTGATGAATCGAACTTGTCAGATCGCTGGCCGCTGCTGTTGTGCGACTCATTGTTCAGGGACAGATTAGCAACGGGGGATATGCCGCGCATACTGACGTGGACCGTACGTTTCCCCTTTTTTCTTTCTTTTTTTTTTTCCCCCGCGCGCGCGCATCCCACAACTACTAAAACTGGGGTAGAAACCCTGACAATTCTTCTGTACTGGAGCATGATCGAATCCGGTCTAGCATTGATTGCGTCGTGTCTCCCCACCATGCGTCTCCAGACGGCCTGGAAAAAAGCCTGCTCAGCCTTCGTTCAGCGGCCGGAGATGACCTTGCCCTCGTCGCATGACATGACCCCAGCAGAAGGCAGTGGCCGGAAAGGACGGATGTCGATCTCGCTGGGCTCCACCTTGGTGCAGCAAAAAAGCCACTCGTCGCAATTTGTCCCACTTATCGAAGTGGGCCGGTTCAAGGGCCACGGCAGTGATGAGGAGGCGGGCAGGGCAACCTAAGGTCCTAAACAGCCATCTTCTTAACCATGTACATATCTAGTAGATACTACTATGGCCTTGTAGCTAGCGGGATTACTTGAGGGCGCAAATAGGCTACTGTCTAATAGATGTTGGTTTTGTGCGCAAAGCCCCGAGTGACACGATGTAACATTGCCCCAAACAAGCCCTGGCCAGGTGGGCTCAGATGGAGACGATTCACCATACATAATCTAGTATTTTCCACGCTGGCCCTTCAATTCATCTCATCATCAGCCAAGCACCATGCCCAGTTCCAACTCTTCCTCCGTGGCCCCCTCCCCAGCCAGCTTCCATCTGGCAGACGGACTGGGATATGCCCTTCAACAAAGTCACCGATCGGTGATTCGCTTGAACCTGCAGCACTTCCTGTGGCGCCAAGTGTTTGGATACAGCATCCATCCTTCGATCCCCACCACCCCGGCGCTTAGCAAGGTGGTGGATGTGGCCTGCGGCACGGCCCTTTGGCTGATCGATGTGGCCCACGAAAATCCCAATGGCATTCAGCTTGACGGGCTGGATCTGGATCTTACCCAAGCGCCGCACCCGGCGTGGCTGCCGTCCAATGTTCATCTCGACCAGTGGGACCTCTTTACCCCCGTGCCCCAGCACCTGCAGGAGCAGTATGATTTGGTTCACGTTCGACTCTTGGTGCTGGTTCTGTCCGGTCTCGATCCTCTGCCGGTTATCCGACGGCTCTATCAGCTGGTCAAACCGGGAGGCTACCTGCAATGGGATGAATTGGACTGCGTCAACATGTGCATCAAGAAGGTGGACCCTTCCATTGCTGCGCCCGCATTAGAGGAGATTCGAGTGGGCTCGCATGCGGACGGTCGCCATGATTGGGTCTTGGATCTGCCGCGTCTGCTGGCCGAAGCCGGCTTCGAGGAAGCGACCATCGATCACTACGATGAACCCCCCGAGATGGTTCGCGCTTTCAATGACCAGCATTTGTTGACCATGGAGGAGTTTGCCACGAGACTGGCGGGACAGGGCCAACACAAGGCTGCCGCTCGATTCACCCAGCTTATCCAGGTGGGCTACCAGGAATCGGTGAATGGGGCGGCCCTTTCATTTCCGCGGGTGGTGGTGGTGGCTAAGCGACCGGCGTGAGGACCGGACTCCGACGGAGGATAACCAGGGTTCATGTATCTAGTCTGTAGACCCGTAGGGGGGGGGGTTCTCAGTCGTTAGGTAGATAGGATGGGTGGAAGTGCTAGTCTCTACGCTAGAATTTAGTGCTGATGGCGACGGATTGCCCTTCGGATAGGGCTAGCTAGGGTTGTCACACCAATAGACACCGTCTTCTGTTCTCCACCCTTCCCCCTCTTCATTGACTCAACCCATACAAATAATGGTCCGGGCTGTGGCCCTGGTGTTTTACTTTCCGCCCCGGGCCAACTTGTGAGATGAAAACTGAGGATCCTGAAATCACCGCAGGCGGGGATGCGAACAGTCCCCCATCGCCTGACCCGCCGGGAAATGTAGTCGATCCGACCCGGTGGCCACTTTGGCGGAAGTGGTCGATTGTCGTTTGTATCGCCCTGATGTATATGCTGGCGTAAGTGTCACACCTCCTATGTCTGATTAGCGTTCCTTGCGTTAACAATCTTAGGAACTTCGGAACGATCATCATTGTGCCCGGAGTACCCCGGATTCTATCCGATTTCCACGTCTCCCGAGATCATCTATACGAACCCCTCATTGTCTCAATCTGGGAACTGGGGGAGGGCGTGGGATCGTTCCTGGTCGGACCCTTATCCGAGCAATACGGTCGCAGCGTCGTCTATCACGGGGGCAATGTACTCTTCATCCTCTGCTCTGTGGCGGCAGCCTTGAGCGTCAACATCGGCATGCTAGTAGCCTTTCGCTTCATCAACGGCCTCGCCATCACCACCATCACCCTCGCCCCCAGTATCACCGGCGATCTCTTTGTCCGGGAAGAGCGCGGCGCCGCCATGGCACTGGCCATCACCCTCCCTCTCATCGGTCCCTGCGCGGCCCCGATCGTAGGCGGATACGTGACTAGTGACCTCGGCTGGCGCTGGGCGATCTGGATCATCGCCATTGCAGTGGGCAGTGTGTCCCTCTGCTCCTTGATCGTGATGAAAGAAACCTACCGGTTCAAAATCGCCCAAGACCAGCCGGCCTCGCCTGGTGGTAGTCCGCCCCGCGAGCCCAAACTGCAAACCCTACTCCGCCCCATGCGCCTGCTCTTCTCCTCCCCCGTCGTCCTAGTCACTTCCCTATATACAGCCCTCACCTACGGCATCTCCTATCTCATCCTCACCACCCTCTCAGAGATCATGCACGACATCTACAACTTCAGCCAAGGACCCGTCGGACTCACCTTTCTCGGTCGAGGTACTCACCCCCCTGCTCACCCCACCCACCCCTCCTCACTAACCCCCCTTAACCACCAGCAATCGGGAACCTCATCGGCCTAGCCATCTACGGCCTCACCTCAGACCGCTACCTGCAGCATCGCCGCCAGAAAACCGGCCGCTCACTCCCCGAAGACCGCCTCCCACTCATGCTCCTAGGCACGATCCTCCTCCCCACCGGTCTATTTCTCTACGGCTGGTCATCCCACTCCCACATCCACTGGATCGTGCCACTCATCGGAACCGGCATCGTGGGAGCCAGTCTAATCCTGACCCGGCTACCCACGGAGAATTATCTCGTCGATGCGTTCGACCCGGATGGCACATCGGCGTCGGTGCTGGCTGCCAACGCCACTCTGAGCGCGCTGTTCGGGGCCCTGTTCCCCCTTGCCGGGCCATCGCTGTACCGTACCCTCGGCGTCGGGTGGGGGAATTCCCTTCTGGCTTTCATTTCGTTGGCGTTTTTGCCCCTGTTCACGGTCCTGTGGATACATGGGGAGATATTGCGGCGGGAGGGCTGGGGGTATTTGTGGGTGATTGTGGAGCCTTGGTTCCAAGGGACACATCAGAGGGGTTCTGGTGGTCTTGAAGGAGAAAGATACCATGCTGAAGATGAAAATTCCGGGGATGGAACGCAGCAGGGTCGAAGGGAGGGAGAGAAACATGCTGTTCGAACACATCAGCAGGGTGTGCGGGATGTATGACGCTTGTGTTCAGGCGAAGACCATCGCCATTTATGAATTGATCTTTTGCGGGTCTGGCGTGGGTAAAATCAAGACTGCCCCTGCGTCAAAACGGGGCATTCCTCTTGGATGTCAGATCATTGCTTTTGTCCTTCAGCACAGTCACTCGGTGCATGGTTATATGTAAATTCCTGGTGCAGAGTAGTATGGTAAGGGTGGCTGTTACTAAATATATATAATACTGTCAACCGCATTAGATCAATTCCAGTATTTGTAGAATGCAGTCAACTGAACAAGCTATGCTGTTGGCATCCGTGTATCCTAATAACAAACAGACTATAGATTTTGGTTGCTTATTATTTTCTAGAATAAAGTCTTTATAAAGTACTCAAGATATGTCGGGATGCAGTCTTCGCTTCGTCTGTTCTCCAGATGGCCAGCGGTATATCATTTTGGCGTACTGGTAAATAACGCGACAAGATATAGACCCAAAGAAACAATCCCGAGCTTAAGGTGCTCCCCGAACCAATTCCAAAATTCAGGGAGTCGATGGGGATATTCTAGAGTTACAAGGCACCGTGGTAAGTGGAAAGTGTGTAGAGAGAGAGAGAGAGCAAGCCAGGTCACATTGTCTTCAAAGGGGTGGAGTGTGTACCAGTCAAAGTGGTTGCTTTGGATCCAAGGCAATGGACTTCCCGTGACGAGCTGGCGATTGTTATGTCTGAATACATTATCTACTCAGTCAGTCTATCTCTATCACCATAACCACAATCTATAAACCAATCAACCCCGCCACCATCACTCCCATCATTCCCATCTCAAAACTTTTCCTCCCCGGTCACCTTCGTCCTCCCCTCCTCCAAAACAACCAACCACAAGCTCTCAACCCCAAGAACCAAGGTACTCCCCGTAAATACCTCCAACGGAGCCACCCACCCCTCCAACGCCCCAACTGCTCCCTCGCACTCCCCTCCCCATTCCTATTCCCCCTCCCCACCCCCAAAATCTCCTCCACCCCGACCCCCACCAACCCCGCCAGACCCCCGTATCCACCACCTCGGCCCTCAACCCCCTATCCATCAACCACTTCTCCGTCGCGGCCGCCGCATACGCAGCCGCCCTCTCCCTCGGCGTCTGCGGCTTCTGCGTAACAGCACGCACCGCACCCCCCGGCAAACTAACCGTCGCGCCCACAGCCCTCAATGCCGTTCCCACCGGTAACCGAATCGCCCCGCCCACTACCCCGAACGCGGCCTTTACGTAGTTCCCCTCTTTCGCGGCCCCCTGGATGTTGGTCCTGATGCTGCGCGCGTGGTCGCGCGTGCCGAGCGCGAACCGTTTCGGGCCGGACATGATGTGCCGCCCCATGTCGGCGGCGTGGGAGAGGGCTTTTTCGGAGACCCGGGCGGCCAGGAATGCGGAGAGGGTGGTCAGGAAGCCGCGCCATGAGGAGGGGGTGATGCCGTATTGTAGGAGGGAGGGGGAGTAGGCGTCTAGGAAGGGGGCGGTGGGGGTCGTGGTGGTTTGGGGGATGGCGATGAGGTGGGTGAGATGGGTGAGATGGGTGGATGAGATTGAGGCTGAGGCTGAGGTTCGCTTGGAGGAAGGTCCGGGGGGGAAGTTGAAGGGTGAGTCGGCGGTGGGGTAGCTGTAGTTGTAGTTGGGGGGGACGACTTCGGGGAGGTTTTCGTCGAGGGGTTTCTGTGGGGGGATGACCTCGGAGAGGTTTTCGTCTGTTCTTTTGTTGGGCATTGTGTGGGTGGTGAGGTGGTGAGGGGAGTTGGGAGAGGGAGAGGGAACGGGAAAGGGAAAGGGAAAGGGAAAGGGGTTTGTGTTGGTGTTGGTGTCGGTGTCGGTGTCGGTGGTGGTGGATACGAGGTCGAATGTGAGGCAGCCAATAAGAGATCGGGATTACGACTATAGCTTGTGGTACTAAGATGATGGTGCCATGGGCTTGTTGCTTCCTGCGTTCACACACTGAGATTTGGAGATGTCGTTTATACATAAGTTGGATTGGGGTTTTATATCCTACCAAGAGCGGGAAAAGTGACATGACGGAGGCCGCGGAGGCCGCGGAGAACAGGAGAGCGTTTTTGATGGGACCACCCCGACATAATATCCAGATATTCCTACAATATGGCTACAGCACAGCAATAGTGGCCATTTAACCCAATTGCATAAAAGTAACGAATAGAAATCTATTCACGGTACACTTCTACCCCGCATGTCTATAAAGAGCGGGGAACAATCGAATGCGGCCATTGGAGTGACAACCCTAGCCCTACGCAGGGTCTCTCGCCACCAGTACTAGTCCCGACGTTATGCATCAGCATATCTTATCGATCTACTGCGTAATGCATGACTGATATCCCTAGTGCATATCTGATGGTACATCTGTCATTCCCATCAATTTCATTATTTCCACCATCTACTTCTAACCATAATCCGAACTAATACACAGACTATTAATCTGAAGATCTCCCCCTCCACTCCTCCACCCTCACAATCCAATCCCTCACCAGCGCCTCAAACACCCCCATCTCATCAACCGGAAGCCCATGGGTCCCCCGATCCAGCACCACAAACGTCGATCTCGGATACAGCTCCAACAAGCGAAGACTATCCCGATACCCCACGACCCCATCATGTCTCCCACAAACCACCAACGTCGGAGCAAAGAACTTCGCCCCCTCATCATCCAACCCAACCGACAAGCGATACCGATCCGGATCTTCTCTAATCGGATCCAACACTGCACTATCTGAGGCTTCCACCGCCGGATCCCAAACCCGCTGGTACTTTGTCTTCAACGCCTCGACATACGCAGGCGTTTGCACGAGAACATTCCCCAACCGGGACTGATCTTCATCCGAGAGACTCTCCATGACCTGCTCATCTGCAACCACGGGCTCGAAAGTATCCAGATCGCGCTTGCTATCCGTAGGCTCGATAAGAGGTACGCGTAACAGTAACCCATCCACCTGGGTGCTGTATTTCAGGGCTATAGCGCGGGCAAGATACCCGCCGCATGAGGAGCCAGCGACTAGGAATCTTGACGTCCCGAGACGAGAATCAATGAATTGCACTAGCCGGTGATAGATGTCATCTAGATCCTTGACGTTGTTTGCAGGGGTTGTGCCCATGCCTGGCAGGTCCACATAAATGCGAAGAAAGCCGGGTATTTTGCTGAATATAGGCTCGAGGTCTATTGCTTCGGCTGTTCCGGAGAGTTGCCAGCCGTGGATGATTAAAACGGGCAGGCCTTGGCCGATTTCGCGTGCAGTGATTAGACTCGGTTCCATTTTAGTTGATGGGGAGGGAGTGGGGTTGGAGGAGGCGTAATTGGAGAATATTGAATCCAATATGTAGAGATTGGTGGCTGCCAGTGGGTGCGAAGAAACAGCCATGATAATTGCGACATTGTGTCACGTGATATCAGCACTTTGCAAACGTGGCTCGTCCTAAGATAACCTCTTCAAGCCTGCTTCTAGCATCATCCGACCAATCATTAGTAATGATAGTTTAATCCCGTGTCGTTCTCCACCGATTGCTTCGAATCACGTGCGTCTCTGACACCACCCAGGTCGTATTCCAGCCTCGGTATAGTTGGTGCCTGATTTCTTGGGCTTCAGCCCGGACTCGGGCCGGTGTCGGCTGACTACAAAGGATAAGATGTTGGAACCTATTCACCTTGGAATTGTTCCACTAACAAAAGATGTATCTCTTTTGGTACAGTTGGGAAATTCTATCATAATACCCCTGGAGGATATGTGTCTAAAGTTTAAGCATCTCACGACTGAGCAAGGCAAGTTGACTAAAAGCTATCGCTGAGTGCTAGACAGTCCTTATATATCAACAAAAAGTGAGGCCAAGGGCTGCAAGAGACCCCATAACGATATACATGTAATTCATGATAATCCACCAATATACTTCTCACACCATCGACCAATCCGCACCACCATATCCACCCAATACGTCTGCTCCTCAAACACATGTCCCTGCGAAGGATAAACGACCATTTCAAAAGGCAATCCGTAGCAACGTAGCGCGCGACGCAAGCCCCATGCCTGCGACACATGGCACCGAGCGTCCGCCTCGCCATGTAAAATCAACATTGGTGGCACAACAATGTCATTCTCAAGAGATGTTGCATGTTTGAATGCCCACAAGGCGCTCGCAGCGCGATTACGCGTGTCATTGGAGTCCATATTCCAGGCCACGCCATCTCGCGAGAGTTCCGGCTCAAAGACAGCCCCAAGGTCGGAGGTCAATGCCATGGCATCGATATCGCAGATGCTGGCACCGGATATGGCGGCTCGAAATCGCCAACCACCATCGTGCAAGTCATTGCGCACGCTGCATATATTGGTTAGAAACCCGCCTTGGCTCCAGCCACCCACGAGTAGTCTTTCTTTGTCCGCTAAGCCCTGATCTATCGCGCATTGGGTGAGCGAGATTATATCTGGATAGTCGTATACCCCAAGTCCGCCGATGGAGTAGGATTCGAAACGCTGCCCGCGACCACTGCTTCCGCGGTAGTTTGGTAGCAGGACTCCGAATCCGAGTGATAGTAGGTATGGGGTAAACATGTAGTTGAAGGCGTTGGTCAGGCGAGTATTGGGCCCGCCGTGGATAAGCACCGCGGTGGCTAGCGGGCGACGGGAGGTATCGGAAGAGGTCGGCGTCAAATAAAGGGCATCTAGCTCCACCTCGCCGTCGGTGGACATGCAGGTCAGAAAGTTGCATGTCCCGAAATTACGGCCTGCAAACGCTTGGCCGTGGTTCGACATTTGCGTCATCGTGCTGGCGGATGAGAGCGTGCTGAAGACCTCGGCAGGGTGGTTGATATCCGAAGTTGCGACGGCAAGAACATGATTGCCGTCAGGAGTAATTGCAGCGTCGAATGCTTCGAGCTCTTCGTTTCTCTTGTACAGCACCGTGCCATCGAGTAGACACACGCGAGACTCAAGCCGATGCTGCACGTTGACGAAAACCGAGCCATCACCACCCTTGACGAGACCGATGGAGTCATCTTCTACTCCAAACCCAGCCCACTCATATTGATTGACATCAGCGTTAGGATCAGTATGATACACGCCGTAGCCCGCGAACGCCTTATTGGCAGGTACTCCTCCGCAAAAGTATAGAGACCCATCAGCAGCCCATGTCAAGTCAACAACCATCCTGGGAAAGTGGCACACGTCTTCAACGGAGCTAAAGTCGATGTCAACAACTGACAGGGTCGTTCCTGTTATATGAGGCTCTTCGATATCGGGCGACAGACAACTAGAAAAGGCAATTCGGGTCCCATCAGGGCTCCAAGAGATGCCTGTTACATGCCTGTCGAGCTGGGCACATCGGACTTGTTTGGTACGCAAGTTAAGAATTCTCAGGCGCGTAGATCGCCAATCCTCACCCCAGGGCCGCACGATGGGAGCGTCCTCTTCTGCTGAGACAGATTCATCTGCCGAGAGGAAGGCAACATGGGTACCATCGGGTGAGAAAGCGAACCTTTCAATTGGACTTTCGTTCGTTACCGGGGTAATGGGGTATGCCTCCCCGCCCGGTTGCAATGGTAGGAGATATATAGCCCACTTGGAGCCAGCAGCAGCACGATCAGAAATGAAGGCCACTGCCTTTCCATCTGGGGTCCATGCGGGGGCGTGGTCGCGAAAGAGGCCTGGGGTGAGTTGCAGTGATGAGTCTGCATGGCCGGTGGAGGCCAGCCAGAGGGTAGAAACGGCGTGTTTGCCTTTTCGATGACCCCAAGTGAGTTCTGTAGAGTAGAGGATCTTTGAGCGGTCCGGGGAGAGCCGGATGGTCTTTGGGATCTCCAGGTCGCATAGTGACTGGATGAGCTGTGAGTTGGCTTCGGGCATTGTGACATGCAGAGATTTGCAAGTAAATAGCTGTGAGCGGGTTACACTTGTGAATCTAACCCAACCAGCCCTGCGGTCATAGGCTATGATTTATTATGTAGCCTTGTAAACCTGATATATTATCGCTGTTTTTCTTGGCGGAGTAAGAGATAGCAGTCAGCAAAATAATGTTGCCTGCCTGACAGACCTAGAGTCCACAAAGATAAGATAGGCACCAAGATTTACAGCCGCTTTCGTGGATTAAGCATTTGAGGTGAGATTGAAACACTTGAGTGAGATGACAAAAAGAGGGGTGTTAAGCACCTGCCTGAAAAAGCATGATCCTTCAAGCCACCCACGCCACACTCCCGGACACCTTCGGAGACTGGACTATAGAATGGTTTATCAATGATATCACTGACCCACAGGCCTAAATTATTTAACAAGCTCACTCTACTAGTACACAGTATGGATTATGTGATTGGTCGCTGCTAACATGCGCTAAAATGTATCCACAATGGCAAGAGGAGTAATACATACATTAATCTCTAGCATCAAGTAATGTTGACTGTGCATAGTCTACCCAAATGACATGAATCCTATTTTCCAGCAGAGAACAATAACCTTTCTCACCATATATTCTCAAAAAGAGATAGGTCTGGTACATACGACCACAGGGTGTGGAGAACAGGGCTTCCCGTCCGCTCAGCCGTACTTAAGCCACACGCCGGGAGGTTAGTAGTTGGGTGGGTGACCACCAGCGAATCCCTTCTGTTGTATGTTTTTATGCCTTTTTGCTTCTGTTTTGGAGCATTGACTGCTTCCTAGGGTAGGATCTTCACTTGCTTGCTGTTTGAGTGTAGGTATTTTTGATGCTAGAAGCTGGAATGGCCTGTCTCCTGACGTTCCGAACATTCCAGACTGTAAGGTTTCCACTTCAATGAACTGCAGCGGATCAGTTGGAGCTTAGATTCTACTATTCATTCCAGCCTCTGTCAGTCTCCAGCCAAAGATAAGTCTTCCTTCACCAATTCCAGGATGGCTGTTCCTAGCCCCATCATGCGCCAACATATTGGCGGACCACACTAATAAGCTGAAGTCCTCGACGTCATTCCGTTGGTTACGGAGACTCCGCTGCGTCTAGGATTAGCGCTATCTCTCTCAGTCTTCTCCCCAGTCGTTACCGATTTTCTCTTTGGAACAAGGTACACTGAATTTAGGAATTATCCAACTACCCGATGATCAATAAAATCCTTCAGGAGCAATATGACCGGTTATTTGATTTCCAAGAGGAGGAGCGGAAGCCAGCTGCCAAAGATTTTTCTTCCTAATTACAGGGGGGTAGGATCAAAACTGTTTATCACGAGAACGGAGAAAGTCAAAGGGGGCTAGCCAAGATGTACTGGAGTTGGGGATTATCCGGGGTTGTACCCTGTTTTCTCGTCTCATCTGTTGTCTGTACCAAATCCGGACACAATCCGGAAAGACAGGAACATTGAGTTGTGATCGTCATTTCAATGGCCACCAGATTGTACAGCAGCCTGACAAGATGTCAAGACCGACTTGGCATATTTTGGTCTGGACTGAACCCCGCTCGAACTGCAGTCTTGGCATATTTGTGGCAAGGCTGAACCCCGAGCTGCACTGTGAGTCACATTAGTGAACCTATCGGCTTGGTTGGCAGTGGTAAGATTCTCGGAGTCAATGCTTACCAATACGCCCCCGGAAGGACGGTAATGTTGTGTTATTGGTTCGATGGCTGCGATGTCGTATAGCAGTCATCCTCAGGCCTCCCAGGCCGGATGTCAAGATAAACTTGGCATATTTAAGTTTAGGCTGGACCCTGAACTGCCGCATGAATGATATTAGTACCCATTGGCGGTAGGAATCAAGCTAACCTAAAGAATAAGACCCGATGACCACAGTGCAGGAGGTTCAGCCTATCATAAGGTCACTTGCTATTTGTTTGGTAGGTAGGTGTAAGACGGTGCAATCAGGTTGCAGCCGAACCTCCGTGTGGCGTTCGGGGCGTACCGGGGCGTACCGGGGCGGGCCGGTGGCCTTCAATGGTTCGGGAAGCACGGATGCACATACCATTGACACATGGTGGAGCTGTCCATGGCATGCTATGGTTCGTACCCAAATGCCAAGTAACCTTGCAGATACCAGAGTCCCGTGCGAACTCAAGTTTATCCTTGCTTGTTTTTCAGCCTCAGCCTCCAGCCCCTCTCCCAATGATCAGGTATCCTACCGCTTGCAGCTGTGTTGCGACTTCGGTTTGTTACGCATAGTGATGGCTTACTGTAATGTGCTCCAGTCGTATCCCGTAGACAGCGGTTATTGTAGTTCTCTCAGTTGGTCTAGATAAACATAGATCGGTAGCTTGCCTATCCTTCCTGTCAATGAAACCCTCCTTACTTTTATCGAAGGACGGATTGGATGGCTTTAGTAAATAAACACATTTTACCGCGTTAACTTACTCCGATAGCTTGATACGAGACGATGACAACTACCGCTCGGCCAAACGACATGTCCTCTGCCAGACCAACCCACGAAGTGATCGATCTGCCAACACGTCCTAGAGCCAAGACGCTCCGGGGTCATAACTTGTTAGTGCAATGATGGCTGTTCATGGAATAATCCGGGATGAGAATCCTGATCTACTGAAGCATCACATGCCTAGATCATACGCTTCATGCTGATGGCTTCTCGGCCTTCATTGCAGTGGTCAAGACAGACTAGATCCTCGTTCATTAGCTGAAGGTCTTCGGAAACGTCGGTACATGGTCTGCCAATGATCATTACTGTGCTTCAAAGAAAGCCGCGATATCTGGGTCGATTATTCTCCCAGTACGAGACCCGACATGTATAAATACTGCCTGTATTCCCGGACAAAAATCTCCATTCCAGCTCAGGTCTTCAGCATTGAAAACGACTCTCTCAATCATTCCAAGCCACAGTACCACAACTTCACTTGACAATATCCACCAAGATGCGCTTTACATCTCTCATCTTCGTTGCTCTCGCCGTTGGTCCTCTGGGCGCCCTCGCTGCCCCAACCCCCGCAGACAATGCCGAGAACGCTGCACTCGATTGCCCCGATGGTGGCAAAATTCACTGTGGTGTACGATATACTTTCTATTTCTCCAGAACCCTAACGCACTATACTGATCTCATGACCAGAACTGCAACGGCACCAGCTGCAGAATCGGATTCAAGAATTAGTAAGTTCCTCCTCACAGCCTAGGCCTTACTGTATGTATAAAAGCACGCACTGACGGCAGTGGTCCGGATATAGCCCCTGTGATGAGGGCAAGGTGTGTAATCAACAACCATCTTTACCCCGTCCTTGTCTAACCTTCTCTCTTCTCACTTACAGTGCACTGCCCAGAGTGGAGGCGGGGATGGGGCTTACTGCTGGGACAACAATTACGGTGGCTCCAGACACATCGTTTGTCCGGGAAGAGGCTAGATTTGATCTGGATTATGCTCTCAAGGTGGTATAGTATCCATGGATGGAGGTTGGCATCAAAATGGAGACTGCTGGAGACTTTGATGTCGATGACGCAGCCCGTGTCAACAGACAAGACTTGTTGTCTTGTTCTGCACACTCATTTCGAGATTTCATATGTCTTTAACTATGTGCTTAATTCAAACGCGCTTACTATTCAACAAGTAGCGGTACCGCAATGAATTCGACGATTATGACATTTTTTGTAGTTTTACTTATTATCTGTAGTGGCACAGCACTACGTAATCTAACCTCAACTGCCCCCAGCATATGCTCATATTGCCAGATCGATATCCCAAAGTCTTCTTTCCATCGCTCCACGCCTCTACGCCTCCAATTCACAGCACCATCTCCTCAGTCATTGATGCAGTCAGAATTAGTTCCATATTATCCACATCCCATCCTCTCTTGAAACAATGAACTCGGATAAGAACGGACGTTTGCATGAGACTATCAATCAATTCAATCGGTGTAAAATACGAGTAATGAGGTAGTTCCATAGTATTATTTCGGTATTCCTGTATTTCAGTGCACACGTTGGGGGGAAATTGGAGACTAGGCTGTATGGAGTTCGGGTGGGTGGCTCGAGCGCAGGGAAGATCTGATGTTTTATTTTCCTAGTTCGTATACTGTTGTCGTGTATTCAGTTTTGTTACGTTCATACCAGTACGCCAAAACGGAAAACCGCTGGCCATCTGGAGAACAGACGGAATGAAGACTGTGTGTCCCAACAAGTTTTAAACGATGATCTTAGGATTGTACTGTAGGCGCACAAATTACAATGATGAAAGCAAACCATTAAATTCATTTATGTCAACGCTACTACCCCGTAGATCAAATACATGATTTCCTGATGGTTACGAGGCGTACAAGGTAGAAGATGTCCCAATACATTCTACAAGAAGAAAAGAAGTGATGGACGAAAGCCATATCTAGCAACGTGAATAATTTTGTTTCATCATAACTTGTGATATCTAGCGCACCCTATCTCTATTCCGTCCACCACCAACACCTCATAACCCTCAACTCAAGCCGACCCAAGCGACAGAAGATATTGAGCCAAAAATCCTCCAACGCGGGTCCATCCTACATACAACAAACCCGTTCGGAACCAGTACATGCAGCTATCGGGTTCCGCCAGATCCACAAAATAAATCATCGCCGCCAGACCAACCGCAGTACCGCCACATCCAATAAGAAAATAAACATCGGCCAAATTATCCGACACTCCGACAAAGACCATCGCTACAACAATCACCGCCGCCAGGATGGACGTCACCAGCTTGGAGGTGTTGGTGAATCGAACGGCCATGGACCCCACCCCAGCCTGGACATCATACTTGACATCTTGGTGCCCGTAGATGGTGTCACAGATGCAAGACCAGGCTACCTCGACGACTGTCAACACCACGACAGGAGCCGAGAAAGGATTGATCCCCAGACTGACAATGGGAAGGATCATGCTGACGGAGAACGGCAGGCCCAGGAACGCCGGGGCGAAGTCCATGACTCGCTTGCAGAGCGGGTAGATGACGTGCAGGACGCCCAGGGCCACGCTCCAGGGGAGGCATTGAGGGGGGAGGTAGCTCAGGATCCAAGCCACGATGAGGACCTGAGCTAGAGTGAAGATGTTGGCCTGGGTGGTGGAGACGGCTCCACGTGCAATGGGTCGGTTGCTGGTGCGGGGCACCTGGCGATCAATGTCTTGGTCCAGGTTGTCGTTCCAGGTACAGGCGGCTCCGCGGATGAAGAGGTTTGCGATGTAGCAGAAGATGGTCTTTTGGAGGAGTTCGACTGGGGGGATGGGTGTGTCCGTGATGCTCGCCCCGTAGCATAGTCCCATGAGAGTGGGCATCAGGAACGCCAGGATGCCGGGCCGGTCCACTCGTGTCAGCTGCACATAGGGCACCCAGGACGATGGCACCAGACTGGCAATCCCCTGCAGTGGTATGGCATGGGCACTTGCGTCAAGCGGGGACTGGGCTTTGAAAGCTTGGGCTTTTTCACCGTGGCCGGTCAGAGGCGTGGTGTCGTTCTGACGCTGGATGGGCAACATGATGATTGGCAGGGGGGAATTGATAGGAAATGCTTAGGAGGGATTGAGGAAAGGATTTGATGATGATAATGATAGAGACAGGTTAGATCCTACGGACAAGGTGTCTGTTAAATACCTTGGTGGATGCAGTTAAGGCAGACTCGACATTGACTGATGTCCCCATTTCCGAGGACGGGAATCTGTGGGACACTGGCTGGCTTGGAGGGCAGAAGGAGCATTGATCTTCACTGGACAAGACTCATTGGCAATGGCATTGTTGTTCAATGCACGTCAAACTACACGGACGGTACCCTACACACCCAACATCTCGGCTTCCCCATCTGGTACCCTCATCAGGATAGCGGTATTTCTGCTCTCCACCTGGTTTGTAATGTGTATGGTAAAACGTAGAGATGGCATCACACACTCTAAAGTCTCAAGATTGGGTTTCTTGGCGCGATTGGAACTGTGATTAGATTTTAGTGTTCCTGGAGATTGAATACTCTTATTAGATAGATCGATAGGGTATATCAGTAACTGTAAAGTGTTATGCCAGATACTCTCAAATCGAACGTTGTTGTAATCTTTCACTGATGAAACCGACGATCAATGGATACCACTGCCCAAAACAGGCAAGCTCCTTGGTCTGCAAGATGTTTAGTAAATAGATAATGTCATTGTTATTGTCTGCCGAGACGGCAACTAGACTCCGTCCCGGCCCAGACTGTGGGGGCCAATTGGCCCATGGGGCCGCACAGCCCTGGTCACGGTGCAGAACTGCAGTCCTCCATGGAACCAATGACTAACATTTTCTGAGACATTCGAATCCCAGTGGCATCTCGCTTAATGCTTGGGGCCGAACAGCGGGCTTACTTTCCTGCAGGATGGTCTGTTGTCGGCTAGGTTCTTGGCTGTTGGTCCTAGTCGGTGGACTTGCAGTCTGCGTGTGCATTGTATACAATTGTGTGAATTGTATGAGTTTATGAAGTGCATGGACTGCATGGAGATATTGTGAGGAGTTATGTAGACTAGGTGGTGGAATTCTGCAGGCAAAATGCCGGCCGTTGCGGAGTTGCAGTGAAGAAGAGGGGGGGGCATCAAGTGAAGGATTCCCACTAACCTCATTAGCGGCAAGACAACTCCAGGCAACTTCGTCTGGCCCATGACCGAGGCATTCTCTTCATGGCCTAATTCTTTGACAAATGGATAGCATGATGCTGCTGACAGACAAGTGAATGAAACTATATCCAAGTTTTGCAGATGGGAACAACAAGCGTTAGCCCCAAGCGCTGCAGTCGGGCCAAATGCATGGCTGCAGGCTGACACAGGCATTTCCGCCCCCTTCATCATCTTCCCCTCATGCAGCCTTTCATGCACCTCCTCGTGCAGCCCCTGCTCACCACCTCTGTCTTATACCTATTTGTCCGTCTCCCCGCTCACGTCCCGTCTCATGTCTTTCTTTCTCCTCTTTTCCTCGCTGCCGCTGCTACCTTTCTCCATGTTGCGTTGCCAACATGGCTACCACCGAGGGATATTCGGAAGCCTACCTCCATGAGACCCGTCAGAGGGGTCTGATCGCCATTATTGTGCTGTTCATTGTCTTGGAGACTCTCACCCTAGTCCTGCGACAGGTCTCCAAGCGACTAGGTCGCATCCGGCTCGATTGGGATGATCTTCTCATCACGCTGGGTTGGGTCCTGTGTACTTTTGTCAATGCCACCTGCCTGGGTATGTTCCACTGCATTCCTGGTCTGTCATCAGTCTATTCTAACCTCCTGGCTGATAGATGATGTCTACCACGGCGGTGTCGGTCTGCATCAAGCCCGGGTGGAGCAAATCGACCCCGGTATGATCTCGGTCTGGGGCCACTATATCATCATCATCCCTTTGATCTATTTCGCCGCGTGTGTACCCGCTAAACTGGCCGTGGTCTACCTCTACCTCAACATCTTTACCAGTAAAGCGATGCGCATGGCCTGCTATGCCGTAGCGACCGTGATGCTGGGCAACTGGTTCGGCACCACCGTGGCCGGCCTCCTGGTCTGTCAACCCTTGAGTTACTTCTGGACCGGAGTCGGACATTGCATCAACACCAACGCCTTTTTCCGCTGGAGCGGACTGGCCAACCTGGTGACGGACTGCGTCATGCTGGTCCTACCCATGCCGATGGTGTGGAACCTGCAGGCCTCGCTGCGCCTCAAGCTGGGCATCTGCTTGACCTTTTTGTTCGGTAGTATCGGGCTGATTTCCTCCATCTTCCGATTCTACATTCTGTTCGTGACCAACTCCGAGGTCGATATTACCTGGACGGCCGCGACCTTTGTGCTGTGGTGTGTGGTCGAGTGTGGCACCTACCAGATTGCCGCCTGCTTCCCTCTGTATCGACCGCTGGTCAAGTTTCTCGGGCGCAAACTCCACCTGACGACGTCGCGGGGGGAATCGGGCAATGATACGGCCAACTCGAACCCGCGGCTTACTCGGTCGCATGGGGGGCGATTTCAGTCGCTCAAGGGGGATAGTCTGACGGAGGAGGCAGAAGAGGATGCGGTGGGCTTGGTGACGCTGGGCAGTCAACGATCCGACATCGCCCCAGGCACGATTGTGGTGGACCGCCGATTTAGCGTGACCTGATGTTTCATTAGATTAGATTATTACTGTTATTATTACTATGCATAATTAGTACTGCAGCTGCGGCATAATACCCGCAAGCCACCATGTTCTTTCTGCACCATGCCACGCCACGCCACGCCTCTAGATCAAAGTGCGTCTCCATCTGCATTGTAATTTCATAGATAATACTCTCATATAATAGTACATAATGTATCCGAGTATTAAATGTCGTCATAAATCAATAGAAGCGAATTCAAGACCCAAGTATGATGATGCGGAACCCTAATTACCCACCACCGCAAGAATCCTCACCATGTGCTCATAACCTCAAAGCTACTGACTGACAAATCTTCAGAAGGCAATGCATTAGTTCCTGATGAATGTCACCCAGAAGAAAAACACCACCTCGTGGGAAGGGGCAGCTGGGGAGACACTAAAATCTGACGGCGTGGCCCCCATCGGCCCGTCAGCACTAGCAAAGCGCCAGGCTGCACTCTAACCCACGCTTGTTGTTCCTGGCGATTCACCTCTCTTCAGATTATTCATGGCCCATCACCCCCATCCACACTAGACAATGAACCTGCCGATCTCCTCTCGCATGTGCCGTGTGAACCACGGTTTGTCCCTTCTCTGGGTTTGTCGATGTGCGCCTTGTGTTTCCGTCGGACCAACTGTATCCGATCGGATAAATAGCGGCAGGCATCCTGTTGGTGGGGAGAAGTCAGTCATCATCTCTCTTCCCCGCCATCATGTCAACCCTAAACCCCTCCTCCGACTTTGACATCAACAACCAGCTGCTTCCCAATATTGTTGACCACTATGCTCAAGTCAAACCCGATGCCATCTACGCCGAATACCCCGTCAATCCCGTGAGCTATGACGACGGGTACCGCCCCATCACCTACAAGGCATTTGCCAACACCATCAATGGTCTGGCCAAGTTCCTGACCGAGACCTTGGGACCGGGTCATGGCGAAATCCTCAGCTATCTGGGTCCCAATGACCTGCGCTATCCGGCTTTAGTGATGGCTGCCCTCAAGGCGGGATATTGCGTATGTTCAGTAATCCCATGACGAACAAGGCTAACCCATGGTAGATGTTCATGACCTCGCCGCGAAACAGTGCTGCAGCGCACCAGTCTCTATTCACCAAGCTGGACTGCAAGACGCTGCTGGCACCTGTGCCGCGACCCCCCTTCATTGCGGGGATCCTGGAAGCTCATACCCTCAATGTCGTCGATATGCCGGGTCTCGACGAACTCCTCACCACCGAGTACCCCCATTTCGTATACACCAAGACCTACCCAGAAGCTGCCTCGGAGCGAATGGCCATCATCCACACCTCCGGGTCAACGGGAATCCCCAAGCCCGTTATCTGGACCCATGACAGTGCCGTCAAGCACATGCACATGAATGTCATGGAACCGCCCGAGGGCCACGAATGCCAGGGGCACTGGGGCTTTGGCAAGAGGATGTATCTGACATTGCCCCCATTCCATGTAAGCTTACCTCTTGAGACACAAAGGCCTGAGCTAATGATCAGGCTGCGGGACTGGGCCACATGATCTTTGTGACGATGCCCGTGGACACCACCATCATCATCCCCACGTCGGCTGGCCTTCCCACTGCTGCTGCCCTGGTGGCAGCTCGGAAGCAGACCCCTTTCGAATTTGCCATGGTCCCGCCATCCTTGCTGCAGGAACTGGCCCAGACCCCAGAGCTCCTAGACTACTGTAGCACTCAGATCGAGTTCTTGTGCTACGGAGGAGGCGATGTGCCCCAGGAGATCGGCAATGCCGTCGCCCGCAAGATCAAGCTCGTAAATGCGTACGGCGCGTCGGAATTAGGCAACTTGAGTCTCATCCACTCAAAGACAAACCGCGATCCTCTCACTGATTGGCGCTACTTGCATTTCCATCCCGCGACGGGGGTCGAATATCGCCATGTCTCGGGGGGTGAGTACGAGATGGTGTTGGTCCGTACTCCGGAGCGCGAAGCCTACCAGTTCACCTTCACCATCTTTCCAGAGCTACAAGAATACCATCCCAATGATCTGATGGTCCGTCATCCGGATCCTGCTAAACCTGATCTCTGGCGTCCTTCGGCCCGTACCGACGATATCATCGTCTTTCTGAATGGCGAGAAAACCAACCCGGTCTCCATGGAACAGCATATCATCACAACGAATCCGGAGGTCACCGGAGCTCTGGTCGCTGGCTCGCAGCGCTTCCAGGCCGTCCTGCTCGTGGAACTCGGTCTCAGCGCCAAAGCCCTAAGCATGAGCGAGCGCGCCGCCATCATCGAGAAGCTCTGGCCCAGCATCGAGCATGCCAACACGCAATGTCCGGCTCATGCCCGCATCGCAAAGAGCCATATCCTCTTCACCACCCCGGAGAAGCCCATGCTTCGTGCAGGCAAGGGCACGGTTCAACGCGCCGGTACTCTTGCTCTCTATGCCCAAGAATTCGACGACCTGTACGCCGACGCGGACAAGTTGGCGCAGCATGATGCAGGTGACCTCGTCGGGCCAGGCAGCGTCGACGATGTCACCAAAGTCGAACAATACATCCGAAGTGTCATCTTGGCCATCACGGGATGGGATCCAACCCTCTCCGACACCGAAAACTGGTTCAATCTCGGCCTCGACTCCCTCCAAACCATCACCACCACGCGCATCCTCAAACACGGCCTCAACCTCCCCTCCCTCACTCCAAACCTCATCTACCTCCACCCCACCATCGCGGGATTAGCCCACGCCGTCCAGCACCTCCACCAGCACCGCGAACAGTCCGCCGAAG